AGTATACCTCCGTCATCCAAAGTGAGATACATTGGACGTGGGGTTATATCAGCAACGTTGGGAAGTGAAAGAGGTAAAGGAGTCAAGAGTTTTTGTGCTGGAGAATGGAGCAAGCAAACTAGTGGCATACCACATGACCAACATGGTCAGGGTTCAAGAAACAAAGCAGTTGGTCAATCCAAAAGGTCCAGGTCGAGGGCGTTTGCAGCTTGCCAAGGGAGGGGGCATGAGAAGGAAACTGAGCAGAAGAACTATCAGCAAGTAAAGGGCAAAGGGAAAAAGGAGAAGCAGAGGCAAGGGAGACACGGCAAGACTGGTTGGTTAGAGAGGAGTCAAGAATGAGAAGAGGAAGAAGGGGCAGGGAAGGCCAGCCAGGAAGGAAGGCAAAGAGTAACGATTGGGCCTCATGCCGGGTGTGCAGGAGAAGGTTTAGGGTATAGGGAGAACCGGGGATCGAAAGGAGATTCCGACAAGGTGGAGTGCGCATCAAATATGTGCCCACATTGGTGGAAGCGCACTGGGACGTAAGTCATTTGATCCAGATTTGGCTGAGCTTTGAGTCGATCCAGAAGCGGAAGACCAACAAGGCATTCACCTTTTAAATCTCTTGGATCTGACTGACATGCGTTTGTTTCTTAAATCCCCGAAAAACGCATGATAATACAGAATGGTGGGTGGCGGGCCGTCGAATCTCTTACCTCCTTCGCTCAACGCCGGAATTCCTGCCACGCGTCGACTAGTTGACTTAGGGAGAGGCCAACTACCGGGCGTTCCTCGCATCAGCCTCACCGAGCGGAGAAAATGCGGACCTTGCTCCAAGCCTCCCTCGTATCAACCTTGGGGGAGTTGGGCATCGCTGACCCGGCCCTACTACGGTTCCCAAGCCACCTAGCAAAAACGAATGTCGCCGCTTACCCGTTGGCCGCTCCTGCTGGGGAAGAACACCCCCCACATTGCCGCCCTGCTCCCCCTCTTTACCACGTAGTACACGAGCCGCTCACCCACTCCACATCGGTTGGCATCGATCCCCGCCGAGGCCCTCGGCCTCCTTCAACTCTCCCCAAGGAGAGTGCGGCGGAGATTGTGCGGTGGTGCGAGAAGTGTGGGAAGAGGGGAGGGGGGCATTAGGGCCGAGGGAGGAAAACACGCTCCATGGGGAAGTTGGGGGGAGAGGAAGATGGAGGAAGACAAGAGGGGGAGGAGGAAGACGGGGGAGATGGGGGGAGAGGAGAAAGTTGGAGGAAGATATAAGGAGAGGAGGAAGACGAGATAGGGGGAAGAAGATGAAGGAAGATATGGGAAGAGGAGGAAGATGTGGGGTTATGGTGGGGAAAGGGGGTGAAGAAGACGAGGGAAGATGGGGGGAGATGGGGAAGAGCGAGCGTTGCGAGAATGGCGGCGACAGTTATGGCATTATGTACGCATAAGGAAAGTGCAACTGATGATGTCACCCCTTTTTATATATAATCGTGAAGCGTATGGTTATCGAATGACTATGGTAGATGTATTATAAAAAACATGACAACCAATTGCAGAAAACAAATGCAGTGGAGACAGCGAGCTTGTTGGGTGCTATTGGTGAGTCGGTGCAAGAGTCATTCAAGAGTGGTAACGGATGAAGTGTACGTGATGTGTAGGTTCGAGCTTTTATACACAACGAGGGACTACTGTGGCTCGATACATGTCAATACGCATAACAATCGCGCCGCGATGCTCATTTAGGTTATTGCCATATTGGTTGATGACGAAGCTCGTGGCGCACAACATCCGCAATATCGGATGCTTCAAATCGTGTCATCGATGACACAAAACGTTGTGCAAATGCAGGATCAGATGGAGATAGTGCAGCTGCTGGATTATGCCCAATCGGTCCAGGGTCGTCGCGAAGATTTGAGGGCGCCTGATGCATGATGTATCAGATACTTTCGAAATGCATGTCTGACCAATCGAATGGGTTTCTCGATGCAATTGATTTGGACTTGACCAGTCACAGCAAAACCACCCTCTCACAGAAATTTCGGCCCGTCACAGCAGATTCCCCTCACCCTGACACAGCAGGTTCGCCCCGTCACAACAATTTCGCCCCTGACACAGCAGATTCGCCCCCTGACACTAACAGATTCGCCCCCTGACGCATCAGATTCGCCCATTCACAACACAGCAGCTTCTCCCTGTGGACGTGTCACAACGGGAATCCCATATTGACCCCTACATAATTGGATTCGGTATCAGATGAAGCTAAAACAAGAACCTGATGGATCAGATCAACTAAAAAACTACTCATTATCAATCAAAATAAATAAATTTAATAAAATATCATTTTTTGGAAAATCAGATGAACTTTAAAAACTCCATCTGAATATAAGACAAACAGACAAGAAGTGTCTGATAGCGACGACCCTGAATCGGTCCCACAAATAGCAAACACTACGCATGAGCGCAATTTGAGATTGGTGGAGCTGAGCCCCCCTATGATTCCCTCTAGAACTACCTTGACAATGGCATGCTCCATTGTTGCATCCTTTGTCAGAATCCCAACCACTAGACCATTGGGATAAAAGGGCTTGTTAAGTAGCGGGTCAGTGCGCCCATACCCCCCCAGGCCAACGTGCCTGTAACCCTTCCTAGGATCAATCGGGGATCTCTAGTGGACCTCTGACACCCCCCCGCACTGGGATGCCCGAAGTGCACACACTAGGATTCGAACCCGAGACCTTCGCTCTGATACCATGTCAGAATCCCAACCACTAGACCATTGGGATAAAAGGGCTTGTTTCAGTAGCGGGTCAGTGCGCCCATAACCCCCCAAGCAAACGCGCCTATAACCCTTCCTAGGATCAATCGGGGATCTCCAGTGAACCTCTGACATCCTTGTCAGTATAGTTCCTTAACGAAGATTCTACGACGCCATTTTTTACGATGAAAAGCAGGCCCAACAGGGCACAACGCCCTTAATCATGATACTTGTCTAGAAGGTTTGAAATAGCAGCACTTCTTGATGAGGGCACCCCTGACGAGGTAAAGAAAAACATGGCTTGAATGTTTGTTAGCTTTGTGTAACAAATATTGTGGGAACCATTCACAACATTCACGTGAAACTAGATCAGTTTAGGTTGTGCGTGAATTATGTTTTCAATCGTAGTGCCTCTTTATATGTCGAAACTCCGTTCAATCTCTAACGAGTTTAGCTTCCACACCACCCATGCTCTCCTTGTGGTTCCTCCTGGAGTCCAGCCAGACTCCTCCAAGGCTTCTGGACAACAGGCTTGAACCATGGAAAGTGGATCACCACACACCAGACAAATGGGACTCTGCTGTGAATGGTTGCCACAATACCGCTCAGTCGGTATTGGTGGAATGTTTCGAGATATTTATTGGTTTTTTTTGTTCGCCAGCCCGTTGTTGGAGATGTGGATACAGTGCAGAGCACACAACGCGGGCTTGGGAATGGATGGACAAGGCTAAAATACAGTCGCTACACCGTACAAGAAAACAGAGGTAGATTCGCACCCAAGTGGTGCATTATCTAATCCTCAAGGCAGCCACGTCATCCCGCAGCTACGATGCACCACCCTCTAAATTCCGCCACACTCGGTCGGAATTCCCCGCGCATGGCTGACTCATCTCGGTGATGCGCAAGCTATAGGCTCTTCCGCAGCGCAGGGTCTCCTTCGGCGCACCGTTTCAGGCGTGTCACTGCTGCGCACAGCATTTTGCGGAGGTGGCACATGCCCGGCCTCTCATGTCATGCCACTGTGCCAATGAAGCGACGAAGAAATCCCCAACCACCGCACGGCGCCTCCGCTTTGCGACCATCAGCGTCAGGTGGAAATTTTCCACAGCGCAACGATGAATGTGGGTCGAAAAGCAGAGGCAGAGGGAACGTGCCGTTACAGTTTCGCAACTTCGCTTGCTCGCACCCCATGCGTTTGCGGTGTACGCGAACGTCTCCGACTTGAACGAAACACTTCCCCTCCCCCGCCTGCCTGTGACCAGTGACCACCAGTCTCCCCACATGCGCTCCGTATGGTCCTTTCCGTTCGTTCCGTCCGTCCCTCCACCGCATCGCAGCTGGCGCGACGACGAGGCATCGGCGGAAAGTCATTTCGCGGCTTCGCTACACCATCCGCCCGAACGTCGCACCAACCAAATGCTGCTTCTTCACTCCACCCCCACCGCATCTGTCGTTTCCGTGATGCGACGCGCCTCCACTTCCCCCACCAGCGCGGATTCACAGGCAGTCAGTCAGTCAATTTTCCCCGAAACCCTACCCAGCTGCGCCAGCTCCCGTTGGATGAACGGGCGAGAGGATGGCTGAATTCGGGCGACTCGTGCACTGTTGTGCACAGCAGAATGGCAGCACCAGCAGCAGCAGATCGACAGCACGGCAAAGCCGCAGCATTGACGCGCACAACTGTACACGTTATCCACAACCAGCACGACCACGCACGCAGATCAACCTAACCCAACCTAACCCCAACCAACGCGCCTGTTCCGTTGAACTTGGCTTGTCCTGCCTACCCTGTCCTACCTCTGCTAGTTTATAACGACAGGTCGAACATGGCAAAGCCTTCTTCTCCCCTTTTTTTTGGAGCTTGCATTCGTTTTGGTGTCGTCCTAGGCATTTCTCCACCATGAAGACCATTCCCATGCGAGTCTCATGTCCCACAATATCCAGATTAGCACGGAAGAATGTCACACTGTCTCCTAAGTCACGGTCTCCCGTGTCTTCCTCCTCCCACATCTCTCTAGCTCGCTCCATTCCCTCCGTACGATTGCTCTCATCATCGTCTTCCCGTTCTCGTTCCAGCTCCTCCCGTCCATCCTCGTTACGAGCCGTTTCTTCCTCCGAAAATTTGGCTCTCCTCGAATCTCCATCCTCCCTTGCTCTCTCTATACCCGCTTTCTCCTCCGCTTCACGGCGATGGCTCAAGACGCGCGGCCCGTGCCCGTCGCACCGCCGGCAGGGCCGGTCGAAGAGAATCCTAACGAGAAGCTCCATGGCGCCCGCCGCGCCCGGTGGGTGCTGGCAACCGCAGTCTCCCGCCGCAGCTACCAGCACTGATAGTCTCAGCGCCGCGGCCGCCGCCAGTTCCTCCAGCAGCAGCAGTTTGGCGGCAGGGGAACCAGAGGCGGCGAGCGTGTCACCGCGCACGAGTAACGCGGGAAGCGAGTCGGCGGGGTTTCTATCCTCCCCTTCTCGGACCTTTGCCCCTCCCTTAGAGCCGCAAACCCTCGCGGGGAAATGGCTCCTACGGCTGCTTGCCTCGGTTCCGGCTATGGTACCAACTGCGGTTGATGCCGAGTTGCGAAGACTGCAGGAGGAAGTGGCGATTGGAGAAGGTGCTAACTATTTTAGCGACCGAGCCGGTTTCGTCGACGAATCCGTTTTCGCCGTTCTTGGGCGCGCAAACGGCGCGGCCGCAGGGCCACTGGAGCTAATCCAGGGAGAATCTATAGACGAAGTTCGATGGACGGATGAGGCAAACTTGCTACAAAGGTACAACTCTCACCATTCGGGACTGCTGTTTTAAAAGCCTAATACCTTTGCGCCCGTTCCTCTAAGACAGCTCGTTGTTTAAGTTCTTCATTTTTTTTTCTTCCGTGGCCATATTCCATTTTGTGCCGATTCTTAACCATAATTCCGTCCTCGACAGTAGCTGTACGGCACTGAGTTGGACTTGATCCTGTTTCGATACGCCACCCTTATCCCGCTCGCGTTTCCTTACGTCGACCACTTGTTTCCGCCACTCGCTCGGCAACTCTTTCCAAGCCGCTCGTTCGCTGCTCACTTCCTTTCGCCTTGCGTGTTTCTCCGTCATTTCAGCCGCATCTGGCGCCTCCAACGCCGCGACCAACATGACGAGCTTCAAGAGCTCCTATACGCGTTAGTAGCGCTCCAATTCGTTTCACAAGGCCACACGCCGCTTCTCCGCGCCTTGCCTTTATTACCCGTGCTCCCGCCTTCTCCGTGGCAACGAAGTAACACCTACAGCCGGGATAACACCATCAGCCGCGCAACCAACGCTAACTCCAACAGCCGCGATAGCCTCAGCGCTTCGACGGCAGTTTCTCGGGTTGCCGCTAACTCATCTGTCCCTTTCTTGGCCAATCAATCAGCCGTCGCGACTCCCGCTGCTTCAGCCGCCGCCGCTTGCTGCACGGGCCTGCGTAAGATGCTTTCGCCGACCGTCCGAGGAATGGTTTCGCGACACCTGGCGATGGTTATGGCGAGCCAGCTGGAGCAAGCGCCACGTGGCGTTCCTACCAGCGGGAACGACGGAGACAGGAGTAGCGGCAACAGCGCGAATAGCGGCGGCATTAGAAGCACTAACGCAGGAAGCAGCGGCACGAACGGTGTAAGGAACGTCGGCGCAGTGGCACGGCCGTACGGTCCGGGGGTTCTAAAGAGCTCGCGACTGCGGCTAGGTCAAATCTACGCATCGTCGATAACCTATGGGTATTTTCTCCGACAGGTGGACTTACGACTGGAACTCGAAGCGTGCTGGCAGCTGAACCAAGCGAGTCTCTTGGAAGGAATGTTGCTGCTGGCTGGCGGGGAAAACCGCGAGCAGTTACAGCAGCAGCAGCAGCAGCAGGTATCTGTCAAGCTAGCTTTAGAAAGGTCTAGCAGACCAACAGCGGGAGAGGCGGCGGAACCCCCGGGTTCCGCAGGAGCAGCTTCTTCCGTCCTAGCCTCCTCTTCGGGTGAAATCCGGCGAGTGTTACCCGGTCGCGAACTGCCAAGCCAGGACGGACAGGTTACCGGGTCGCAGGTTAGGGAAAGTGCCGAGACTGTTAGGTCTAAAGTTGGAGCGGCCCAGATTCAGCGGAATTATCTGGAGCGGTGCTGGAATGGGGCTCGTGATGGGACCGCGGGGGGCGCGGGAAACGCGGGAGGGGGAATGCGGAAGGCGGACATCGGCGCGTACTTGCGCAGGATGGATCCTGGTTTGGTTCGGCAAATGAGCAAGATCCACAGCAGGTTAGTTCGCGGTTGTGATTCTCTTTTCCTGCCCTGATCGTTTGTCCGCTCTTCAGATCTGCTTCTTTATTTAATGCCTGTGTTATCACTGTCATTTGCACACGTGGCTAAATCTTCTCTCACTCTCTTCCTATCCCCGTCACTCTCCCCATCATTCTTTACAGGGAGTCACTTCGGGTGATTGAAAGGCACACTGAAGCGCTGTTCGGCCCGCCGGTTTGGGAAGAAGGAGCTGACGGTTCCCTGGCAGTGCGTGATGAGGTGGTGTGGCTGACTGCGGGCGGCGTTGAGCGACTGGTTCTGGAAGCTGTGGCTTTTGGGTGTGCTTTGCAGGATGCAGAAGAGTATGTGCACTCTATTCACTCCATCCGGTGAAGACTGCTTTGCGAAAGCTAAGGGGAAATGGAGGATGTGGGGTGGGAGAGAGAAGGGTTGAGGATGCGCAGAGTTTTGCAAGATGTAGATTGTGGTTGGCATTTCAAGGTGTCACAGCCTCTGGCTGACACTCCAATCCAATTAGCATTGGAATGGAATAGCTGTGGCTGTCGTGGCGTCCTTGTGCTATTGCGCTTGTTTTGCGTTGCACTCTGCGTCTTCCGCAGGCCTTCTCCCCACCCTAGACTGTATATATTGTCCTCGGTTGTATAACATGGGATGCAGTTGCAGTGTTGTGGGTTTAGTTGATTGTGTCATGAATGTGTTTAGCATGTTAGTATTGGTAATGTTTTATGTGGAGACTCCATGATGCTCATTGTTGTTACATGACAGCAGCACTTTGGTCATATCCTTTTCCATCAACTCGTACGGTGCTGTGGGGCGCAAGTGCTTGATTGGCTCAGGTTCGAAACACTAGCTCGGCACGCCCGAAGTATACGAACGAAACCGCATTAGAACGTGATGTAATCAGATTGAACCGCGCTAGACCAACCCGTTACCCGTATGACGATCCCTCCTCTCCTGCATTCAAACCAACCTCGAGAACACTGCTTACCCGTTACCCGTTAGAGTTGGAACTTGGAACTTGGAACTTGGGACCATGGGGCCAAACTAAGATGACGGCTAGGTGACACAGCCAGCAACCAATCAGGGAACCAAGCAGAAACAGCACAAGGCTTTCCTGTTTCGACAAACGCCGCGCTCTTTCTACTCTCTGATATGCCCTGTTTTCCCGCCTCCCGCGGGCTCCGCTTTCGCTCCGTTCGTCTGGTTCCGCATCCCCGCGCATCCCCCGCAATCAAGGGGTCGCAAATTCGGGCCGAGCGCGCACGCGTTCTCCGTTTGCGCGCCTCGTGCGCACCTTCCGCGTATCGCGCGTTCCCCCTCCCTTCAATACCTCCGCCTATCCGCGCCGCACGTCGCGTTCTCTTACCTCCGCAGGCGGAGCTGATCAGGATTACTGAAAGGGGGTTTGGCGGAGTGATCGTGCGCACGCGCGGCTGCGCCAGCTGTTGCGTAAGCGGGGACTGGCGGAGAAGTGTCCGCGGAGGTGATCAGCGGGAGCTATCGCCGGGAGGGGCGGAGCAGGCGCGAATGCAAGCGGATTCCGCGGAGGAATTGGCGCGCTTAGGGGGGAATGGAGAAGGCGGAGGGTTTCCAATCACCTTAGGTCTGTGTGTGTTGGATTGGCAGATAATTAAATTCCTCCTTTCCCCCGTTCCTTTTGCCTCCAGCCTTCTCCCTTGCCTGGACGATCGTTTGTTCCTGCTCTTCCTGCCCATCCTGCCCCCCTTCCCCTCCCTCCCCCCTTCCTCTCTATCGCCCCTGAGATTCTCCCCTGCGTTCCCATGCCGCTGCCATGTTTCCTCGTGCATACAAGAGGATAACCTTGCAACAGGCATGGTATCCCTCGCTTTTACCTGTCGTCCTGCGTCTCTTTCACCCATTTCCCCTGCCTCCCCCTCCCATGTCCGTGCATGTTGATTGCATGTTCTCTTGAGACGTCTAGGAGACATCATTTCTCTTGATAGCATGCCTCTCCCTCCCCTCTCCGTGCATGTTGTCGCATGCTGTCGCATGCTGTCGCATGCTGTCGCATGCTGTCGCATGCTGTCGCATGCTGTCGCATGCTGTCGCATGCTGTCGCATGCTGTCGCATGCTGTCGCATGCTGTCGCATGCTGTCGCATGCTGTCGCATGCTGTCGCATGCTGTCGCATGCTGTCGCATGCTGTCGCATGCTGTCGCATGCTGTCGCATGCTGTCGCATGCTGTCGCATGCTGTCGCATGCTGTCGCATGCTGTCGCATGCTGTCGCATGCTGTCGCATGCTGTCGCATGCTGTCGCATGCTGTCGCATGCTGTCGCATGCTGTCGCATGCTGTCGCATGCTGTCGCATGCTGTCGCATGCTGTCGCATGCTGTCGCATGCTGTCGCATGCTGTCGCATGCTGTCGCATGCTGTCGCATGCTGTCGCATGCTGTCGCATGCTGTCGCATGCTGTCGCATGCTGTCGCATGCTGTCGCATGCTGTCGCATGCTGTCGCATGCTGTCGCATGCTGTCGCATGCTGTCGCATGCTGTCGCATGCTGTCGCATGCTGTCGCATGCTGGTCGCATGCTGTCGCATGCTGTCGCATGCTGTCGCATGCTGTCGCATGCTGTCGCATGCTGTCGCATGCTGTCGCATGCTGTCGCATGCTGTCGCATGCTGTCGCATGCTGTCGCATGCTGTCGCATGCTGTCGCATGCTGTCGCATGCTGTCGCATGCTGTCGCATGCTGTCGCATGCTGTCGCATGCTGTCGCATGCTGTCGCATGCACGTCGCCCCATCACAGGAGTGCGTGCATGGCCGGAATGGAACCAAGGGGCTCTGTTCGTGGATAAGATACAAAGGGGCACAGCACAAGGTGTGAGGCGTTTAATACACTCTGCCTTCCGCTTTCCGCTTTCCGCCTTCCGCCTTCCGCCTTCCGCCTTCCGCCTTCCGCCTTCCGCCCTCCGCCCTCTGCCCTCTGCCCTCTACCCTCTACCCTCTGTTTTCTGCACACTCCCTCTCTGCCTCTCATGTCCTCGTCCCGCCCTCTCTTCCTCATGGAGTATTGATGCGTTCGTGCATGTGTATGCATGGGCGCACACATTTTCACGTCTGCTCATGTGTGCGTGCATGCGTGCATGTGTGTGCGCGTGCATGTGTGCATGTGTGTGTACCTGTGAGCATGTGCGCATGCATGTGCCCTGCCCATGTGTGCATGTGTGTATGTGTACATGCATGTGTGTGTGCGTGCATGCATCTGTGCATATATGCGTGCTTGCCTGCATGTGTGCATCTGTGCATGCATTTGCATGTGGGCATACATGCATGTCTGTGTGTGCATGCATATGCACACCTTCCAGCCCACACGTCTGTGCTAGACTTCTACTGCAACCGCTACCCTCATTCTGCCTCCCCGCAAGGGTGGGTTTAGGCATGCATTCAGGTTTTTTTTAGGCACCTTTCAATTCGCCGTTTCTGAAAATTTGGAGTGTCAAAGAAGGGTCCGCACCGTACTGAGTGAGTGAGTGAGTGAGCGAGTGAGCGAGTGAGTGAGTGGGTGAGTGCATGCAGTATTCCCAACTTGTGGTCTTGTCATGTAGAATCAAGGTTCGGTTTCATTTGCACTTTTTTCTTTCATTCATTGGTGCATCCATGCGTGCGTGCATGTGTGCGTGCGTGCGTGCATGCGTGCATGTGTGTGTGCGTGCGTGCGTGTGTGCATGTGTGTGTGCATGCGTGTGTGCATGTGCATGTGCCGTATATAATGATGGCAGCGCAGGTGGCTGGATCGCATTGGCAACGGTCAGGTGACTCCTCCTCCCCCAATGCAACCCCCTCCCCACCCCCCTCACACCCCCACTCACAACAACCCCTCTCACACCCCTCTCACACCCCCTCTCACAACCCCCTCACAAGTTCTCGCTTGCAACTTAGATCTTTCATGTATCATTACGTCGATTCTCCGCCTGTCTCTTTATCAGTAACTCCGTTGCCTTGGTCTTTGTCGTTTGTCTTTGTCCTCATTCCCATCCACTCCTCCGTCCTCACTCACCCATCCATAGTCTCCATCCCATGCACACCAACACTCCCCACATCCTCACATCCTCACATCCTCACATCCTCACATCCTCACATCCTCACATCCTCACATCCTTACATCCGCACACCCTGACTTCTCACAGGTCACACTCAACGGCACACGCGTTACTGACCCTGCCACCCCACTCAGGTACTAACCCACCCATGCTGGAGCCTGGAATCACTCTTTTGAGAACTCTCAAAAGTGAGGTGTCATGCCATGCCACCCACCTGTGTGCATCACGCTTCAATAGAGAAACTATCATGCTCCCCAAGAATCATGCCAGGAGGATAGTTAGCCTTTCTTCACCGCCGCACTTCCCTTCTTCCCCGCACACGTCCCTGTCATTTGTCCCTGCCAATGTCTGTCTCCCTGTCAGCTCGTCGGACTTTCTCTGCTACCTCCGAATGCCATGGCAGGAGCCCCCTGCGCCCCACTCCCCTCCTCCCCAACCCATGTATCACACCCTGCCCTGCCCTTCCCCCTGTCATCTCTCCCTCTCATCTCTCCCTCTCATCTCTCCCTCTCATCTCTCCCTCTCATCTCTCCCTCTCATCTCTCCCTGTCATCTCTCCCTCTCATCTCTCCCTCTCATCTCTCCCTGTCATCACTCCCTGTCAGCCCATCGGACTGTCTCTGCTACCACCGCACGCCATGGCAGGAGCCCCCTGCGCCGTGCCACTTCACTGCTCTCTATCAGGATGCACACGTGGTACGTGTATTGCTTTTGAGGCGCCTCAGAAGCTGGGATAGTTCTGATCTGAGACGAGTTTTGAGACACGCTGCTCTCTCTGCTCGCCCAACCTTAACCCTCTCAACTCAAGTAACCATCCACCCCCGCCTCTCAAGTAACAATCCTTCTCCCCTCAACCCTCTCTTCCCTCTCACCTCATCAGCTGGTGCTATCAAAGCCTAGCGGCCCGGCCAGGTGCTGAGGGGAGCGCCCTTTCACCAGCGCACGATGCTCTCGTCTCTCTCTTTGCTCTCTCCCTGCTCTCTCTGCTCTCTCTGCTCTCTCTGCTCTCTCTGCTCTCTCTGCTCTCTCTGCTCTCTCGTTTCTCTCTTTGCTCTCTCCCTGCTCTCTCTGCTCTCTCTGCTCTCTCTGCTCTCTCGTTTCTCTCTTTGCTCTCTCCCTGCTCTCTCTGCTCTCTCTGCTCTCTCTGCTCTCTCTGCTCTCTCTGCTCTCTCTGCTCTCTCTGCTCTCTCTGCTCTCTCTGCTCTCTCTGCTCTCTCTGCTCTCTCTCTGCTCTCTCTGCTCTCTCTGCTCTCTCTGCTCTCTCTGCTCTCTCTGCTCTCTCTGCTCTCTCTGCTCTCTCTGCTCTCTCTGCTCTCTCTGCTCTCTCTGCTCTCTCTGCTCTCTCTGCTCTCTCTGCTCTCTCTGCTCTCTCTGCTCTCTCTGCTCTCTCTGCTCTCTCTGCTCTCTCTGCTCTCTCTGCTCTCTCTGCTCTCTCTGCTCTCTCTGCTCTCTCTGCTCTCTCTGCTCTCTCTGCTCTCTCTGCTCTCTCTGCTCTCTCTGCTCTCTCTGCTCTCTCTGCTCTCTCTGCTCTCTCTGCTCTCTCTGCTCTCTCTGCTCTCTCTGCTCTCCCTGCTCTCTCTGCTCTCTCTGCTCTCTCTGCTCTCTCTGCTCTCTCTGCTCTCCCTGCTCTCTCTGCTCTCTCTGCTCTCTCTGCTCTCTCTGCTCTCTCTGCTCTCTCTGCTCTCTCTGCTCTCTCTGCTCTCTCTGCTCTCTCTGCTCTCTCTGCTCAACCTTTCTTCCTTAACCCATACCATTCCCCCTTCCTCCCTTCCCCCCTCCCCTTATCAGCTGGTGCTATCAAAGCCCAGCGGGCTGCAGGTGCTGAGAGGAGCGCCATTCCACCAGCGCACTCTGCTCTCTCTGCTCGCGCTGCATGCACGCAACCGACTGGTACCAGTGCCGCTGCCGGCAACAGATGTAGAGGCAGCAGAGGCAGCAGCGGAAGCAGCGGAAGCAGAAGGGACGGCAACAGACAGAGTGCCGAGTGCCACTGAAGGGGTAGCAGCAGTGCTGCAGAGTGCAGAGTCGAATGGTGCACGCGCAGCAGACAGTGCCAGTGCAAGCGCGCTGAGTGTCGCTTCGAAAGCAGGCGACGAGGAGCAGCCGCAGCAGCAGCACGGAGGACGCCAGCAGCAGCAAGAGTGCGGGATAGACTGGGCACGAGACACAATGGAGCCCGTGCACGGAATGGCTTCTCCTGCTCACAGGATAGGACGCGGCACATCAGGTACTTTTCTTGAGTCGGCCGAGCTGAGGAGCAGTGGCGTGGCGATCCTTTGTTGGTTTGCCAGCTCGGTCTCACCACGCCATGAAACATGCTAACTCTTGTCAAAGAAAAGGCTTTTGCCGCTCACAGATAGTGATGCAGAGAGTAGGCCGCCGTGGCACATCAGGTAATGACGCGATGCAGCAGCAACGTTCAATTCAGCAATGTTGCCGCGGCTATGCTGGCTTTGCCGCCATATACATGCATGCTCGTTCTTGTTGATTTCTGCTCGTGGAATGGCCTCTCGTGCTCACAGAAAAGTTTCAGAACATGCCTCTCAGTTATCGATCTTTCCGTGCTGATTTCTTTCTTGCCTCCCTCCCATCGCTCCCCATTTCAACCCTCACAGGTCTTCTAATCTGTGGCATCAGCGCTACAGGCAAGGCTAAACTGGCGGCTGACTTTGCTTCTGCCACCACCCGTGGTGATGCTGCTGCTCATCCCTCCCACCGTAAGGGACCCGAGCGGAGAAAAGGCAGGAACACCAGCAGCAGCAGCAGCAGCAGCGGCGGCGGCGGCGGCGGTGACGCCGGTGACGGCAGCGAAAACGGCAGCAGCACGAGCAGCAGCAGCAGCAGCAGCGGCAACGACAGCAGCAGCAGCGGTAGCGGAGGCAGCAGTAGTGCGGATATTGACAGCTGCCCCCGCATTGTCAAGTTTTACAGGGCTCTCGTGCAGGGGGTGGTGGTGCCCGATGAGGTGAGGTGCAGTGCGGTGAGGTTAGTTTAGGTGAGGTGAGGTGAGGTGAGGTGAGGTTAGGTGAGGTGAGGTGAGGTGAGGTGAGGTGAGGTGAGGTGAGGTGAGGTGAGGTGAGCTTTTGTTCGGGAAAACGCCTGGCTAAGGCTCATATCTATGACCAACGTTACCGGTTTGAGGCAAGAAGGGTTGACGGTTGCAGTGAAGGTAGGGCAGGAGGGAAGGTGGTGGTTGTTCTGGTCTGGTGAATGGGTTGGAGTGCAACCTACTTGTATCGGCTTTCAGAGTTTCTGAAAGTGATGCATGTTCTTGTGGACTGGAGTGGAGTGGGGTAGAGTAGACTATTCTTGGGTCCATGGTCAGATGTCTCAAAGGTCTCAAAACATGCAGTGGATAATATCGCCTCTTCCCATCCTCCAATCCCCCAATGCCCCAATGCCCCAATTTCCCATCCCCATCCCATCCCCACGCCCTTTGCTCCTGTGTGCAGCAAGCAGTGCGGGTGCCCATTGGTCGAGTGCGGTACGGCGCGGTGGTAGGAGGGCTTTACATGGCGTCCCCAACAGGTGTGTTGCGAGTTTCGAGACGTCTCAAAGTCGAGTTTTGAGGCTTCTCGAGGCGTCTCAAAACAAGTGTGGCTCGGTGGTGGGATGGGAGGGCTCTACATGGCGTCCCCAACAGGTGTGTGCTGCGCTCACTGAATCATGGCTCGGTGGCTGGGTTAGTGAGTTGAATAAGAAAAGGTCGAGTGCGGTACGGAGCGGTGGTAGGAGGGCTCTACATGGCGTCCCCAACAGGGGTGTGCTGCGATTTTCTAGACGTCTCAAAGTCGAGTTTCGAGACTTGAGACGTGTCAGAATCTTTTCAGAATTCTCAAATTCGATTCCTCTCATATGCATGCATGCATGTGCATGGGCATGGCCTGCCCTGCGCTCTGCACTTCACACCAGGCAAACCAGCAGTGAGTGTGCTGCGTGTGCTGCATCAACAGTTCAGTCGCCTAAAAATTCGTGCATGTACATGCCCTGCCATGCCATGCCCTGCCATGTCATGCCATGCCCTGCCCTGCCCTGCCCTGCCCTGCCCTGCTCTCTGCACTAAACACCAGGCAAACCAGCAGTGAGTGTGCTGAGTGTGCTGCATCGGCATGTGCACGCCAACCAAACCTTGCTCGAGGTACCCAACTTCCCTCATGCTTTCCGTGTCAACCCAGAAATTGTCAAGTTCTGGTAGGAATCATACCCATCGCACATACTCTCTCGTCTAGCATATTCCCTCTGTTAGGCGCCTCAAATGCCTCCTCCCTTTTCCTTCCCCTTTTCCCTTTCTTCCCTCCCGTTCCCTTTTGCCCCTTCTTCCCTCCCTTTCCCCCTTCCCTCCCTTCGTTTTCCCTTCCCCGTCCCCCCAACCCAGGTGCGCATATTCTCTGGTCGCGCCCATCAGATCCGTATTCACTGTGCCGCCGTCGGCCATCCCCTTGTTGGTGGGTGGGTGGGCTGGTAGGTGGGTTGGTGGGTCGGTGCTGTGGTGGGATGGTGGGTCGGTGGGGTGGTGGGGTGGGTGACCTGTTGTGCTGTGCACATGGGTCCTGTGAGGCGCCTCAAAAGGCATATTCTCTGGTCACGCGAATCAGATCCGTATTCACTGTGCCGCCGTCGGCCATCCCCTTGTTGGTGGGTCACCTTCTCACTTTCTGTCCTGCGCACACGGCAGCAGGACGGGGGTTTCCCCTCCTGCACGCAGATTTCTCTCGCACACACCCTGGACTGGACGAGGAATTTATCTCTATCCGTGCCCATCCCCTTGTTGGTGTGCATGTATGGGTGAGCGTGTGTGCTATCCTCCCCAATTTGCCGCATTGCCGCATAACCCTGGGTCTTATTCTTCTCCTTCCCCCAGCTGCCCCTTTTCATATTCTCTCTTCCCATCTTCTCCTCCTCTTCCTCTCTATTTCTCCTCCTCCTCCTCCTCCTCCTCCTCCTCCTCCTCCTCCTCCTCCTCCTCCTCCTCCTCCTCCTCCTCCTCCTCCTCCTCCTCCTCCTCCTCCTCCCCCTCCTCCTCCTCCTCCTCCTCCTCCTCCTCCTCCTCCTCCTCCTCCTCCTCCTCCTCCTCCCCCTCCTCACCAGCTCTCCTTTTCCTCCTCTCTCCCTCACTCCTTCCAGGTGATTCTCTCTACGGCTCTCGGGGCATTCCAGCCCCTGTGACTCGCCCACCTCCTCAGCTCAGCACTGTACCCACTTCCTCAGAGCCTCCCCTCTAGCTCTCCTCCTCCTCCTCCTCCTCCTCCTCCTCCTCCTCCTCCTCCTCCTCCTCCTCCTCCTCCTCCTCCTCCTCCTCCTCCTCCTCCTCCTCACTACCTCTCCTTTTCCTTCTCGCTCCCTCGCTCCATGCAGGTGACCCTCTCTACGTCTCTGGAGGCATTCCAGCCCCTGTGACGTGCTCGCTTCCTCAGCACAGTGGCAGTGGCAGTAGCAGTAGTGGCGGCGGTGCTGGCAATAGTGACGACAGCAGTGGCAGTAGCAGTACTGGCAGTACTGGCAGTGCGAGCCCCATCAGGCCGGGAGATACAGGCTATTGGCTGCACTCCTTCCGATGCCTCTTCCACCATCCCACATCTAACCAGGTCTGCTCTTCTTTCTCCCACCTTCTCCCCCCACTCCCCCCCACACCTCCTCCCCGCCCCCTCTCCTCTGCCTCCCCACTCTTCCCGCCTCCCCCCGCTGCTTGCTTCCCCCCTGCCTGTGTCTCTGCTACTATGTCCCAGTTGCAATCTCGGGGCTATGGTGTTCCTCACACCATGGTGCTCAAAAGGTAGTGTCGTGGTCTGCTCATACCCTTATCGGTTTGTCTTATAATGGTACTTTACTGATTGCCTCTGTCTGGCTTTCCCATACCTCTCTGCTCCATGCCCCTACATCTGCCCCTTGCATGTTGCTTACCCCATACCTCTCTGCCTGCTGCCTTCAGGTGATTCGAGTGGTTGCGCCTCCCCCCCCTGCCCTGCGCATGCCACATGAGACACTTGCCTCCTTTCTGCCTGCATGCCAAATCATGCCGCCCGATGCCATGATGGATTTATGGCATTGTTAGTGTGTTGTAATTTTTGTGAAGGAGGTTGCACGAAAGTTGTTGCGGGTACCTCCAAATGGGCATGCTGCTTATTGTTAGGAAATGTTTCTATAGACCTCACCAACAGTTGGGATAGGAAAAGTAAGGCAGGCTGTGTGTGTATTAAAATTTGATCGTGTGTGCATGTGCACATGTTTCACTTAAATCAGCATCAAGCAATAAAAACTGAGAAACTGTGACACAGCACGAACAGATACTGTCCACAGATGAATAAACAGTTTTCAGAAAGTTTGTGTACAGTGATCCCAATACCTTGTGCTCCTTTATCCCAGAATCTGTTACACTGCCTACACTTGGCTTCGGATGTGTAAGATCTTACGGCTCAGGTTGCACGAGATGATAGGTAGGGCAGGAGGAGACTGGGGGTGGAAAATAGTTCAGGGAGGTCGAGGAAAGATAGAGGCAATGAAAAAGGAAGATCTTGATTCAGGAGAGAAATGTAAGGCAGGGGAACAGAAAGGGGAAAGGGAGGGGGAAATGAGAGGTAAGATGGGGGAAAGGGGGGGAGGAAAGAGGAAGGGGGGGAGAGGCGGGGGAGGGGGGGGAGTGAGGCGACTGGGAAGGGGGGGGGGGATGAGGGGTTGTATAATGAGGGGTATACACGTCTGGACATGATGGGATGGGGAATGGAGAGTGCGAGGGGGGAAATGGGGTGAGTGTTGGCGAGAGGAGCGAGGAGGGGAAGGGGAGGATAAGCGGCGAATGAAGCGGGGAGGAGTCGAGGGAGTGAGCGGAGGGGAGATGAGGGGTGGAAACGAAGGGAGAGGGATAAGTGTGGGGGGAATGACGGGGGAATGAGGGTTGAGTGGGCGGGGAGATGCGAGATGAGAGGAGGGAGAATGCGAGATGAGAGAAGGGGCGGAAGAGGGTAGGAAAGATGAGGGTAGAGAAGAGGAGTGTGCGGAGAGAGGATGAGGGGTGAGGGAGAGGGTGATGAGGGGTGGGCGGGAGAGGAGAAAAGGGGAGCGGAGGGGAAATAAGTGGAGAGCGGGTGAGGGCGGGAGGAGAGGAGAAAATGAAGGGGAGCGGAAAGATAAGCGGAGAGCGTGTGGGGACGAGGGAAGAGCGGAGAGAGATGGAACATGCCCCCCCACCCCCCCCCCCCCACCCCCCCCCCTCCCTCCTCCCCCCTCCCCCCCAATCCCTCTCTTCCCCACACTCCCCTCCACTCCCCCAACCTTTCCCTTCAGTCGCCACCTTGCTTGTTCAAGGCTCCAAACGATGTGCCTTCGCTTAATCATCGCCTTCCCTTGTTAACGGACATTGAACCGGCCTACGAACCGAGATGCTTCAGGCGTGCCTAATGAAATGCGTGCTACTGACTACTGTGCAAACGTCTGAAGCACGCAACTGGCGGTACTTGGTTCACTACCTGAAGCGGCGAAGATTGATATACGGCTGATATCATCTGCGGTGCTAAGCATAAACTTGCGCTTAGCGCTTAGATCTAGCGTAACAAAGACTGACGCATCTCGCATCAATCGTTCGAACTTGTTTGAAGAACAAAGCATCCAGGATGGTGACCATTTATGCATTATATAAAATATAATATCAGGTCACAAGCATCGCTAAGTTCCTAACTACTTCTGCAGAACGCCAGCCGCTTCCTAACTACGGCCAAGCGTTGACCGCTCAAGTATAGAGTCAACTGTACAACCGCTTCAAGTGTTCCAAGTGTTGAACTGCTGAACCGCTCCAAGTGTTGCGCCACTCCAAGTGTTGCGCCACTCCAAGTGTTGCGCCACCCCAAGTGTTGCGCCACTCCAAGTGTTGCGCCACTTCAAGTGTTGCGCCACTTCAAGTGTTGCGCCACTTCAAGTGTTGAGCTGCCCGAACTCCGTCTTGAATTTGACCCCTCTTGGCCGCTAGAGGCAAAAGCCTCTAGCGTTACACCCGCACACCGCGTTGAGGTGGAGGTCATTCGTGCGGGACCCTGTCTGGGAGGGGGGGGAGGGGCGGTTTCTTGGGAGAGAGGAGAGGGAAGGTTAGTTGACTGCCCGCGGGCAGGGTTAAATCAGGGGAATTTAAACACCTCGGGACGGAAGTTGTCAAAATTCGAAGACGCCAGGTTGTCAGAGGAAGTGGAGGTTTCCCGCTCCTCCATCGGTCCGCCACACTTCGATTCGTCGCGCCTCCGCGTCAACCTCCTCCCAACTTCTAATTTCCTGCAGCAGGGCGAAATGACGCGCAGCGGCGAAAATCGCGTTATTCTTAATTGCATCGACCTAAATTAACGTGATCACGCTACGTCGGCGTTACTTTAAATTGGATGGAATGCGCTTGCGCGTGCCCTTTCCGTTGTATTTTCCGCCCTTCCCCTCCGAATTAGGGCAGCTGTGATGGCTTTGCGTGGAATCACAAACAGTCGCGATCTGTTTGTGATTCCACGCGAAGTCAACACAGATGCCCTAAATTCGGAGGGTAAGGGCGGGAAAATACAGCGGAAAGGGTACGTGCAAGCGCGGTCCATCCAATTTAGAGAAACGTCGACGTGGCGTGGTCGCGATAATCTGGGTCGAAGCAATTGAGAGAAACGCGATTCCCGCCAATGCGCATCATTTCGCCCTGAACAAAGACACCAAAAGAGACGTCAGTAAATTCCAAACTAAACACAAAAGCTGAATGGACGATATCACCTGATAGAAGCTCCCGCTCGTGCTCCCGCTTCCGATCCCTCTCCGGCTCCCACGAGCTCCTGCTTCACAAACCAAGGAAAAACAAGAGGAATTTAGACAATGTGAGGAAAAAACGACGAGACTAACTGAAACGACGAGCTTACCTCGATAAGTGTTGTTCTTCCTCCCGCTTCCGCTCCCTCCGCGCTCCTGCCACTACACAAACGAAGGAAAAAACAAGAGAAAGTAAGTACATGCGAAGGAGAAATCGAATCCAACTGAAACGACGAGCTTACTTCGGAAGGGTGTTGTTCTTCCTCCCGCTTCCGCGCCCTCCGCGCTCCTGCCACTACACAAACAAAGGAAAAAACAAGAGAAAGTAAGTAAAGCGATGAAAAAGGAAAAGGAAAACTGAAAGGACGAGTTCACCAGGGAAGTTGTTGTTGGTCGTATTCTTAGACGTTGACGTTGACGAAGACGAAGTCTTGGACGGAGTCTTGGACGGAGTCTTGGTCGAAGACTTGGACGTCTTGGTCGAAGACTTGGTCATCTTGGACGGAGTCTTGGACGTCTTGGACGGAGTCTTGGACGTCTTGGACGGTGTCTTGGACGTCTTGGACGGAGTCTTGGACGTCTTGGAAGGGGTCTTGGACGGAGTCTTGGACGACTTGGACGAAGTCTTGGACGGAGTCTTGGACGTCTTGGACGGAGTCTTGGACGTCTTGGACGAAGTCTTGGACGGAGTCTTGGACGTCTTGGACGAAGTCTTGGACGGAGTCTTGGACGTCTTGGACGAAGTCTTGGACGGAGTCTTGGACGTCTTGGACGGAGTCTTGGACGTCTTGGACGGAGTCTTGGACGTCTTGGACGAAGTCTTGGACGTCTTGGACGGGGTCTTGGACGGAGTCTTGGACGTCTTGGACGAAGTCTTGGACGGAGTCTTGGACGTCTTGGACGGAGTCTTGGACGTCTTGGACGGAGTCTTGGACGTCTTGGACGGAGTCTTGGACGTCTTTGACGGAGTCTTGGACGTCTTGGACGGAGTCTTGGACGTCTTGGACGGAGTCTTGGACGGAGTCTTGGACGTCTTGGACGGAGTCTTGGACGGAGTCGTGGACGTCTTGGACGGAGTCTTGGTCGTCGTGGTTGTAGACTTGGTCATCTTGGCCTTCTTCTAAACCTTCATTCCTGGGGGCTGCGCATCGACCACGACATGCCACGAGTGAGAAAGGCCGATGAAAGATAACGAGACGGAAGACGACAAACGGAAGATGACAAAACGAAAAACGACGACGAATCTGAGAGGCGTCGCCAGCGCGGTGCGAAGCGCCGCGCGACGCGTGAAGAGTCGCCATGCCCCCGACAAAGCGACGCCGTGCGACGGGAGACTCGTCGCCATGCCCCGGACGAAGCTACGCCGCGCGACGGGAAAAGCGCCATCGACGGGTCTCCGCACCATCTGCAGGGAACAAGGAAACCAGGTAGTTGAACCGTTGGAAAAGGACGGATAACCGTTGAAAAAACATCGAAACTTCTGGTGGTGCTATCGCGTTCTTACCATCCGGCAATCAAAGCGCCACTAGCGACGGTATAACCGTCATCAGCGGAACGCGACGTCGCCTAACGCCATGCGACGATGAAAGCGACCCTCGCGACGATGGAAGCACCATGCCTTGAAATCCCCTCGGGACGATGCAAGCGACGCTTGCGACGATAGAAGCGCCACTCGCGTCAAAGCGACGCCGTGCGATGAGAGAAGCGCCACTCTCGGTCACGTCTCCATGTCTCCATATCGCGAAGCGGATCTGCAGGAAACGACGAATCAATTAGTGCTTTCTTAAAAGGAAGTAAAAGGAAGTAAAACTTGGAACTTGAAAACGAAAATGCACTTACGTTCATCGTGGTTAGGCTTGAAAGAAACCGTCACCAACGGCGTGATGACAGTCCAGGCGTCGGCAAGCGGCAAGTGAACATTCGTGCCAAGTGGAATCGCACCCAGTAAAGACCCGTGCGCAGTGAAGTCCCACGGTACGGTGGGCCTGACTTGCAGGAAGTCTGCCGGAAGCGACGAACGAGTTAGGGCATTTAAAACCGGAGTCTCAAGTATCCCGAAGTTGCCTCATCCTTCCTACCTTTGGTTGGGTCACAAAGTCCAACCAAGCTTCCTACCTTTGGTTTTGTCACTAAGTCCAACCAACCTTCCTACCTTTGAAACCTGTGGACCCTGGGTTTAAAAAAAATAATGAAAAAGGTGATTCAAGAGCAAGATGAAAATGAAACAGCAATTACCTTCAACTTGAACGTTGTGAGGCTGGAAAAAAAACCGTCACCAAAGCGTCGACAAGTGTCGCCAAACGGAAAGTAAGTTCCGAGAGCCGGCATGCTCCACCAGCGACGGACGAATCGCCATGCGACGGAAAGAGTGATTAGTGATGTCATCCGTGTGATATCGCCGCCTCTCGTCGGTGAGCGAAGATGGAAGAGCCGATCGCTCGGATGTATCACCCCGAATCTGCAGGAACGACGAATTAGTTAGGAGTTGTAAATATGAAGAAACGTGTGAAGGTAGTTAAGGAGCTTGGAAACGGAACCGCACTTGCCTTCTTTGTGGTGATGCTTGAAGGAAAACCGAAGGGAAGTGAAGATCCGTACGACGGGCGAGCAGCGCCATGCGACGCCGAGAGCCGAGAGCCGGCATGCGCCAGCCGACGGGGAGAATCACCGCCGCCGTTGAGTGAAAGCTTGGACAGTTGAAGGGTCGACGGTGAGGAGAAGGGGAGAAGCGCTTCCATCGATCCGTCCATCGGTCACGCTTCCATCGACGTTCAGGTGGCATGACTTGGGCTCTCAAGTCTTGACTTGACTTGGCTTCAGTTGGACTTGGAAGCGTCCAGATGGTTGGCGGCTCTTAGGTCGTTAACCTCTCAGAACGGCAAGATGGTTGCCTGCAGGCAAAGCATAAAAAAAGGCGTTAGCAAAAAGCTTCCCAGAAGAACATCTAAGCTTCGGAGCAGAAGAAGCGTAATGAATATATTATTCAGAGGATAACACAGTCTGAAAACAGAGAGAATTTCTGGAGATTGTACTTACGTCAAGCGTCTTCATTTTCGCGTGAGGACGTGAAGAGCTGACGCGCCACAACAGCGAGGACGGGGACAAACGCCATCGGTCTTGTCGTGGCTGAATGGCGCTCCGTTCGTTGATCTCTGCTTAAGCTTTGGCTTCTCCCCGTAAAGATTTCTTCGCATTCTCGTCCCGTACTGAAGTTTCGTACGGAAGATCTCGCCGCGCTGAATATATCGCCGCGTACTGAATGTCTCGCCGCGTACTGAATATCTCGCCGCGTACTGAGAATATTGCTGTGACGAGTTCACGAGAAGGCTATCGCGGTGAAGGTGTTGCCGCGACAACCAGCCAACCCAGGGCGTCGTACAAGGTTCCGACCAAGGCACGCAAGCAGCTCGCTAGACTCTCTATACTACCCAACCCACCCCACCCACGACTTCTAAACTACTCTACGCTACCTCAGCGCTGCTGCATGCCTGGTGTTCCCCTTGTACTAGCCGGTTGGCTTCATGTAGCACGGACTGCTCCCTGGAGCTAGAAGCTTATAGTCCGTATTACAGAGCTCGTTAGGAAAGAGCTCAAGTGAACATTCCTTCGATGAGATCGTGAAAGAAGAAATGAGAAAATCAACTCAGCCGAAGGGACTTTGTTTTGTTCAATGAAAGGAATGCGAGGATCGAATGGCTTGAGAGCACGAACACAGAGCTGGTGAGACGATGTCTCCGCCGCAGGAACGAATTAGCAGACCAGCCACCTTGATTCGCGCTTTGTGTTTGGCGCATGCCGCCTCCCGCAGCGCCCCTTCGAATCAAATGTTATTCGCGCTTTGTGCTGCAGGGTGCGGAAAGGGGCGACACAGCGCGGCTGCATTTGTACCACTGTGGAGTGCGGGAAGAGCTCGCATTGGTTGGGTTGAATGACACAGTTTCAATGAATGGTGGTGAAACTGTTTCGCTGTCAACGGTGCAGATTTGGTCGAGCAATGTGATGGAGCTGTGCATCGTGCGATGGGCAAAACGAATCTGCGGATTAGAAGTGACAGCCTGAAAACCTCGATAGATTTGTTAGGCCGTCGAAATGTGTACAGTTCAAGCAACTGCCTTGCGTAACATTCAACAGTTTCAATTTCGAATACGAACAGTTTGAACAGCATAGAGTTCAGAGCCCAATTATGTGGTTCGGTTAGGTGGCAAACGAATCATCTCAGGGCGCGTACTGTTTGTTGTAAGGTCTGGTCGGTAGGCACCGTACGTCGGGCTAAGAGGTGGGGCAGGAATATATTTTTAAGGAGGAGGCTGACGTGGCTCTGCCTGGTACATCCAGACCTTGAGTTATTTAGTGAGCCTTGCGTGAGGTGCGGGATGGTGTTGGCATGGGTAGATTTTTTTACTGGGCTGAAATCTCGCGAATTTCTGCTCTCGCAACTCCGTTTGCTGCGTGTGAGTGAACCAGATTCGGGCAGCTGAAATAGCGAGGAGTGGTTGAGAGAAAATCACGCTGACCAATACGAATCGAGAGTGTTTCGGTCACGGTGGCTCAACCACCACGCCACATCAACCACCACCCTCCCCTCCCAACTTAGTTCGCCATTTTCTCCCGTCATCGTCCTTCCTTGGTTTCCAGCCTGTAAGATCTAAGCACGTTATCGCCGCCTCTTGGTTTTCATCCCGAATAGCTGCTTGGATCTGAGCGCAAGAGTTTGCACCGTAGATGAGTGATAGGCGCGCTTATTATTTACATGACGTAGTGAGGTAAGTACCGCCAGTAATCAATCCTAGCATCAGATTCGAGTGAAATAGTTACCGCCAGATGCGCGCATCAGATGTTTGTAGAGTAGCCAGTAGTCGGTACAATATTTTTTTCTTACGCATGCGGCTGGAGCAGTACGGTTATTTTGCGGACGAGTTACTAATGTTGATTCGCGGACGCATTTGTACTTTCGAGTTCCAAACACATTAACACCATCGATCTGCTGGCTCCTCATTAACACATTGCAGATGTATCGGTAGCGTCGGTTCGTACCCGTTAGCGTCGCAGTGCCGCCTACTCAAGACTGTAGAAGAATGGTAAGGCAGATGGTCAGGCGGAGGCGCATCATTCTGGACGGTTACCGCCTAGTGCGGTAGAAGAATGGAAATGAGAAAGGTAAGTGAGGTGGATGGGAGGCGGGGTTGGGGGGGGGGAAATATGGGGGGTAAGAGAGAGGGGGGGGGGGGGTGCACATCTCCCCTCGTTCACCTTTCGTCCCGCCTCGCTCCCCCCTCGTTTCCTTACCGCTCATCTCCTCTCCGCTGTCCTCTCTCCGTTCATTCCACCCCACTCTCCCCTAGTTCCCCCCCTTTTTATCATCTCATCTCCCTCCCTTAAAACCCTCACCTTCACCCTCTCTTCCCCCGTTTAACTACAATTTTCCTGCTCGCCTTTCTTTTCTCTCCTCTCCCCTCATCCCTCCCATCTTACTTCATTTCCCCTTCACTCCTCATTTCCTGCATCACTCACCCCTCGTTCCCCCCCCCCCCCCCCCCCCCCACTCACCCCTTATTCCACCCTCACTCACCCCGTTTCCCCCCCTCTGTTTCCCCACTTATCCCTCATGTCCAAAGCCCGTTCCCCTCATCTTCCCTCACTCTTCCGTATCCCCCCGCTTCGCCCTCTTCTCCTCCCCTTCTCTCCCCCAGCCCTTAAACCCCTCGACACTCACCCCTCATTTTCCCAAACCCATTCCCCACCCCCCTTCATCTCCATCCCCGCTCACCCAACATATTCAACCCGTCCAGCGCTCCCCCACACACATCCCGGCCCCCAAACCAATCCGCCTTCCCTCCCACACTTACCCTTGGTGTTCCACTGCCGTTCATTTCCCTCTCAGCTTCACAACCCCCTCCACTTTCTCCCCTTTCCATTGCCTCTATCTTCTCTCTCAACCTTCCTCCTGTGTCTGTCCCCTCCAGGCTTGCCTACCAATTTGCTTCTGTGACTTGCCTTTACTGAATTGCCTTTGTTGTGACTTTCCTTTGCAGCAGAGGAGGCAACCCCTACCTTGCGTGTTTTAATCGATTGCCTTGTTGGTCAAGTCAAAAGATCCATGTGTGTCTTGTGTGGCAGCTAGCATTACTATGATTCTTCCATCTCTCAAGCTGCGGTAATAAACCTCAGAGTTCACCACGGATTGGTTCTTGAGGATTCTTAGACAGTACTACGCATTATAATTTCAGGCTTGAAGTCCTTTCCTTCCTGGACTCTAGATCCTAAGCTGGATATCTGATTGACAGATGTTTGCAGCATGGCTTTCTGCTGAAACGCCTCGAGATGCATTGAGTGCAATAGTGGCAGGTCATCCCGCTGTTGTAATACCTGTAGCTTATTGCCTTGTGTGCATGACAGCATAGCACCCCTAGGATGAAGTGAAGACATTGAGGGGTGAGAAGTGGAGAGGATGACGTATTCTTCCGGATGAAGCTATCTTGTTCACCTTTGATGAGATTGTTTGAAAATACACTCATTTCACATGCTTGGAGCTAATTCATACTAGCATGATTTCTGAATTGTTAACTCATGACATGCGGCAGCAAAAAAAACGAAGGTGAAATCAATTTTCCTTATGTTGACTTGAAAAATAAACAAGTTTGCAAAATAGTAAAGAAATACAGCACTTTCTTTTTACGGAATTCCACTAAATATACGGTATGTATGCATGTACACGCATATGTATCTCGAAAATATTGTGTGTTCATTCATCGCATGTTTCCAATCCAACCGATTCACTGACAGAATCCCAGAGTGCTGAGGTGACGTGGCAATTCTGGTGCTGAGCGGGCACGGCCCCATCTGTATGCCTCGCGGCAAAGTTGGGAAAACTTCTGGAGTACCAATGGAATCGGTGTCCAGTCCACGTGTACCCTCGCTGATTCGCTTACGCTGGATTGCGATTTTCCCATACGAAGTGAAGAGCTATGTGTGTGATGCTCCTCAGACACGCTGCTTGTCGCACGACCTGCTGAGCAAGGTAGTCATTTTTGGTGGCATTCTTTGATCAGTTTGTTGACAGCAACCCTGCTTCCTCTTTCCTTATCGTCAGACGATTGCACTGCTACAATGGCGGCCATTGCGTCGTCCTCCGCCGTGCGCGTTGCTGCCTTCTCCCTGAAGGCCAACAGCCAGAAGAAGCTCAATGGCAGCAGCTTCGTCGCTGGCGCTCCCCTCCGGGTGTCGTCCTCCGCCATCTCCTCCCGCTTGACAATGGCGGCGGAGGCTCCCGAGGGCTTCTCTCCTCCCGAGCTGAAGTCTGACACTCCCTCCCCGATCTTCGGTGGAAGCACCGGTGGCCTTCTCCGTAAGGCTCAGGTCGAGGAGTTCTATGTCATCACCTGGGAGTCTAAGAAGGAGCAGATCTTCGAGATGCCCACCGGTGGTGCCGCCATCATGAGGTCCGGCCCTAACTTGCTGAAGCTCGCAAGGAAGGAGCAGTGCCTCGCTCTCGGTACACAGCTCCGCACCAAGTTCAAGATCAACTACCAATTCTACCGAGTGTTCCCCAGCGGTGAGGTCCAGTACCTTCACCCCAAGGATGGTGTGTACCCCGAGAAGGTGAATGCTGGCCGTGCCAACGCGAACGTGAACCTCCGCTCTATTGGCAAGAACGTGGACCCCGCAGCTGTGAAGTTCAGTGGCAAGCGCGCCATTGATCTGTAGATTGTTTGTGATGGCCTCCCTGTACATGCGTGTCAGCTAACTGTGTTGGACGCACGTATGGGTTATGTAATGAAATCATACTTGTTTTTCCCCTTGATTCAATAGAACCGCTTGCTCGTATCCTCCAAAAACTCGTTGAAAGCTGTGTTAATCCAGCCCGACTGAGACTCAGTCCCTCTGGCCATGTAAACAATGTTATTTACATTTGCTGGCCTGCGGACATCAACAGAGCACGGTCCTTGACCATATCCATTGTCTTATCAGATTAATCATACTTCAAAGTACTATTCCCAAGGAAGTTGCAGCATGACGGTGGTATGGTATACTTACATGGCCATTTTTTTAGATGTTTCAACATTTACAGCATTGATAGTGTTCACATCCATTATTCGTTTTTTTTTTCCTAGTCAGGTTGATGTTGACTTATATCGAGTTCCGAGACAAGCTGGGTGGTCCCATTCCAGCCTCTATTGCTGCACACGTGTTTTTCCGTCCCCATAGACCTGGGTGTGCTGGCAGTGAGTCAACAAGGCGACCACTGACCTTTGATTAGAACGATACCCATTTTGGCGGGGGTTGCCCCAAGCCTTTCTTCCAGGACGTAAATTCGGGAGTTTCTAGTCAACTGACTACATTCCCTTCCCTGCAATCCGCTGACAACCATTATGTGATCAATTCCACGACATCCCAATCTGGTCGACAAACCCACGCAATGTTCACCTCGGGATTCCCGCAGATGACCCCAACTTCCAGGTTTCAGAACCACGCGAAACTGAATGCCTGTTCGTCTACCCACCTGCCCGCCTGCCCGACTGCACACCTGCCCGTCTGCCCAGCCTACCCCGTCCCACTGACCCATGCTATGCTGTTCACGTGCCGCTGCTCCAAGCTGTTGGGGAAGGAGTTGCGGCGCCGATTCCCCGACTAAGCGAGGGTAGGAAGAACACCCCCTCCCCTACCCTCCACTCCATCTTCCCCACCACCGCGGAAGGTCCGCGGACCGCCAGCCCTGCGCCTACAACTGGAGTTGCGCAATGCGCAACCCGAAGTGGCCTGATCCAGTTTGAGCGCATATGACAGCAGCGCAGCGGAACGGATGGATGATGGATGGAGCCTAGTTAGCGTCGGCACTACTTTCTCGACTGACTTGGATGTCTGTGCGGGCAGGTGGGAGGGTGATTCTGCAGGTACGGATGTTTTGTGGCAGGTTGCACTCGATTCGGTTCGGTTTGGCCTGGTTGGGAGGAAGTAGAGCTCTCCCCTCCACCTTCATTCATCTGTGCCTGCAGCTCTGATTGGTTTCAAGGCCAGTTCAAAATACGGAAAAGTGCGTCGAGCATGGACCTTCAAGGTCGTAGAGGTATTTTTGACGTGGACGCCTGGCATTTTGTTTTTGAACACAATTATACCTGTTTTCCTTGTCGACGTGACCACCTATTTTTTTGACAGACACCTCACACGCTACTATGTTGTATTTTAGTCTAGCTCGCGCTGACTGCTTGTCAGGCTAAACTGGTTCTAGAGGCTTCGACTCGTAAATTCATAATCGGCGAGTCCCCGTCAGCTAACGACGCTTTTTATTGTCGAGTTCTCTTGTTCGTAGTGGCCTCCTGATTTGGCGACAATGTTCAAAGTGTAGCATATCTGACGCTTGAATCCCTCTCGCTTGCACGGATCCTATTTAGCATCAGGCATACACAATCGCGACGTCTTCGCCGCGTTTCAAGCGTCGTCCCCTTACCGCCTCCATCCTCGTTAGAAAATCGTTACATAATGCCTTCAACCAACCGGAGGAGTCGGCGAGCGGAAAGAAGGCGGAGGCCTGGCTCCGCGCTCCGGTGCCTGCGCGCGCGCATCTGCGCGTACTGCCTGCACGGGCTCACGCCGCACCTGCGCAAGGCTGTCGAGTATCTGCTGCTTCTGATCGCCGTCGCGCTGCTGCTGCTGCTCTTTTTCATGCACTCCACGTTCGTTCATCAGGTAGGATCCTGCTGGGGTCTGCTTTTGGGGCAATTCTGACGCAGGCTCCAGCACCTCCTGCTGTTGCTGTTGCTGTTGCTGTTGCTGCTGCTGAAGTTTCTTCCCGGACAGTCAAAGTCCCACGGGTCACTGGTCATGAAGACGAGCAGCGGTACTAGAGGTCTCGCTTTAGCAAAAGACGATAGTTACTCAATGAAAGAAATTAACCCTTGAAACTTTGAGTAAACACCGGACGTACAAACTCGATTCAACACTGGGACTTGCCCCTACTAGATACTCGCGTTAGTTGGTTGAATTCTGAAGTATTATCCCACGTCAATCCCACGTCAATCGTCCCCGTAGTCTGTACCGCATCCCTTCCCTCCATCCCCCCACTTCATCTCCTCCCCATCCCCTCTCCCTCCCCTTTCCGTCCCTTCCCCGCGCCTGCCCCTATTCCCCGCGCTCTCTCCCTGCGCCGACCTTTCCTTCCCCCGATTCCTCCGCGCAGCCGTCGTGCGCGGCTGAATTCGAGCCAGACGAAGGCCCGCAGCCGCAGCTGCTGCTGATTAAGGTGCGTTTCCCGCTCCGCGGCTCAAGTTGCGCCTTAACTCCGCTTCGCGGATTTTACCGTCCTGCTCTGCTCTGCTGACAGGCGGCCAGCGTTTTAACTCTGCCGCTCGTGGCTCCAACCCCTCCCTCCTCCCCCATCTCCCCCCATCCCGCTCCCGCTCTTCCCGTTACGCATTCGAGTTAATCCTTGTTGAGGGGGGGCGGTTAAGCTGCGTTAGCTGGCTGGATTAGGTCAAGAAGCTAGTCCAACGAATGAGTGCCTGCTCCCGCCCCTTTCCTCACATCCGCGCCCCTGCGCTTCTCCATCCGCGCCCCTCCGCGCGTTCCCCCATCCGCGCAGATCTCCGGAACTGGCTTGGGTTTGCTCCGCCAAGCGCCGTTCCTGCAGCTATCCACCCCCGCGGCGCAACGCGAGGGGATAGGCGTAACAGGTGGCGCGCGGAAGGGCGCGGGGGAAGGGGGCGGTGGCGGAAGGGATTCATGGGTTGCGGGGGGGGAACAAGCGGGGGGCGGCGGGGAGGAAGCGGTTGCCGGGGGAAGTGTGGCAGCAGAATTCGGTGGGGGAAAAGAGACGGGGAAAAACGAGGGGCAGTGTGGGGTCGGGGGAGGGGAGGAGAAGTTGGAGGGGTGCGGGGAAGCGGGGAAAGCGGCAGGCATGGGGGGAATGGTAAGAGAGAGCAATTCGTGCAGCAGTAGCAGCAGCAGCTGCCACGTGGCGGGATACGCGGAGGGAATTCTTAACCTTCAGGAGCAGCAGGAGCTAGGGCTGCGCGGTCCCTCTGTTCCCGCGCAGCAGGGTTCCGCCGCCATCCGCGCGGATAGCGGAATTTACTTCCCCCAGGGGGGGTCTACTTCCCCCTCTGGTGGCGCTGACTTTCCCCTCGAAGGAAGTGCGGAGAGCTCTGCAGGAGGGTTGGGGGGGGTGGGGGAGTTGGCGGGGATGGGGGGAACGGAACCGGGGGGAGGGGGGGGTGGCGAGCCGTTAGCAGGGGCGGGAGGGGGCGCAGCAGCGGCGGGGGGGGGTGCGGGGGGTGGAGCGGGCGGGTGGCAGGGGCGCGGGTGGGCTCGCGTGGGGCATGCGCTGAACGAGGGGCTGCTGCGCGCGACGCAGAGGCGGCTGCGCGTGGACGTGCAGCTGCTGTGGCGCTTCCTGCAGATCCTGTGCCTGCAACTGGTATGGGCTGGGATGGGTTGGGATGGGCTGGGATGGGATGGGATGGGATGGGATGGGATATTTGCTGGGATGGGCTGAGTGGGTTGAATGAAGGGTGCCTGCGCGTGGATGTGCAGCTGCTGTGGCGCTTCCTGCAGATCCTGTGCCTGCAACTGGTGTGTGTGGCATGGGATGGGATGGTATGGCATGGTATGGGATGATACGGACGGTACAGGGAGTGCACTGGGAGCAGAGGGGGAGCAGAGCGGTGCTTCCCTCCTGCATGATACGGAATGATACACGTCCACCGATATTGCCGCTGTTGTCTCAAAGGGGACAGCCTCGCACCGACACAATGGCCCTTTGAGACAGCCTCGCTCCTACAAACACCCACCTTCCCCTTGTCCCGCACCCCCCTCCCGTCCCCTCCCAACCCCCCTTCTCCTACCCGCCAATGGCTACAGAGGGAGGGCTTGAGGGGAGCTGCATCCACCCCCATTGCCACTGTCACCTCGGGACGCAACCGCTCAGAGCGCCTGGCACACCGTGAGTTAGGATGCCATGCTGTGGTGTAATATGCCATTCCATATCCTTCACCCTCCACCCTTCCCTCCCGCATTCCTCCCTTCCGTCATCCCTCCCTCCTCTCCCATCCTGCCTCCGCCCCTCCTTTCTTTTCCCCTCCTTGCCATTCATACGTCCCATCATTTCTCCATGGGAATTTATCGTTGTCCATTCAACCATGCCAACCCTCAGTTAGCCTATCTTCCAACTCCCTCTTCCATTCTCCATCCATCCCCATTCACCCCCATTCACCCCAATTTTTCCCCATCCCTCCCCATCCCCATCCATGCCATCCGTGCCCATCCATCCCCCCTGTCTCCCACCAGTCTTTCCTGAGTCTTTACGTACGCGTTTTGAGGCGCCCCTGTTCGTTTACACAGAAGAAAAGGTGCGTGCCTTTCAAATACTTTCATAAGTTCATGACTGGCTTCGTATTCCCCTCTCATCAACCCCCTCCCATCACACTCCTCCTATCATCTCATCACTTCTTTCCTCCCCACACGTCTCGCATCAAACCCTAAAGCTCAACATCCCTCCATCCCCTTCCCCATGCTACCCCATGCCCATCCAGGCGTATCTAGCAATGTCAGAAGCAGCCAAGGAGATGGTGGGCGTGCGCTCGGTCAACAAGAGCATCCCTGCTCACAACCGCTGCTTTGGCGCCTGGTGGGTGCTGCAGCAGGTGGGGGCGATGATGGGAATGATGTGGTTGGGTGGGGCGATGGGGGTTGGGGGAATGATGGGAATGATGTGGATGATGGGGGTGATGGGATTATGGTTGTGGTTCGTCATATTTGTAACGTTTTGAGTCTATGTTTGCATGGTTGCGTGTGGGAGCATATACCCCATCACTGCACCTGCCATTACCACACATGCGCACATGCACACATCACATGACAGGTGGAAGAGTGTGTTGGTAGATCTAGTGGTGGGATACGATACGACACCATCCTTATGAACTCCCTCATCCCTGCGCCTGTCACCACCACCCATGCGCACACCCATGCACACTTGCGCACATGCACGCATGCACTGCATGTGGCAGGTGGAAGAGTGTGCTGGTGGATCTGGTGGTGGGGTGCGGCACCTTTCTTATGATCTCCCTCATCTCTGCGCCTGTCACCACCGCCCATGCACACACTCATGCACACACTCATGCGCACTTGCACTCACGCGCGCACGCACGCGTGTGGCAGGTGGAAGAGTGTGTTGGTGGATCTGGTTATGGGATACGACACCATTCTCATGAACTCCCTCGTCTCTGTGCCTGTCACCACCACCCATGCCATGCGCACACTCATGCGCACATGCACCGCATGTGGCAGGTGGAAGAGTGTGTTGGTGGATCTAGTGGTGGGATATGACACTATTCTAATGAACTCCCTCATTTCCTCGCGAGGCAAAGGTGCGAGCGCATGTGGGTGGGATGGATGGATGAACGTGACCCTCTTGCTGTTTGAGTCAACCTTGAAACGAAACAAACCAAAACGAATCAAATGGCGCATAAAGGAGACGGAAACCTTCCTTGTTGTCACTTAGTGGCAGGCAGAGCCAGTTTCCATGGAGCCTAACCTGCCGCCGCTCCCACCCCCACCCCTCTCTCCCCCCACCCCTCTCAGGTTTCCTGTACAACGCGCACACCAAGGAGCTATACGATCTCAACCTTGCAGCCACCAGAGGCAGAGCCGCTGCTACGTCCTTCGAAGGTAGGGCTATGAGGCTAGTTTAGGGCGGGGTGACAACTGGGGTGAATGAAGGGAGGGAGGAGGACAGGGGTGAGGGGAGAGAATGAGCGGGGGAATTAAAGGAGGTGGTGGTGGGGGGAGCTGACATTAGTTGCAGCAATTTTGTGTGCTGCCTACGAAGCCAGTCAACCCTTAAGCTACCTCCACTGAACCCTGCTGAACCGCACTGGACCCTACTGAATTCCCGCTGAATCCCTCTGAACCCCGCTGAACCCTTTGGCAGACGTGATCTCGTTCAAGATCGGAGTGGTGTTCACATCAGTGTTTATATTCTTCATGACCCTCCTCGCTGTCTCCTTCACCCTCAGAGAAACGCAGAGCCGCATGCTCAAGTTCACAAGTAAGACGAGGGCTGGGTTGGGGAGGCGGTGCAGTGGTGGTGGTGAGTGTGAGTGTGGTGGTGGTGAGGGTGGTTGTGCTGGTGATGATGCTGGTGCGTGTTATCTGATCTGCATGCTTGCAGTTGTTGATACAACTGTTCCAGTTCACAAGTAAGACAAGGACGAGAACTGGGGTAGGTAGGGAGGCGGTGGTGGTGGTGAAGGTGGTTCTGCTGATGAGGATTGATGGCGTTGGTGCTGGTGGTGTGAGGGTGAGAGAGAGTGCTGCTGTTGCATCCTCCATCGCCCTACCCCACCACACCACCAACCCCCTTCTTTCCCTCTTCCACCCACTCTCTCCCTCCCGCCTGTCGCCCTGCACCACCATGCGAGGCATCACCTGCCCACGTTCCGCCCTTTGAGACGTCTCAAAAGTCACCACCATTCCTCTTCTGTCCCTCCCTCCCTCCCTCCCTCCCTCCCTCCCTCCCTCCCTCCCTCCCTCCCTCCCTCCCTCCCTCCCTCCCTCCCTCCCTCCCTCCCTCCCTCCCCCCCGCCCGCCAGTCGCCCTGCACCACCACGCAAGGCACCGTCTCCCCACGTTCCGCCTCATCGCCATGCACATCCTTGAGTCCCTCGTCTTCATCCCGGTGAGTGCACCCAGACCACGAGCACAGGCACAGGCACAGGCACAGGCACAGGCACAGGCACAGGCACAGGCACAGGCACAGGCACAGGCACAGGCACAGGCACAGGCACCATCCTTGGAGGTCCCTCTTCCTATTCCCCTGAGCCTCTTGCCTTGGCCCCTCTCATCGTTTTCCCCTAATGTCTCTTCATCTCCTCGTCTCCTCGTTTGTGTTTTTTTTGTTATTCTTGGGACAACCTTTCCTGGTTGTGGTCCTGCTTGCCTGCTGCCTCCTGCTCATACCCTTTACCCTTTTTACCCCCAACCCCACCCCCACCACCATCCCCCTGCTCCCCTCCCTCCCCCTCAGATCATGATCGGCATTCTCTTCGTCCTCTTTGAGTTCTACGACGACCAGCTCCTGGCCTTCATGGTGCTCACGCTCGTGTGGCTCTGCGAGATCTTCACGCTCATCAGGTGCGTGCGCGCTCATTGGCGCTGGTTCCCTTTGAGTCGACTCAAAAGTCACCTCATCAGGTGTGTGCGTGCTCATTGGCCCTGGTTCACTCCCTGTGTGCCTGCCTGCTGCGCATTTTTTAGTCGACTCAAAAGTCGGCACTGGTTCACTCCCTGTGCCTGCCTGCTGCGCATTCACCTCACTCACTCTCGGCTCAAGTGAATCAACTTCTGAGGCGCCCCAAGTGTTGAGCCTGATTCTCTTTGCTCCTTTTCCTTCACCCGTGCCTGCCTGCCCGTTTGCTGCTCGTCCCTCCCTGCAGCTGTCGTTCCCCTCTGTCGCGGCGATTCTTCCCCAAGTTCTTCTTCCTCTTCTTCCTCCTCTTCCACGTCTACTTCTTCACATTCACCTACGGTGCGCCATACCTGCCCTGCCCTGCCCCATTTGAGGCGTCTCAAAAAGTCGCTGTTTCTTCCCCAAGTTCTTCTTTCTTCCTCTTCTTCCTCCTCTTCCACGTCTACTTCTTCACATTCACCTACGGTGCGTCATACTTGCCTTGCTCTTCCCGTCGTTGAGGCATCTCAGAAGTTCTTACACTAATTCAAACGGAAAAAAAAGGGGTGTTTTCTTTCTCCTCCTGTTTCACGTTTGCGCCATGGCTTTTACGATCTTTCCTACAAAGGCATTTCGCCTTATGCGGCGCCTCAAGAATGTGTAGCTTGCTCCGAGCTGGTTTTTGAGAATTCTCCCTTCATCTCAAAAACCAGCTCTTATGCGGCGCCTCAAGAATGTGTAGCTTGCTCCGCATTCACTGCTCCCGCACTTCAATCCAGTCGTGTCCAGCCCCGATTCCCTTTTATCCCCCGTCGCGATCGCATTTCTTAATCAATTTGCCAACTCTCCCTCTGAGACCTACTCAACTCGCTGGAGTCCCTCTGTCTGTCCGTCTGTCTGTCTGTCTGTCTGTCTGTCTGTCTGTCTGTCTGCCTGTCTCCTCCGTCCGGTCTCCGTCCCCCCGTCCCTGCAGGGTTCTCCTATCTAGCCTTTGCCACAGCAGCAGCCTTCCTTAACCACATTGCCATCTTCCTCTGGAGTTGACTTAAGAGTCGCCCACCCCATTGGAGTCGACTTAAAAAAAGTCCCTCTGTTTTCCGGTCCCCTTCCCCTCGTCCCCCCGTCCCTGCAGGGTTCTCCTATCTAGCCTTTGCCACAGCAGCGGCCTTCCTTAACCACATTGCCATCTTCCTCTGGAACCGATGCGAGGTGCGTGTGTGTGTGCAGCATGGTGATGTGGGGTGCAGTGCGGTGACGTGAGGTGGGCGGGTATGCAGTGAGGTGGATGAGTGCAGGCGTGGGCATGTGAGGCAAGATGTACAGGGGGTTGTTTATCCAGCCATCTTGGTGAACCAAGGTGGCTGGTTACAGCACGGCTCAAACCCTAAATACTTTTGAGACGTCTCAAAAGTCATCTTGGTGAACCAAGGTGGCTGGTTACAGCAGGGCTCAAACCCTAAATACCCCACAGCATGCCTTATAGCCTGTCCTTTCCCCCAGCATACCCCCCAGCATACCCCCCAGCATACCCCCCAGCATACCCCCCAGCATGCCTCCCAGCATGTCGTATAGCCTGCCATATAACCTGAAGCCAAGTCATCTTCGTGGTTTGCCCTACTTGCGCTCTCCTCTCCCCAGCTATACCCTGGTTCCCCTGCTTCGCCACTCCGTATCTTCCCTTCCCTTCCCTCCTTACCTCCCTCCCCCTTCCGCCTCCCTTCCAACCCAACTCAAATCGCCTCTTCGTGCATCAAGCAGAGAGAGCAGCAGGAGTTGCCACATCACGCCCTTCTCACCCTCCCTTCTCTTTACCCTTCCTTCTCCTTTTTCTCTTCTCTTTTCCCTCTTCCCTCGTCCCTCTTCCCTCTTCCCTCTTCCCTCTTCCTTCTTCCCTCCAAACCCACTTGCACCAAACAGAGCGAGCAGCAGGAGCCGCCTCAGCACGCCATGCAGCAACAGATTGCAGGAGCAGGAACAGGAGGAGGAGGAGCAGGAGGAGGGGGAGCAGGAGGAGGAGGAGGAGGAGGAGGGAGGGCAGGCAGGCAAAGACCCCCTCATTTTGCTGCTGATGCTGCTGCCACTGGGGGCAGTGGCAGTGGGGGCCGTGGGGGCAGTGGGGGCAGCGGGGGCAGTGGCAGCAACAGCAGCGGTGGCGGCGGCAGTGGTGGTGGCAGTGGTGGTGGTGGGGGGAGAAGTGGTGGTGGTGGCAACAGCAGCACTGGTGCTGGTGGGAGTGGTAACAGCAGTAATTGCACAAGTGGTGGCATTTCCAGTGGCAATGTCAACGGCTGTTGCAGTAACTGTAGCAGGAGCAGTAGCAGTATCAGTAGCAGTAGCAGTAGCAGTGGCACCAACAGTAGCAGGACCAATAGCAGTAGCAGTTGTGGTCGAGGCAGCAACAGTGGCAGCGGCAGCGGCAGCAGCAGTGGCAGCGGCAGCGGCAGCAGCAGCAACAGTGGCAACAGCAGTAGTAGGCACGAGTGTGGGTTTTCTGCTGGTGGACGAAGGGAAAGGGGTCCGGAACCTCTTGTAACCTCACACCAGCAGCCACAGCAGCAGCAGCCAGAGCAGCAGCAGTCAGATCAGAATCAGTTAGAGCAGCAACAGTCAGAGCAGCAGCAAATGCGAAGAGAGCAGCATGAAGAGCAGTGCGGGCAAACGCCACAACAACACATACACAGCCCGTCATGCCAACACCCTTCCAACCAACACTCTTGCTACCATCCCTCCTCTTACCAGCACTCTTCCATTCAACACGCTTCCTACCGGCCCCCCACCGTCAACCACCCTTCAGAAGCACACCCTTCAAGAGCACACCTTCCCGACCATCACCCTTACAACCGTACCCTTCCACCACACACAAAAGTTCTGCACTCCTTGTCGTGCCCACCCCGCACCACTTGTCCCAGAAATGAAGACGAAGAATCGTCCTCCTCGCTCCTCCCCTCCTCTGCTCCTCCTCTCCACTCCCCTCCTTTCCCTTACCTCTCTTTCCTCCTCTCTCCCTGCCGCTCCAGTCTCTGCCACCATAACCCTTGCCCCAATACACAATCCGAAAGCCTCGATTCACAATCTATACTTCTCATTCCTTGGTCCCCCCTCCGTGATCCTCTCCGCTTCTGCTGCGATCCTGCTGTTTGTTGGCCTAGGGATGTCCAAAAGAAGGCTTTAGGCAACAGCAGCTGCAGCGGCTGTAACAGCAACAGCAGAAGCACCAGCAATAACAGTAGCAGTAACAGCAGGAGCTGCAGTAACAACGGGTGCAGCGACAGCAGCAGCACCACCACCACCCGCGGCATCTGCAACAGCAGCAGCAGCAGCAGCGACTATTCAGTTGTTTCATCTTATCCTCCTCCCTCCGGTACCCCTGCACCCACCATCTCTTGTCCATCCCTGGTAATCCAGTTACCACCCTCGTTGCCTTTCCCTGCCTGTCCCTCCCGCCTCTCTTTTTCGCCTGGAACAACACATTCGGCTGCAGCAGCAAGATTGTCAGAACCAGCAGCAGCACCGCCACCACAACCACAATCACCGCCACCGTTCGCCGCGGCAGCAGGAGCAGGAGATGAGGCATTGTGTACTGAGCCTTCTGTCCCTCCTCTCATCCAGTCCCCATCATCCTGGTTCTCCTCCATTTTCTTAACGCCCACTGCTTCTGCTGACGACGCCACAGCTCGTGCTGATGCTGTCGTTGCAGTTGCTTCTCCTGTTGCTGCCCCTTCTTCTGCTGCTGCTGATGCTGCTGCTGATACTGCTACCGATGCTGATGATGCAGCTTATGCTGATGCTCATGCTCCTGTTGATGCCAGGGGTGCATGTGGGAAAGATGGGTCCCACACATGGGAGGGTGAGGGGTTATTTGAGCTTCAGTCCAGCGCAAGGGGGTATGGAGGGGTGTGGGAAGGTGGGGGCTTGTGGGACCACGAGGAGGAGGAGCAGTGGGGTTGTGCTGATGTGGTGGGGAGGAGTGCGGATGGGTGGAATGGTGTGAGCAGCGAGGGAGGGGGTGTTGATCGTGCAGGTGGGGGGTCTGGTTGGGGCCGTGAGCAGGGAGTTAGGGTTGAAAGCTGTGATGGGTATGATAGTGATGAGGAGGAAGAGGAGGAGGAGGGGGGGGAGGAGGAGGAGGAGGAGGATGCAGGCATGAGTGATGGTGGTGAGGATGAGGAGATTATTAGTGTTACTGCTGATGTTGACATGGGCTGTGATGGTAGCAGCATTGACGCCGTAACTGCACCTGCTGCTGCTGCTGCTGCTGCTGCGGCTGTTGCTGCCTCTGCAGATGCAACTGGCGCTGATGATAGCGATGATGGTTCGAGCAGCAGGCAGGATCGCAGCAACCATTGCACTCCTCTCACGGCCTTACACCACCCTGCACATACACAAGAGCTTCCCCTAACCCAACAGCGCACCAGAAAAAACACCGACCAGCAGCCAAGTCTCCTACTCACAACTCCTTTTATGCCAGTCTATTCGAGGCATCAGAGGGGGGAAACAGGAGAGAGTATGGGTGAGAGGGTTCTGAACGGGCCTAAAAGACTGTTATATCACAAGAGGGGAGCGGGTGGGTGTGCGGGTGAGCTTATCAGGCAAAGAGTCGTCTCGCTTCCTGAGCTCCATGCTCTTCGATCGCCAGCGAAGCAGAGTGCGACCAATAGTCGTGCACAGGAGGTACAAGGCAGGTTACTTATGGGAGAAGGAGAGGAGCTGCTTCTTCTAAATCGGTGACTGGCAGCAGATTCCAGAAGCATGAAGTCGTGCTTACGAAGTATGGGGGCTGAAGTTTCCTTCCTTTCTGTAATTGCATTGTCAGTTACGGAAAAGCATGCATTGAGTGAAAGGCCACTACAGGCCGGGGCCTCGGACTAGTCACTCGGTGCTCGTGTCAGGTCAGGTGTGCGTGCTTGTGTTGTCACCATGACAGTGGGGTCGCATCGCATGGTCTCATCTCAGCACATACCATACATACACACGCAGCTATTCCGACAGTCTGCTCACTGAGTGGTGATGCTTGCCAATGCCAGCCAACTAACATGGCACCGCACAGCACTCCTAAACCCTCGCAACACAATGTAAACGGATGCGCATATGGTAGTGTAAATCGTAATGCCGAATAAGCGGACGCTAGGAGCCTGCCTGCACTGTCAGCAGCAGCAGCAGCCACAGCGAACCCAAGGCCCCTTGGTCTTCCTTCCTTCCTCCTACCCACTGGTCAAAGGAGTAGTGTTGGTCTCATAAGCCCCATGCTCCACTTCCAGCCACCATGCAAGTACGTGCCGGTACCACACACTTTCATGCGTATCATATGTGTGCATTTCTCTCGTACGGTCCACACAGGCTGCTCTAGAAGATTAGATGGTGTTGAAGGGTCAAAGCTTGTACGATATGCAATTTTCATTTTAATTATTCAATAACACTCCTTTTAATTATTTTAATAGCACTTGCAAGAAAACAGTTGGTGCAAAGGCAATCGGGCCGTCGAGATACTCAGTCTGATCCAGTCCCGGCCAGAAATTCGAAACAAACAAGAAACAGCGAAATAATCCTAAGGAAATGCAACCTGCGCTTGAATGATGACAAATCTACACCACACAAGCTGCTCCGTTTTTACATCTGCGTATGTGTCAGGGGTAGCCTTGCGGTTAGCCGTCCTGCATTAGTGAGTGGCTTTCCAACAGAGAGGACGGGTACAGTACGGTACGGTAGGGTGCAGTAGGCTATCGTAGGGCAGGGTAGGGTAAGGTAGAATATGTGCTGCGTTGTGACTTCAACGTGTGTATCTGTGACCAGACCAGAACGAGAATGAGACTCGCTGGTGAGTAGTAGCAGAATCATCAATAGATGGTGAGTCAGATCAGATCACTCGGTGTTGGACGGCCATGTATCCACTTGCACGGTGCGGATCGGAGTGAACTCCCCCTCTCCGCCATACCGGCTTGGCAGCTGCTTCCGCGGAATGGCTGCCTGTAGGGTCTCATCGATCGCCTTATCCTCCAGAAATCGGAACTGGAGGGGGGAAGAGGGTAGGGGAGACAGGGGGAGATGAGGGCACTGGCTGCCTGTAGGGTCTCATCAATCGCCCTGTCCTGCAGGAACCGGAACTGGTGGGTTGGGTGGGCATTAGAAGAAAAAATGGGCGAGACAAATGGCCGCCTGCAAGGTTGGATGGGGTGTTGAGGGGAATGGCTGCCTGTAGGGTCTCCGCCATTGCCTTGTCCTCCAGGAGCCGGAATTCCGGGGGAAGAGAGGGGCGGGAATTGGGTGAAGGAAAAAGAGGGAAGGGGAAGAGAGGGTCCAGCATATTTGTCTTCAAGTGTGCTGCAAACAAAGCTGTCACAGTGAGCCCATGCTTGTGCCACTTGTGAGAAACTCTCAAAAACAACAACGGCCGCGCGCGCACCAAAGAACGGCGGCGCCCGCACCACAACAGCCGCGCGGGGTTGATGCAGGGCGAGACGAGCTTTCACGCTGCTGCTAGCCCTCAGTGAACCAGCAGCGAAACTGCTGCTGGCGAACTGGTCACAGCGAGCGCATGCAGGCATGCGCACGCACATGCACGCACATGCACGCACATGCACGTAGATGCACGTACATGCACACACGCACGCACGCACGCACGCACGCACGCACGCACGCACCTCCTTCTTGGTGATGGGGTGGATGAAAGGCGAGACGAGCTTCCAGAGCGTCCATGCCCCTGTCCAGGGCAAACCTAGCAACAGCAACTGCTGCTAGCGAACCCCTGTCGCAGCGAGCGCATGCAGGCATGTGAGAGCGCAGCGCACCTTCTTCTTGGTGATGGGGTCGATGAAGGGCGACACGAGCTTCAAGCCCCTGTATATGCCCCTGTCCAGGGAGAACCTAGCAACAGCATCTGCTGCTAGCGACCCCCTGTCTCGGCGAGCACATGCAGGCAGACAGACAGGCATGTGCAGGCATGTGAGAGCGCAGCGCACCTTCTTCTTGGTGATGGGGTCGATGAAGGGCGACACGAGCTTCCAGAGCGTCCAGAAGACGGTGGGCACGTGGATGAGGAAGAGACAGATGAGTCGCTCCGGGTACTGGTTCTGCACGCTCACAGAGAGGCAGAGAGACAGAGAGACGCGCACAGAAAGACGCGCACAGAGAGACAGAGAGACGCGCACAGGGAGACAGAGAGACGCGCACAGAGAGTCAGGCGCGCACGGAAAGACAGAGAGGCGGAGATACACACGTAAGAAGTGAGAATTACTTTTGCGAATTCTGGACTGTGGCTCTGATACTACTGGCACAGCGCATGGCTCATCGTGACACTTGAAGTCGCTCATCCTGTGTGCAGATTGCTACAAGGATTGTGCAGAGAGTCGCACCCATCCACACCATTCTCCACAGTGCCATACCGTACCTGCAGCAGCACTGACTGCTATCGCAGCAAGCACCCCAGCCACGCGACCTCGTGGCAGGGACGGGGGCATGTCTAAGGTAGACGAAGTAAGGCATCATCGACCCGGCAGGCTGGCAGGGACGGGGGCATGTCTAAGGTAGACGAAGTAAGGCATCATCGACCCGGCAGGCTGGCAGGGACGGGGGCATGTCTAAGGTACAACACACCTAAGGCATCGTGCCTGCAACACGGCAGCACAGCAATGGCGGCAATCACTCCGCGCGTGTCCAGGTTGCGATACGCCAGCCCTCCCTCACGCACCCCTTCTCTCACTATCACTCACGCCCCCCCACCCCCCCCTTCCTGCCCGCACCCCACCTCCACCTCTCCACACCATCATACCTGCAGCGCGGCGATAGCGGCAATCACTCCAGCTACGCAACCAGGCAGGCACGAGGGCACGGCTAAGCAAGGTAGACATAAGGCATCATACCTGCAGCACGGCGATAGCGGCAATCACTCCGCGCGTGTCCAGGTTGCGATACGCCAGGCCCTCCATGTCTATGATCACCCCGCACTTGTGGAAGCCCGCCGCGCGCGAGCTGTGGGGAGGGGTGAGGGGGTGAGGGGTTGAGGGGGTGAGGAGTTGAGGGGGTGAGGGGGTGTGCGCTAGTGCCGCAAGCCAGGTTGCGATACGCCAGGCCCTCCATGTCTATGATCACTCCGCACTTGTGAAAGCCCGCCGCGCGCGAGCTGCGCGGAAGGGGGGAGTTGGGAAGGGGAGAGGGGAGGGGAGGGGAGGGGAGAGGGGCGGTGACGTGAAGGAGGGGGCGAGACGGGGAGCGCGGGGGACATGAGAACGGGATACAGGCACAGGCCACGCAACAGTGAGATGGGGGAGGCGAGAAAAAGTGCGAATCCAGAATCTTCAGCATAGGAGGTGAGAGGGGAGAGGGGTGCTGCGATGGGTATGCTGAGGTGGCATGGGCAAGGCGGGAACCAAGTAAGGGGGAATAACAAGGGTGGTAACCGCAAGGGGTGGTAACCGCAAGGGGTGATAATGCGTGCTTCTCACCTGCCAAGAGCCGCGTCCATGCCGTATACTATGAGACCTGCGGCGCATACAAGGAGAGGGCGAGGGCGAGGGCGAGGGCGAGGGGGAGGGGAAGATAGGGAGAGATGGAAAGAGAGAGGGAGATTTGAAACACTGTGGACGAGGAAGGGCGACTGAGGGAGCACACGACAGAGCGAGCGACAGGGAGAGCGACAGATCGAGCAAGAATATAGACGGAGAGCGACGGAGATCGATGGACGGAGATCGACGGAGGGCGACGGAAGGCGACGGTGAGCGACGAGGGGAGAGCGCCGGGGACAAACGAGGGCGACGGCGGAAAGCGCTTGTTGGAGTGCACTCACGGACGAATTCGTCCAGATCGCGCGTGTTAGCCATACTTGAGGCGCCTCACTGCGCCTCACTGCGCCTCACTGCGCCTCACTGCGCCTCACTGCGCCTCACTAATAGACTCTAGCTCATCAACTGCCTCAAGTATGGCGCGGAGTGCACTCACGGACGAATTCATCAAGATCGCGCGTGTTGGGGTCGTGGAAGCGCGGGCGAATGAGCAGCCACGACGCGTGGCCGGGCAGCGTCTGCAGGCACATGATGTCGCTCGCGGCTTGCGTGCGAATTCTGCACATCGGGACCGTCGGGCTGCCCTCCGGGATGTACGCGGCGCGCCACTTGCGGTGCGCGACGTACAGGGGCGCAGCCTTGGCGGGGGTTAGCGCGCGCGCGACGAGGAAGCGCATGACGGTGCGGTCGTCCACGTCCTGGGGGAGGGGGAGGGGGAGGGGGAGGGGAAGAGGGAGGGGGAGGGGGAGGGAGAGGGGGAGGGGGAGAGGGAGGGGGAGGGGGAGGGGGAGGAGGAGGGGGAGGGGGAGAGGGAGAGGGAGAGGGAGGGAGAGGGGGAGGGGGAGAGGGAGAGGGAGAGGGAGGGGGAGGGGATGCGGGAGGGGGGAGGAGAGGGGGAGGGGGAGGGGGAGCGGCGGGATGGCTTTTGCGGTGCCTCAACAGGCGCGCGCGCGATGAGGAAGCGCATGACGGTGCGGTCGTCCACGTCCTGGGGGAGTGGGAGGAGGAGGGGGAGGGGGAGGGGCGGGGGAAGGCGGAAAAAAGGGGGAGCGCAGAGTAAGGGAGGTAGTCGCGGGGGGAGTGTTCGGGGGAAGTATCGAGGTGGAGTGGCGGGGAGAAGGCGCGCGGTCTGCGGCGCTGCGCGGTAACGAGCCTAAGCGTATCCCGAAACCCCGCGAGACCAGCCGAGCACGTGCGGCGAGCGGTTTGCGACGTGCGACGAGTGACGAGGGACGAGCGACGAGCGACGAGCGAAGAACGACGTGTTTGCGTGTGGTGCCGCCAGGCGCGAGCAGCGGCAGGCCAGGATGCGGGGCAGGGAGAGCGAGGCAAACGGGCGAAGCGCGCCGGGAGCGCTGAGAACGACGCGGGGAGCGCGCGATGCATTGCGCGAGAGCGAGGAAAGCGCGGAAGACGGGGGAGTGTACGAAGGGGGGAACCCCAGCGAGCGGAGGAAGCGGAGGAAGCGGAGGGATGGGAATGCGCGAGGCGCAACGTACATTTGTCGAAATGCCGCCCTTGGAGATTAACTCGCGCGCCTCGGCGACGAGCTCCTTTTGATGGTCGGTGAGCTCGAGGTCGCCACGTGGCACCATAAAACTATCCGCCGTTAAACATCCCCGCCCTTCTGCCGCCGTCATCACACTCTCTAGCCCCGTCTTTCCCGCCGGCGCATTCCCCGACACTGGTGGGTCCGACATGAGAGGCGCGGGCCCGACGGCTGCTGTGGACATGGCTGGTGATGGTGAGAGCGACTGGAGATGACGGAGGATGACCGGAAGTGACGGAGGATGACTGGAAGTGGCGGCAGATGAAACTATGGAATGCGTCAGTTCGCGTGCCAATGCGCGATCTGGACTGCACGATGAGATAAAAATAAACTGGTTTGACGTTTGACCTGGAGAAGGCTGCTGAATCCTGGAAGACGTAAACGAGGCGAGTCGTTTTCGGCACTGTTATGCAAGGTCGACGATTGCTCACAAACCCTATCCAGCCGTTCTAAACTGTTTAAAAAACGCTTTGACGCGCACATCTCACCCCACCGTTATCGATTAAGGGGATTTGGTTGGCGTGGGGTGGGGAATGGTCAAGCCAGCGAAGCAAGACGGTTACGCGTGGCATGTGCTGACTGACACCACCATGTGTCAGGCAGAACGGGACACGACGCGAGACTATCTGGCTCGGAACGAACCGGCTCGCTTCACTGATTGGTGGGTGAAGCATGGAAGTCAGGCATGGTCACATGGTGGTCCTTTGGCTCGAGATTCAAAACTTTTTTTGGTTGGCCAGAGCAAGTCCATGTCTTCAGAGCAGGTCCATCTGGGGTCGGCCAGAACATTACAGCACAGTACCTCAGGTTACCCGCCCGACCGACCTCGGCGTGACGGGCAGGCGGAGTCGACGACCCGTCTCGCGATTGTGTGACTGGTGTCGTGTCGTGTGAACCGCGTCGTGTGCTTCGGTGGCGTGGCGAAAGGCACGGCAAGGTTGGTGGTTGTGTCGCTGCTGAACCTGGAAAGCCTGGACACCCAGAGGCACCGGGGGTACCAGCCAGCCAAACCAGAGCTGCCCCGCCTCCCACGTCGGGCATGCTGTTAGCTTCGGGGGTTAATATCTAGTGAGCTTCGCTGGAAAATAACACACACGCATGCGGGCTGTTCCTGGCTGGGATAGAGCTGTGCTTGTCCCAGTGAGTTGTTCATGCTTAGGTAAGAACTGAAGGAGAGCCTCACTCGAAGTCCATTTGCGTCCCAAAATATGCTTCCGTGGCCTAATTCGACACATGAAGGTTAGGGGATCGACATGTAAACGGCCATGTCAGAAACACCACACGAAGCGAGTCCAGAAGTGGACTGTCAGACCACATAAATGTCGTGCATTTGGCTGGAAATGGTGTCAGGGTTACTTTTTGGAAGGATTTTCCTATCGCATCCGTTCGATTTTCTCGCAATTTCGTCCAGCTCCCTCCACCTCCGCAATGCGTGTGTGAAAGGCGGGAGGGACCACGAAAATTTCTCACATTGAAAATGCGTAGCTGGGTGGCAGCCAGGCTGGATTTGGGGGTGTGGCGGACTCGGCGGCGACTCCTGCTTGGTTTGGTGGGAAATGCGTAGGTCGGTGAACTTCGATATTATTAGTAGGGGGACACAGACGTGCTAGTACATAAAAGAACCAACAAAATACATCTTAACATCGTATACCTGAATTCGGTTTAGCCATGCCACACTAGTTTGGCATAACATATTCGTACGCATTTACAAACTGCCCCGGCGAGCTATGATGCATCGCAGCAGCCAGAAGAGAAGGCCCAAATTGTGAGCCCACGTGCATGCTCCTATACGGGTCCCTGTCCCCGACCCACATCTCCCCACCACGCCCCCCGAACTCCATCCCTTCACCACCCACCTCCCCTTCCCAACCCCCCGCCTGCTGCCCCTGCCCCTGAAACAATCCCCCATTGCACATTCCTTGAGAGAAATACCGAACATTCCCCTCCATTCCAACACCCCCCCTCCCCATGCTCCTGCTGCCCAAACCTGCTTCCCCTCCCCGAAGCTGCAAGAGCATGTCATCCAACCCTAATCCCAGCCCATCCGAGCCTGCTGGTGCGGCCTCTCCCAACCCCCCTCGTTGCCAAACCTCTGCCTGGCCTAGCAAGCCCACTCCCATACCAGCACCTGCTACACTACCTGCTCCTTCCTCACCCAGGGTGAGACTAGCGGCAAACGCAGCAGCAGCAGCAGCAGCGGCAGCGGTAGCAGAAGCAGCAGCAGCAGAAGAAGAAGAAGAAGCAACAGCAGGGGTGCCACAAGCAGAAGCCAACCTGCCACTGCCTGTCATGACTCCTCCTCCCCCTCCTGCTGCTCTAGCTGCTGCTGCTGCTGCTGCTGCTGCTGCTGCTGCTGCTGCTGCTCCTGCCCCTTCCGATAGTGACAGCGATGGTGCTTCTACCAGCGAAGAGCAATCAGCCCCCTCCCTTTCCCCTTCCCGAATCCCCCCAGACGCACTCAAATCCCTCCCTACCCCTCCTGCTCCCCCTCCCGCTCCCGCTCCTGCCCCTGCCCCTGCCCCAGCCCCTGCCGCTGCCCAAACCCCCCCTCTCACCGCCCTCGCCCCGGCCCCTGCAACAGCCGCCCTACCATCCCCCCCAGCCCTCCTGCCGTTGCTGCTGCGGCTACCCGTAAGCAAACTCTTGGGTCGATCAGGGGGGCGCTCGGGGGAAGGAACGGGGGAAGGGGCGGGAGAGAGGCTGGGGGAAGTAGCAGGGGAAGGGGAGGGGGAGGTCCAGGAGAAGAGATGCGAGAGGAACATGGTGGTGAGGGAGGAGGTGGGAGGGGTGGAGGACGGGGGAGGTGTGGAGGGGCGGGAGGGCGGCGTGGGGGGGCGGGAGGAGGAGGAGTTGGTGGAGAAAGGATGAGTGGCTGTGACAGTGCTGCAGCGAGAGTAAGAGTAGGACGTACCATCGACTGAGGCATTGTCTACAGAGCTGTTGCCGGCAGCAGAGACAGAGAGAGAGAAAGATCCGGATGCTGCTGCTGAATTGTCGGAGGAAACGAGTGCTTGTGCAAGGGGGCGCGCGCGAGAGGAGCGCGATCGGTGGTAGGAGCGACTGGGGCTTCTGTGTTGGGGGGGGCGTTGCGAGGGGAAGTGAGAGAGAGAGAGAGAGAGAGAGAGAGAGAGAGAGAGAGAGAGAGAGAGAGAGAGAGAGAGAGAGAGAGAGAGAGAGAGAGGAATGCAATTTGGGACATGAAGCTATGCAGGGATCTTTTCAAAGCAAAGGGGTTGCGTGCGACATAGAAAGGAACGTTGATGCTGATGTTGACGCTGATGTTGACGCTGATGTTGACGATGATGTTGACGCTGATGTTGACGCTGATGTTGACGATGATGTTGACGCTGATGTTGACGCTGATGTTGACGCTGATGTTGATGCTGATGTTGACGCTGATGTTGACGCTGATGTTGACGATGATGTTGACGCTGATGTTGACGCTGATGTTGACGATGATGTTGACGCTGATGTTGACGCTGATGGTGCCGCTGATGTTGACGCTGATGTTGACGCTGATGTTGACGCTGATGTTGACGCTGATGTTGACGATGATGTTGACGCTGATGTTGACGATGATGTTGACGCTGATGTTGACGATGATGTTGACGATGATGTTGACGCTGATGATTCTGACGTTTGACAACTTTTGAGACGTCTCAAGAGACACCACTGCATATCCCACGTGAGGCACGCAACACAACCGTTCACCCACACTCCCGTTCCCCCACACTCCCATTCCCCTTCCTCCTCCCCTCCCCACACTCCCGACCCGACCCCCGCACACTCCCGTTTCCCCTTTCCACCCCACACACCCCACCCTCCCTCTCCTCACACACACACACCTCCTGTGCACATCCATTGTAGTTGAACGCGGCCCCAACTGACCGTCCCCTTGACCAACCCTCTCCTGCCCCTGCTGCCCCTGCTGTCCCTGCCGCTGCCAGCCCCCCATCCCTCCCTCCTGATCCCCCCCCATCCTCTCCCCCTCGCCCAACCCAGCCCCTTCCCTCGCGCCCCTCTCGCTCCTCCCTCCCCCCTGCGCCTCCCACTTCCCAGCACCAGAACTAGCCATCCCCCCACTACCGCCCCCTCTTCCCCCACCACCACCACCACCACCACCACCAGCACCACCAGCACCAGCAGCCGCTGCAGCTGCTGCCATTCCCGCCACTTGTCTTGCGAGCATCACTACCCTCCCCTCTGCCTGCCTTGCCGCCGCCTCTGCTACAACCCGCTTCTCCTCTGCAACAGCCAGCCGCTGCTGCACCGCCTGCTGCTCCTCCCGCAGCACCTGCACGCACCGCTCTCGGCCCCTCTCCACCTCCCCGGCCTGCTCCCGCCACTCCTCGCGCTCCCTCTCGGCTCTCGCTAGCCGTTCCTCCTGTTTGCTCACAACGGCCTGTTGATCGATAAGCTTCTGCTGAAGCTCGTATATGCGCTGCTGCAGAGCCTGCTTCTCCCGCCGCACACCTCTTAAAGCCAGCTGAACATCCTCCCGCCCAGCCTCCGCGCCACACACGCAACAACACTCGCGGGTATCCGTCCCCTTACTGCTGCCCTGATTGCCTGGAAAAGCAGCAGCCGAGAGAGGCGGCTCTGTAAGAGAGACCGGGAAGGCTGAGGATTTCACAGGGGGTTGGGGGAGGCACGCGGAGGACGAGGATGAGGAGGAGGAGGAAGAGGAGGGAAGGGTGGAGGAGGGGAGAGCGGGGAGGCGGCTTCCGAGGCTGCTCCAGCGGACCAAAGGAGGGGTGGATGTGGGGAGATGCTGCTTGCGATGGGATTGAGAGGAGCGCATTGAACGGGAGCTTGCGTTGCAGGAGTGAGAGGAGGTAGAGGAGGAGGAGGAGGAGAAGGAGGAGGAGGGGAAGGAGCAGGAGGAGGAGGTGGTGGAGGACGGGGGCGCGGGGGGGACGGCGCGCGTCTGGCGCAGGTCGGATTTGAGCTGCGAGCATTGCGCGCGGAGAAGGCGGAGCTCTTTCTCCGCCTCCCCCGCCGCGACTTCCAGGTGCGCGCGGTCCTCCTCCGCCTGCGCCACTGCCGCCACTGCGCGCTCCGCCTGCTCCAGCGCGCGCATGAGGTCGCCTGGGGGTGGGGAGGGGTGAGGTGCGCGGAAAGGGAAAGAGGAAGGGGGAAGCGGAAGGGGAGGGCGAGAGAGGAGGTAGGGACGGAAGAGAAGGGTTGCGGTGGGATAGGAGGGGGGGGGAGGGAGAGGAGCGGGGAAACGGCGGATAAGTCGAAAGCCGGATGGAGTACGAGGAGACGGCGGAACAGAGGCGGAGAGGATTGCTTGCGCGGAATTCTATTTTTGCAAGAAGGCGCGGAATTCGAGAAAAAATGGCACGGGGACTTCTGTGTGCCGTACGTAAGCCACGCGTCCGCCGCGCGCGCGACGCTCGCCGTCACGGCGGCACGGCACTCCCGCACGGAAGCACTCACTCACCCGCCAGTCTTCCCCTCTCCGCGCTCATCGCCTCCGCCAACTCCTCCGCGCGCTGCACTTTCCGCCGCCACCGCCGCGCCTCCTTCTCCGCCTCCTCCCACCGCCGCTCCCACACCTCCTTCTCGCGCTCCGCCGCCTCGCGCCGCTCCTTCTCCTCCCCCAACCGCCGCCGCATCAGCCGCACGACCGCATACATGCCCTCCTCTTCCCCCGACTCCCCGCACCCCCCGCCGCCTCCTCTCCCCGCTCTCTCCGCTGTTCCCCCCCCACTCGAAAAGTCCCTCCCCGCACCGGCAGATTCGTCCCTCAATGCCGCATCACCCCTTCCGCCATTCTCCGCCCGCTCAAACTTCTCCGCCATTCTCTCCGCCCGCTCCGCCCTCTCCGCCCGCTCGCCTGTCTGCCGTATGTGAGCCTCGGTCGGACCTGCCTTCCCCGTCCTGTCTTCCTCCCCGCCCTCCTCCCCCGCCATTCTGCTGCTCCTTCTCCTTCCGCTTCCGCCGCTGCTTCCATACCCGCGCGCCTCTTGCCGAGGCCTCCTTTCCGCCCCGCCCGTCCCGTCGCCCGCGCGACGCCGCGCAGCGTCGCCTGCGACGCGATGCTGGTCGCCCAATACTTTCGCGCGTTCTAGGTCGGCAGTACTAGTTACAACCTCTGTGACGGTACTGGAGTAGTCATTAACGGGAATCTGAATGGTTAAGTTCGGCAAGCGGCGCCGGGACGTAAGGACGCTCGAGCTCGACCTTTCCGCCTCTGACGCCGCATCTGACGCCGCCTCTAGCGACGTATTACTCCATCCAGATTTACTCGACGTTCGTCTGCTTCTTCCTTTTGCCCCGCCATTAGAACTCGATCCATTTCTGGTGTCGTGAATTCCGCGCGCCTTGCGGCCTACACTGTTCATCCCTTCGTTAGTGTCACTCGAGCCGCCCCTCTCACTGGAGCCTGATGCGGCGCCGTTAACGCTTCGCCGCCATAGCTCTGTGATCGATGAACTTTCCGGATCGTGTTCAGTCTCGCCCAGAATCCAGTCGTTCGCTCCCCCCATCCGTCGGTTCGCGACATTAAACTCGTTTTCCGCATGCCGGCGTGCCGCCGCGTGTCTTGCCAAGGGAATGGTGCAGCTAAGGTGAGACATAGTAAAAGTAGCCGCCCAAGCTAACCTAACACGGCTTCTTGATGGCCAGTGAAGTCTAAATCAGGTATCATCTAGAGTATAATGCAGTGTGTCTCAAGACAAAGCAATCCCGATTGCCTGATTGCGCCACGGCAGGAACGAAATGAGGTACACTGCGGATGCGTGGGCGTGGAATGCGGCACAATCGAGGTCGCTGGCGGTGGTGATTCTTGGGTTTGTGGTTGAGGTGGGAGTTTGAGTTTGTGGGTACAGTAGTATGCGAGTTCTTGAGTTTGCGAGTTTGTGACTCTCTGTGACTGTGTGTGATCCTCGCGGTTGGTTTGTGTGGTTTGAGGGCGGGGACGGTTGGTGACTGTGACGGATGGATTTGTCCGTTTGTGTGGCTGACGGAAGCACCCGCTATAGTGCCGCTCCCTTCCCTTCTCGATTCTCCCGAATCCCCCTCACAACCAAGTCTGATGGAACGTCCCCCCCCTCCTCTCCTCTCCATCCCACTCCACCCCCTCCTCTCCTCTCCATCCCACTCCACCTGAGTTGTGGCTACAGTGTTACTGTACAATGGATAGACAACCAACTACCGACAGCAATCCAGGAGGACGCCGACGGTGGTTCAGGAGAAGCAACAGAACTGCGGCGGAAAGGAGATCGGCGCGCGGTACGGGCATGAGGGGAAACGGGAGAAGTTCGGAGGGATGGGCCTGGGGATGGCGGAAAGCTGGGACAGAGGCACGCGGCGTAACGATTTGGACACTTTTTTTAGTGAAATAGAGGCATATTCATGAATGTTTGTCTATTATGAGTGTATATCAAGATGAGTGTCGGTTTCCAATCGGATCTTTTGGAGAAATTTTTCAACCTGGAGTCCGCTACACTACCAGCCATGAGCTGTGCTGCTTAACCCGAACGAGAGAGAACGGAGAGAAAACCTGGAGAGAAAACACCTGTCCAGCCTGAATTGGCGGTTGTTGAAAGCATTGTCGGGGACTCTGTCATCCCTACCTGTCGATTCCTTGTGGAGGATTCCGCGTGTCATGTCATCTCGCCGGCCATGTGACGCTTGCTCGACTGATGTACAGTCCACATGTTTATCATTGTCTTTGGGCAGTGTAGAAACATTTTATTTTTTTCAGAAGTGTTTTCTTTGATATCTAAACCACGTGCTGTATATTTCACGTATCTTGTTCACTAGAAAAAGGAATGCTCCTCCACCCAACCTAACCTGTCTTTCTTACTTGCGGGCTGGGCTGATTTCACGTCCCGTACCAGAACCGCGCTGCTTGCAAAAGCTTCCTTCACCACAGCGAGTGGCTAGGAAGATATTATTTTCGTCGCTTTTGACACACCGATTAATCCACTCACGTTCTCAATGAAGGGCCAACATCACAGGCATGCAACACAGTCTGGTAACCCTATTCGATTGTATGCAAAACCGTCGTCCCCCAGTTCCACTGCGCAAATCTGTCTGGTACCGCCACTCAAAACACTGTGTAACAGCTGACGCAGCACAAAAAGAAAGCAATACGTGCAACAATCGAATACGCTTTCGATTTCTTTTTATTCTATTCTTACCGCGCCTTGTTTGGCGCCTGACAACGATTCCTGCGGGCAACAACTTTCCGTTGAATGTGCACGATAATTTCGACCGGAAAATTCGTTGGAATGAAAGTAAAATATATATTGCTACCGGGTGCTGTTAGGGCAGGCAAGAAAAAAATAAAACCCCTAGGGACCGGGACTCATTTCAGGGAGGGATCAACCCTAAACACGGGAAAGGGCATTGTTTTTAGGGTTGATGCCTCCCGAGTCGCATCCCTTTCCGATTGGGTTTTATTTTTTCTGCAGGTGTGGCGAACAGTGCTGCTCATATGGCAGATCAGTCGCCCGAATAAATCTAGTTTTATAGGACAACAAAGCGTGGTAGAAATCTGATTTTGAAGTAAATAGAACCGCGATTCTAGGGCAATATGTCAATAACTTCAAATCCGAGGTATCGACGGTTTTGCATACAATCGAATAGGGTTACCATACTATTTTGCATGCCTGTGATGTTGGCCCCTCAATGAAGCACCATCCCCACCAGTTGACGTGTATCCAATCGCTCGTCACCAGCTCAGGCGATCCCCAGCCGCAATCGTTCCTGGATTGGACAGCACTTCTGTGCACGCCTGTCAGCGAACATCAGCTGGTAACTCCAACGTGGATTACTAAGCGAGCTTGCACGAATTACCAAATGTCTACGGTTACCAGTTCGCTCGTCTCGTGCTGGCCCATCACATCCCTTTTCAACGACCCCGTCTGGTTTTTCTTTCCCACATCAACCCTTTCCTCTTCTTCCTTGCCATTATCCATTTCTAATCTTCCTGCCCGCTGCTTGCCTCACCTCCCTCGTCCTATCTCACCAAACATCCGTTCTCAATTCGTCCCACGCGCGTCCATTTGGTTCCCCAGTCCTTTGGTCCTTCCGTGGGACGACTGGGGTTTGGACGCCTTTTCAGATGATAACACCTTACCAGATCCCCTCACGCACCCACGAGATGATCTAGCAGCCGTTTCCCGCGCGCGTTCGACTCGCTCCTTGCTCGCACCGCACACCCCTTCCTCCCCGCCCGTTCTCTCCGCCATGGTGCGTGATCCCACAGACCTCCTCCCAGGTCTTCCCGACGACGTCGCGTCGCTCTGCCTCGCGCGCCTCCCCTTCTTCTCCCACCTCCCCGCTTCCGCTGTCTGTCGAAGCTGGCGCGCCTTCTTCTCCTCCCCGCTCCCCTGGTCCTTGCGCGCGGCGCACGCGATTCGCCATGGCGATCTTTTACTCCTCTGCACGGGCCTCTGGACCAGCAGCGCGGGGGAACCCGCGCTCGTCTTCCACGTGTGGGATCCGCAGCTCGACGCGTGGATGCGCCTGCCGCCGCTTTTCGCGGGCCGCGCGTACGCACCGCATGCCTTCGAGGGGTTCTGCTGTACGGCCGTCGGCGCGTCGGCTGCAGCAGCGCCGATCGCGGCGGGGATGGAGGGTCTGGCGGCGGGAGCATCCGCAGCGGGGGTAGGAGCAACAGGAGCTCCGATTGCGGCGATGGCAGCAACTAGAGCAGCACTAAGAGCACCGGCGCGCGGAGCGCCTGCGGGTGCGCGAACCGCGCCGCAACCGGCGCGGCCATCCTTGTTCGTGCTCGGCGGAGAGTACCGCTTCTCCCCGCGCTTGGGCGGCACGTCGTCTCTAGCGGAGCGCATGCCGCACGTGTGGTGCTTGGACCTGGGCTCGGGTCGCTGGCAGCAGCTCGCTGACATGTCGCGCTGCCGCGTTAATTTGAACGCCGCCGTCGTCCTCCCCGCACCCGCCGCCGCCGCCACATCCCTCGGTATCAGCAGAAGTAGTGCCAGCGCCAGTAGCGCTTCCGGCGGCGGCGGCGGCGGCGGCGGCGGCGGTGGAGGCGGTTGCCGGCTACTGGCGTTAGGCGGCTCGTCGGATCCCGTGGGCAGCTACGCAACGACGCCACGTGGCGATGGTCGATTGGAGGGGTTGGGGGGGAGCGAGGATAGGTGGATGAGCGGCGGAGACGCGGAATTGGGTGGCGAGGGGCGCATGTGGGTGGGCGAGGCGCTCAGTCTGGATAATCTCCTCTCGTGCGACGTAGCGGGAAACGATGTAGAAGCGACAGGTGGCGCTGCTGCCGGGGATTGCGCCGGGATTACCGCCGGGATTGGCGCTGGGGCTGCTGCCATGGCTTGTGGCGGTTTCTTAGGGGGGTTTAACCCGGCTGATCATAGTGGGGAGTGGAACGGTTATGGGTTACACGCTGCCGCCGTCGGGACTGCTCCCGATGGCGGTAGAAACAGCAGCAGCGGCGGCGGCGGCGGCGACAGTAGCAGCAGTAGCGGCAGTAGCACCCGCAGCACGGCCGGAAACGCTCCGGTCGCGCCTGTGCACGCCACGTGGCGGCAATTCGCGCGAATGCCGGCCAACTTCGACCCGTCGTCGCGCGTGTCCGCGACGGCCGTGCTCGGCGGGCACCTGTTCGTCTTCTCCCGCTCGTCGCTCGACGACGCGGGGCGAATCGAACGGCTGGATCTGTACGATCTCGCGACGGACGAATGGATGCAATTAGGGCTAATCCGAGGGCCCACGGAAGGGTGGTGCCGCGGCGCAGTAGCAGCGGTTGACGGCGTGGGGTTGCTGTGCGTGAGCGCGGAGAGGCGCAGGCTGGGACTGGGGGAGGTAGATGTGGCCTGGCTGGACGTAGACGCGCGGGAGTGGGTGGTGGTGGCACAGGTGCCTGTAGCCCGGGAATTGGGTTGGGCTGGAGCAGTGTCCGCGTGCCACGTGGCGGCTGCTGGGCGGAGGGTTTTTGTGGTGACGGAAGGGGCGCTGGTGCAGCGGGTAGGGTTCTGTATGAAAAAGGTTAAGCCGGTGAATGGGATGCACGTGCTGAGAATCACATGGGGTGGAGGAGTTGGGAGGTGTGGTGGGGTGGAGGTGAACAGGCAGGAATGGGAGGAGGCGGATGGGGAGTGTAAGGTGGAAGGGTGGGGTGCAGGGCTGGGTGGGAGTGGCGGCAGCGGCGGCGGTGGCGGTGGCGGTGGTGGTGGCAGCGGTGGTGGTGGTGCGGGTGGGAGAGGCAGGGGGGGAGGAGGGGGGGGTGTTAGGGAGAAGGATTGGGAATTCACCTGGGAGGTTAGTAACATGGAGCTGGCGTCTGCTGTGGTGGGCTGTGCGGCCCTGCACATCTAGTGGGGTGGGGTGGGGTGGGGTGGGAAATGTGTCGCCGCTGGCACATTGCTGTATGCCTGCCTGCCTGCCTGACTCTGCCTGACCTGACTGCTTGGCTGCTTGCCTTGCACGGATAAGTACTGTACTAACCATCAAATGTGCGGGTAGTCAAATTTCCAGAGGTTTTGTTTGCATTGCATTGCATCCCTTTATTGATCCTTGTCATCGCTGCTCTATGGCTGTACTTATGCACGCCCAAAATACCGTAGCAGTTTTTTTTTTTCAATTAGAGGCATGAACAGTGATGATGATGACTGCCTGCCTGCCCGCCGTGCTACCAAACTTGATATGAGCTTGTTCTTAAAGAGATTGTTCCCTGAGGAGAGGAGGCAAATTGCCCACCAGGGCCTATGTTATCAGGATAATTTATCCTGATTCTCCTGGATTCAGGATAGGTGTCGTGTGATTCTCCTGAAAAAACAGCATAAAGGAATTACTTGTCCTGTAAAATCAGTATAATGGTTATTTTGGGTACTGAAAACTCAGGATAACGCTGTAGGTTCAGCCCTGACGACTCAGGATAATATCGAATCTCGCCCTGAAGCGAGATGTACTGTACGAAAAATCTCCTGGGTTTCGGGGCCAAAAATGTACAACGCGAACACCTCGAATGTTGGAGCCAACGGGAGTCGAGCAGGCGACTTACTGCGTAGTAATCCTTCGCTTCAACCGCTTTATTTACAATGTATATGTGTACAAAAGATACAGGCAGATTTAAGCATGAAAAGGCTAGCTAACTAGCAATGGCCCAACTGCAACCGTATGTTGAGACCCCCAATGAGGTCTCAAGAACCAACACCAAGGTACGCAAAATCAGCCAAGGAAGGTGGGGTGGGATCTGGTGGGGCAGAGGGTGTGTCAACACTGTAACGAATTTGTGTCCGACGGCAGATGGTTCGAGCCTGCTCACGCTGGTGCACCAAAGAAATCCTCTTGAAGTAGCTGGTATCGAAGAGCTCTGGAATCAGGTCAGATGCACCACCCATGTCACGAAGTCGAGTCGCCCCTCGTCTGCTGCAGTCTTTGATAAAGCTGAGAAATGCCGTGCTGAAGCAACCGAAGGTTTCGAGAACTCTCAAAGTTAGCGAACAACGGAATCCATCAACTAGGATAGGGAGTGATACAAATAGAAAACCTAGAAAGTGTTGTACTCTCTACAGTGCTACTCACTAGAGCCTATTATAACAATGTTCAACATTTGACACACCCCCATAGGCTAAGTGAGGGGCATCAAAGCAAGCAGGGTGAACAAACGGTCACAAGACCAGTCAAGACAAGAGGCAAGGCAAGCTCAGGGTGGATCTCAAGGACACCACACAAATTCCGAGCACAAGCAATCGGCCACAAGGCCAGTTCAAGAGTTCACTAGGATATATATAGGAAAACACAACAAGCAGAGCAAGCAACAAGTCTACAGCAACCGAGGGCCTACCTCAACAAGCCCCAACTGCACACAGAACCTGTGGTGATCACCAAGCGCTAGGGCCTTGGTGAAGACGTCTGCAGTGTTGGCCTCTGAGGCCACAAAGTCCAGGCGTGCCTGGCCGCGTCGCTGCAGCTCTCGCAGGAGGAAGTACCTCACGTCAATATGCTTCACTCTGCTCTCCAGTCGAGGCTCTCGACACAGGAGGATCATGGCCTTGTTGTCAGCGTACAAGGTCGGTGCAGAGCGAGGCCGCTCACCAAGGTCGGCGAGCAAGAAGGTCAACCAGCGAAGCTCCTGTGCCGCCATGGCACCAGCGTAGATCTCTGCCTCTGCACTGGAAGTAGCCACAGACGACGACCGAGTAGATCTCCACGACACAGCACCAGCTCCCAGACTGAAGCAGTAACCCTGAGTCGAACGCTGAGTCTCCACGTCGTCAGCGTAGGAAGAGTCGCAGTGACCAGTCAACGCCACTGGCTGAGTCCCTCCAAGCACAAGCCCCATGCCTGATGTAGTCGCCAGGTACTTCGCCACCCTCACAGCAGCTGTCCAGTGGACAGGGCGGTGTCTCCCAGTCGCAACAAAGCGAGAAAGGATGCTGAGTGGAAAGGCGAGGTCCGGTCGAGTACAAGTCATCAGGTACATGAGGCACCCCACCAGCTCTGCGTAGGGTCCACTGGACTCAAAGGGCTCGTCAGGAAAGGGGCCCGTGAGTCTGTGGTCTACAGCAAGAGGAGTGGGCTGTGTGGTGGAGAACTGGAAGTCGAACCGCCGAAGGACCTGCTGCACCATGTGTGACTGCGTCAGTGTGATGGTGCGAGCGGCTCTGTCCCGGGTGATCTGCAGGCCAAGGTAGCCCTGCAGCTCACCCAGGTCAGTGCACTTGTGGCTCTTCTGCAGTTCGGACTTCACCTGAGCCAGGGCTGCCCTGTCTGCTGTAGCAAACACCAAGTCGTCGACGTAGACAAGGATAAAGAAAAGAGTAGAACCCGCTCGAACAAACAGCGACGGGTCGGCGGAGGACGGGCTGAACCCAAGGTCACGAAGCGTGGAGCGAAGAGTGTCGTGCCACTCACGGGGCGACTGGCGGAGACCGTAGACTGGTCGCCTCAGGCTCCACTGGGTCCCAGGTGGGAAGGTGTCAGTGAAGCCAGGAGGACGGCGCAGCCAGATCTCCTCGTGCATTCGGCCCTGGAGGAACGCAGTGGAGAAGTCGAGGGAGTGCAGCTCGTAGTCTCGCTGCGCTGCTATGTGGAGTAACACCCGAAGAGTAGTCATCTTCGGGGTCGGGGCGAAGGTCTGGAAGAAGTCAACTCCCTCACGCTGACTGAAACCCCTAGCCACGTAGCGCGCCTTGAACACCGGCGGTGCTCCAGGCGCCCGCTTCACCTTGAAGAGCCACATGCCATCGACTACGTTCGCCCTGGGAGGGGGAACTGCGTCGACGTAGGTGCCTATGGATCTCCAAGACGCCAACTCTGAGTCCATAGCCGCTTTCCACTGAGAGGCCCACGCCCCTGACACTGCCTCGCGGTAAGTGCGAGGAGTCGGTATGTCAAGGGCGTCGGGGTCTCCCTCAGGGGAGAGCAGCATGGCACACACAGAGGGAGAAGCGGCTGCCCAGTACTCCAGCTCAGACTCTCTGTCCTCTAGGACGTCACAGCCAAGGGCAAACCCACCCCCGACGGACAGAGGACGATAGGGAAGAGCTGGCACCACACGGGTGGCGTAGTCAAGGCGGCTGGCGGCAGCAAACTCAGCGACAGCGGCAGTGAGAGCCGAGACAGACGACGGAGGGAAACGAGGGTCGGTGACAAGAGTGGTGAGGACACGTGCGGTAACAGGACGAACAGCGCGGTAGTAGTCAGAGATAGGAGTGGGGAGGGCAGGTAGAGAGGACGGAGGAGGAGACGGGAGAAGGAGAACGACGACGAGACGAACAAAGGAGGGCAGTGTGGAGGTCAGTAACAGGGGACGAGTGACGAGCACGCGGAGGACAACGAGTGATCAAGTCGCGACGGACAGAGGGAGGAGGAGACTGAGGAGGAGGAGAAGGAGGAGAAGACCAGACCGCCGGACGGTCGTCAGGAGGAGGCAACGGAGGAACAAACACAGGAGGAGACTGGGAGCGGACAGGAGGAGACGAGGAAAGGCCAAGGGCCCGCAGGCCACTCACAGGTGGGAACAACCGCCGCTCCAGAGGAAGCTGCGGTGGCGGCTGCGGCCGCTGCTGCTGCGGCTGCGGCTGCTGCTGCTGCGGCTGTGGCTGCGGCTGCGGCTGCTGCTGCTGCTGCTGCTGCTGCTGCTGCTGCTGCTGCTGCTGCTGCCGCTGCTGCTCCAGAAGGTCCAGCACCCGCAGCTCCTGCCGCTCCCTCTCCAACCGCTCCTGCTCCTCACGCTCACGCCGACGGGCAGCCTGGAGACGCGTGTCATGGCGGTGGGGGGGCGGGGTGGACTCCGCAGAACCAGGGTCTCCAGCGTCAGTCTCCTCAGACTCAGCACCCCCAAAACCAGTACCGCCAGTGCCAGGACCTCCAACTCCAGCACCCCCAGAACTAGCACCGCCAGTGCCAGCACCCCCAACTCCAACACCCCCAGAACCAGCACCTCCAGTGCTGGCACCTCCAGCTCCAGCACCCCCAGAGCTAGCGCCACCTGCGCCAGCACCTCCAGCTCCGGCACCCCCAGAGCTAGCGTCACCTGCGCCAGCACCTCCAGCTCCAGTACCCCGCGACCGAGCACCCCCAGACCGAGCACCGCCAGCGGCTGCACCTCCAGCTCCAACACCAGCCGAGTCCACAGTAACCTGTCGCGGAAGTGCCGAAGGCTGCTGAGGGGACTGGGAGGAGGACTGCGGGGAGGGAGACGCTACCTGACGCGCGACCGAGGGTAGAGGGGTAGCGTGGGACACACCAGACGGGGCAGGACCAGGGGGGGGCGGGGGTACCGGAGGAGCGGGAGCAGGAGGAGGAGAGGGTGCGAGGAAGAGAGGGGGAGGGGGTACCGGGAGACCTCGACAGGGGTACCGGGTGTAGTAGGACACGGACTCGTCAAACCGGACGTCACGGGAGTCTAGGAACTGGTGGAGGGGAGGGTGGTAAAAGGACCAGTCAGCAGAGTCCACTGGGAAACCAAGGAAGACACAGGGGACGGCACGTGCCGAGAGCTTGTCCGCGGAGGTGTCGCGAACAAGTGCAAGGCAGCCCCAGACTCGAAAGGCCGACCCAACACCAGGGGATCCAGTCCAGAGACTGGTCGGTGAAGCCTCGGGCCGCGAGACACGCGGCTGGAGGTTCAGCTGGTGTGCGGCGTAGCGAACCGCGTGGGGCCACAGAAAATGGGGCGCACGGGCATGAATCATGGACGTGCGGGCGATGTCCATGACCAAACCTATGCGACGCTCAGCAACCCCATTCTGCTGTGGGGACTCTGGCAGCGTCCAGGACTGGGTGATGCCCTGTTCGCCGCAGAATCCGCCGAGAATGCCGGAGCGAAACTCGCCCCCACGGTCGGAGTGAAGACAACTAACTCGACGACCACGAGTGCCCTCAGTGGCTAGAAGCCAACTGATCAGCGTAGCAGTCACCTCGGACTTCTTCGCAAGAGGGAACACTGTGGTGTACCTGGAGAAGTCGTCGACGACCACCAGAAAGTAACGCTCTCTCCCAGACCCCTGCGTCGGTGCAGGACCCCAGACGTCCAAGTGGAGAGTCTCGAAGGGAGCGGTGGCCGGACGAAGGGAGGAGGAGTGGGGAGTGGCGCGTAAGCGACCGGCGACGCACGGAGAGCAAGGAGGGGCAAGCGAGGGAGGGAGCGACGGGAAGGTGCGTGGGAGACCTATGACTAGTCCCTGACTGAGCATGCCACGAAGGCGAGGGATCGACGGGTGGCCAAGACGGTGGTGCCACAGGACGGTGCGGTGGGCGAGAGAGCGACAGGAGCAAGACGCAGCGACTGGACTGGACACAGCGACCGGACTGGACACAGCCACCTGACCGGACTCTGCTACCGGGGGGGACGAAGCAACCTGACCAGACGCAGCTACCTGCGGGGGCGGAGTGTGCAGGACGAAGAGACCTGAGTGGGGCTCTCTGGTGAACGTGGCAAGAACTGCCCCGGTGGAAGAGTCCGGACAGATCGCAGTCCTCCCGTGCGCAGGAAAAGTGACTGTGATCCCCCGGTCCTGAAGGTATCCAACACCCACCAAGTTCCGAGAGAACGAGGGGATGTAGAGACCAGTGAGGAAACCAGAGGGGACAGCCGGGCACGGGAGGGTGGTCGAGCTGCGAGCAACTGCTGGTCCTGAAGTATGATCAGCCAGGGCAACTGGGACTGGAGCCGAAAGAGGTGTGACAGTGGTGTGGTCGCGGAAGAAACACTGAGACGCGCCGGAGTCCAGCGTGAAGGAGAGCGACGCAACAGCAGTCGTCACGGCTGGGCTAGTGACTATACAAGCACCTCCACTAAAAGCACAAGTACCGATACTAGCAACAGGCAAAGGTCCTAAGCTAGGTACACGTAAGCCAAGAGATCCGTACGTGACAGAATAAACAGCATCCATAGACATATCAAACACAGGGAAACCACTACGAAACAGACCGGGCCAGATCGGGGGAGCCGACTCAGGCCCAAAACGCTCACGGTAAAGGTCGTCGAGGCGGCTGTAGCAGCGCTGTGCAGAGTGGTCAGGACGCCAGCAGGTAGTGCCAGCACCAGGGCTGGTCAGGATCCGGTACTGGCAGGGGCCGACGTCGCGGCCACCGCGACGAGCCCCCCAGCTGGCTGGGCCGCTGCTGCAGCCAACGCGACCTGAACCACCAGAACAACTAGGAGCGCCAGGTGAAACCAGGCGAGTAACTGCTGGAGCACGGAGCGAACTAAGCTAGGAGCGCCAGGTGAAACTAGGCGAGGAACGGCTGGAGCACGGAACAAACTGAGCTAGAAGCGTCAGGTGAAACTAGGCGAGGAACGGCCGGAGCACGGAGCAAACTGAGCTACAAGCGAGGAGCGAGAACGGCTGGAGCGAGAACGGCTGGAGCTAGAACGGCTGGAGCACAACTGGCTGGAGCTAGAAACGGCGAGCGAGGGCTGGCTGGAGGTAGGAACGGCCGGGGCTAGAGACCGTAAGTGCGGCTGTCGGCTGCCGCTAGTAGAGCCACTGACAGTGGAAAGTACGTGCAACAGTAGGGGCTGCAGTACTGACGGCTGCGGGATGTAGGCAACTGTGCAGGTCGTCCGGCAAGCAGGAACGCGGGCGACAGTCGCAGGCCCCCACTGTGAACCCTTTTTTTTTTTTTTTTTTTTTTTTTTTTAGGGTTTAATTAATTTATTTATTTTCTGGCACTAAAGCACTCCGGGGCGCGCTGCCTGCAGGGTGTGCTGCCTGCGGGGCGCGCTACCTGCGGGGTGCGCCTCCTGCGGGGCGCGCTACCCGCGGGGCGCGCCTCCTGCGGGGCGCGCTACCCGCGGGGCGCGCTGCCTGCGGGGCTGGGGTGACGAGCCAGGGAGGGCGCCTCGGCGACGGGCTAGGACGGGCGCCTCGGCGACGGGCTAGGGCGCGGGCCTGAGCGACGGGCTAGGGCGGGCGCCTGGGCGACGGGCTAGGGCGGGCGCCTGGGCGACGGGCTGGGGCGGGCGCCTGGGCGACGGGCTGGGGCGGGCGCCTGGGCGACGGGCTGGGGCGGGCGCCTGGGCGACGGGCTGGGGCGGGCGCCTGGGCGACGGGCTGGGGCGGGCGCCTGGGCGACGGGCTGGGGCGGGCGCCTGGGCGACGGGCTGGGGCGAGCGCCTGGGCGACGGGCTGGGGCGGGCGCCTGGGCGACGGGCTGGGGCGGGCGCCTGGGCGACGGGCTGGGGCGGGCGCCTGGGCGACGGGCTGGGGCGGGCGCCTGGGCGACGGGCTAGGGCGGGCGCCTGGGCGACGGGCTAGGGCGGGCGCCTGGGCGACGGGCTAGGGCGGGCGCCTGGGCGACGGGCTAGGGCGTGGGCCTGGGCTACGGGCTAGGGGCGCAGGCTAGGGGCGCGGAGGGCGCTAACGCGCGGAGGAGGAGGGCGCTAAGGCGCGGAGATGGCGCGGAGGGCGCGGAGGCTAAGGCGCGGAGGCCGCGGAGGGCGCGGAGGGCGCGGAGGGTGCTAGGGCCCAAGGGCGCGGAGGGCGCGGAGGGCGCGGAGTGTGCTAGGGCGCAAGGGCGCGGAGGGCGCTAGGGCGCGGGCTAGGCTAGGCTAGGCGAGAGGATCGACACCTACTCATGATACCATCTCAAAGTTAGCGAACAACGGAATCCATCAACTAGGATAGGGAGTGATACAAATAGCAAACCTAGAAAGTGTTGTACTCTCTACAGTGCTACTCACTATAGCCTATTATAGCAATGTTCAACATTTGACAAGAACAAGAGGAAGAAGCTTCACATCTGGGCGATTCTGCAACGAAGATGCATAGAGGGTCCGCTTCTCAGTTTCGCGAGCAGATGCAGCTGAACCGATTACTGAAGCAGTCTTGGAGTTTGGGGGACCATGCTGGGGGTCTGCAACAGAGACATCTAATGCCCACATAGTCCCAGAGCTGATGTCACGGCAGCTGATGTCTGGGCGACGACCTGAGAGAAGGTGGGAGTCCTCGAGCTGCACAACGTAACCAAGCTCGGACGTGATACGATGAACCTCATGCTTGATGGCGTCGTGGACCCTGGTAGGCTCATTAGAGGATGGGCAGCGGAGGACGTGAGAGACGACTGAAGGGTCTGTGAATGCCCAGCCACAAGTGCATGTGCGGGCGGTCGTGAGGTGTGGAATGGGGAGGCCAAGACGGATAACGGCTGCAATACACCACTCCGTAGGTGACAGCTGCATATGCGAAGAACATGGAGCCACAGTAAGCCAATCGCCAGCATGGGGCCCATGTAAATAGGTTAAACGGGCCAAATGTTGGGAAGAGGTTACTGTGGAACGCACACGCTCGAGCATGACAGCCTCCAAATGTTGTGAAAGGTAGGAGTAAAGCTTCTGTGGATAGCCAGCGTGAAGTGCGGGCCAGGTAGGGAAGTGTTGTCGGATGGTAGGATGAAGTTTGGACATGGCTGTGGGAATGCATGGGTCAAGGCGGTCCATGGTGTCTGAAGTGATGAAGGGACGAAAAATAGGGGAGCCGTGAATGGTGAAGCATGACGAGAGGAGTGAAACCGTCTGTGCCCAGCTGCACAGGTAACTAAGAGAAGCAGTTGCTGCTGAAGAACGGAGGCCGAACCCACCAAGACGAATGGGAAGGAATGGCTGTCGGTGTGCTGTGGCAGTGTGGTCAAAAGCAGGAGGCCAGTAGTCAGAGCCGATGAGGCGAACAAAGTGGTCCAACAAGGTGTTGTCCCAGTCAGTGTAGTCAACCACTACCACACTTCATGTACGATTCATCGAAGAACATTTTCTTTTCAAATATTTTTGTGCCAGCTTTTCCAGCCAATTTGGCCCACGATGTTCACCGCCACCTTCGCCATCTCCTTGTACTGTGCTGTAACACTTTCGCACCATGCAGCTGCCAGCCACTTGCAGCTGCACCCCAGAATTGCACACTTCAAATGTGGAAAGCATTTCGATCCCCGCTAACATAACACACGCGAAATATACAGGATTGTACGAAATGTAGCATTGAGCTGCCAGGATACTCTCAAATGTAGCACTGACATTTCAGGATACCTCACACTGTGCAGCCCTGACAATTCAGGGCAAATTCTGATTTCCTAAAAACTGCCCTGAGGCCTCAGTGTACCCCCAAACGAATCTGAGGGCCTGTTGCCCACGTGTTTCAATTCAAGCTGGAGATGTGGACAGTTGTTACGGAACGATGAGGGGTAGATCGGCATGCTACCCAGTTGTCTGAACAGGACTTCCTAGATGCCATCAAAGTAAAACACTCCACCAAAACAATGTTTGTATTGGGGTTCAGCATTCTTTAGAATATTCCACAGGACAGGATCCATGCATGGTCGTATGGTATACTTGTGACAAACCTCTGAAAGGAGTCTGCATTGCAGTCATCATAGGTATGTAGGGATACATACGATCGGCATTGATAAATTATTCATATTATCATCTAACATGTAGGGATACAGAACTTTTACCTGCAGAAGTACTATATGTATCCAAAAGAAAAGAGTCAGCTTCTTCCTCCTACCTATATGATTGCGTCCTCCAAAGAATAGTTTCAGCTTGAATCGTTTTTGTGGCTTCACAAGGTAACAGTATCTCCGGCCCTCGTTATACATCACAGGAGCAGAGCGTCCTCCCAGAAGCAGAGGCAGGCAGCCACTGCTTATGGCTGAGTGTTGAGACTGACTAGGCGCCTCATTCGGTACGTAAATCAGCTTCTCTCACAAGGTTAGCTCCGGTCCAGTTTATCCATCATGATAGCTAGCGCCCTCCCAGCAGGGGAGGCAGCCACTGATCACGGATGAGTTGCAATGAGACATCCTCGCCTGAGCTACCGCCTTGCACCTGGCAGAAGCAACTGCCACAGAGCGCTAGCACTCCGTCTCTGGGTCATCCCCAATCCCTGATACTGCTGCAGCTGCTGCGGCTCCTTCTGCTGCTGTTGCTGGTCCACTGATTTACGGAGGCCTGCCCGCTCGCAGATCTGCTCCGCAGGCGATTCTTCGCCTGAGGTCCCAGCACCAGAAGAAGCCTCCTCGCTGCTGCTCCCCCACAGGGCCCTACCGTCGCTAGTAGCGTCGCCAGCGTCGCTGCCGTCGCTGCTCTGGCTGGCTGCGTCGTCGTCGTCGTCTTCCTCGCAGTCTGGGGCAGCGATCGCCCACATGCCCGCTGCCTGCTTGAGCCTGGGTTTGGGGAAGCATAGCACACCAGAAGGACAGGGGAAACGCAGGGTAAGCCAAGGTAAATATCAGACAAAGTGAACCCACAGAAGCTATTACTGTGAAAGAGAGAAAAAAAAAGGCATTATAGAGAAGAAAGGGGGTCATGGTGGGCCCTTACCGTTCTCGCACTGCATCGAGCTCAGAATAGTCCATGGCGTTTCGTCGCCTGTTTACAGACATGCGCCGACCACTGGTGCTAAGAGAAACACTGCTTCTGCCAGTGGCAGTAGCAGTAGCAGTAGCAGTAGTGGCAGCAGTACCGCAACCGGCCCCACTGCCAGTGCCAAGCTTTTCGTCTTCAAAAAGTTTTTGCTGCGCCGCTGCCGGCGCTACGGCAGCAATCGCCGCAGCAGCAGCGGCTGTTCCGGCCGTTAAGGGTGACCATGGCCCTGCCGGCTGCGCAGCTTTCCCCGCCGCTTTCCCCGCCGCTTTCCTCGCTGCGCTTCCGCCGCGGCTCCGTTCCGCGCGACACTGCGACGTCGCAACCCACGAGTGGAAGTCCTCGCTCGGCGATTCTTCCTCGCGGTCGCCGGCGTCGCTGTGCGACATACTTTGTCGCATTGAACGCGGCAACGACAGATCGGCGGCGTTACCAATAGATGCAGGCCTCATGGACCGGAAAATGCCGCCAGGCCTGATGGCATCACTCTTACTACTTATAGTATTAGTGCTAGTTTTAGTAATAGAGGAGGCCTCCGAGTCGCCGCAGCGCTGAACGAGACTGCACAGCGGCGCGGCCCCGTGGAATTTCAAGGTGGCGACTGCACATGTGTTGCCCTCCAGCTCCGATGAGTCGCACGATGAGTCGCACGATGAGTCGCACGATGCCTTCAACTTCGCGTCAGCACTGACGACGACGGACGGCGCAGATTTGCCGCCGGCGGTTGAAGTAACGGTGGTTGACGGCGCCTGAAGCGACGAGAGAGCGGGCCGCGGCATGCTTAACTTGAAGTCTTCTGAACGGTTCGAGTTGGCAACGGCCGTGACGGCGGCTGTGGCGGCGGCGGTGGTGCCGTGCCACGTTGTGCGGGACGGGAGGGAGACGCGGCGCGGCGTGGCGGCGCCGCCAGCGTCAAGGTTAAGCTTGTTCTCGGAGGCCGCGGACGCGCGAGAAGGAGCGAACGGCGATACGCCGCCGCCAAGGCCGGCGGCGAGTCTGCTGACGGCGGAGCTTAGGCGCGGATCTCTGCCATAGCAGGTGGAGGCGAGGTAGGTGGGTAGCCAATCATCGTCTTCTTGAAGAAGTTCCGAAGCGGGATCCTCGGCACGTACTGCGTGTGTCAAGGCTGGGAGATGCGCCGCCATTGCAACTTGGGAAGCCATGGAGTATTTTCTTGTGTAGGATGTGTAGCGAGTGGAATTCAACAAGAAATTGGCGGATCCGCTCAAAGATTGGAAAAGAAAGTGGCTTTCCCGGAAAACAGAGAAAGCGACGGTCGCGTACGCGCCAGCAGCAGTGGAGAGTTCAGAGGAGATGATGAATGAACACGGGATGGGCCGATGGACACCACTGGGAAAAATATAAGGGTGGATCAGGGAGGCGTTGTTGACCTGGGAAGGAGGAGGACTGCGGACAGCAGAAAATGGGAATGGACTGGCTGATGGAAATGCTGCTGCTTTGGAGCGTTGGTGGTGGTATTGCTTGGCACAATATGCGCACAGTGAAATAGCCTGTGGAGTGGAGAGAGGAGAGGGCGCATGAGAGAAGAGAAGGAAGGGGTTTTGGGTGGTGGGTTGCTGCTGGTGGTGGGGTCTTGTACGTCATTTATTGTGCTGGTTGCACTTCCGGGCATTGGAGATGATTAATAATAGACAGGTGTATTCGATCCAGACACTAACGGTTTATGTAGCAGAGTTAGGAGTGCCAGCTCTTCCTATTGATTGTAAGTTCCGACAACGTCCTAGAAACACGAGGACGGTTTGCTGCTACCACACACATATCCAGATACTTTCAGGATGCCACACTTCAGAAGTGGAAATTGAGGTGCCATTATTCGAAAACATTTGCGTTCTACCTTGAACTTCCCATTGTGCCCGGAAGGAGAAAACGTTGGACGGAGATATTGTTGCTGGAGATTCATGTGAACCACTCGCTGCGAGAACCACCAACAGAGCATGAGATTGTGCCTGCGGCTGATAGGCTACTTCTGTTGGACCAGAAGAATGTTCGCCAAGCGGGGCCAGCTGTCAAACGAGACTTGGTGGTGGAGGAGGGGTGTGAGATTCCACGTCACGACCCAACGGAAGGAAGAGACGCGGACGATGTGCGACGATTAGCGAATAATTATCATGTCCCAAATTTGATGGCTCACAAGCCATACGCCAAAAGCGAATCGTTCGGCTGCTGGTGGAGCGAAAATATCCAGACTGGGAGTGTTTGGAATCTATCCTAAAAAATCACGTGTGAAGTGAAGTCTTCCAACACAACCGAAACCAGGACATGGCTAGGGGAAGAGGTACATTTCAGTGACACACACACACACACACACACACACACACACACACACACACACACACACACACACACACACACACACACACACACACACACACACACACACACACACACACACACACACACACACACACACACACACACACACACACACACACACACACACACACACACACACACACACACACACACACACACACACACACACACACACACACACACACACACACACACACACACACACACACACACACACACACACACACACACACACACACACACACACACACACACACACACACACACACACACACACACACACACACACACACACACACACACACACACACACACACACACACACACACACACACACACACACACACACACACACACACACACACACACACACACACACACACACACACACACACACACACACACACACACACACACACACACACACACACACACACACACACACACACACACACACACACACACACACACACACACACACACACACACACACACTTCCGTTTTTTTGAAAAATGGTTTAGTACGTGGCGTGGCTGTTACACGAGATATTTAGTGGTGGCCGTTCCAACCAAAGCCGCAGTGGGAGGTTGTTGGCGCGTCAATCACAACAGCCACCACTTTCCTACAGAAGGCCAAAACGAATCCCCTACTCGACGGAAATCACTGGACCTCCAACCCAGCAAGAGATGCGATCGTTTCTGGAGCCACGCGGAAACTGTGGACACCTCTGTCCTTCCTAACCCGCTACAGTTCATTACTTTAAGGGCGTATCCCTGGGTGGTGGCAGGGCCACTGTAGATGGCAGCCTGCCACGAACACATAAAACGCCAGGTTGGTGTCAGGAAATTTGGCGCGCAAATACAGGTGCGTGATTGGGCAATGTCCCAAAAATGTCACTTCAATGCCACCAAATACGAGTCGCGCGCGCCTCGGTAAAAATGTTGGTGGCATGCGGTTTTCCCGCATGCCACCAACTCTGCCATCTACAGTGGCCCTGCCACCACCCAGGGATACGCCCTAAGAAGCAGCATACTGGATGAGGCTTTCGGGTATGGATCAGCGAACCGAATAGTTTAGTGACATACATTTCTTTATCAGTGACCAACAAATACTGTACTGTTCTTCTTAGCCTGTCATATTATATTCCCGCCCTACATACATTGTCTCGGATCAGGCACCACATTGCATGTAGAGTGGTTTATGGTTCAATGTGATTCTTTGCTTCTAGTCATACTATGTACTATCCCTTACACCTCTGTTGATTCGTAAACTAGGTATCTCACTACTTTTGTCATGGCATGGCTTGTATGTGACAACCCACCAAACATGTGTATTTCTATATATTTTTCCAATGCTGACTAGAACATTGGTGTTGGGCACATACCTTTTAGTACCGGTACCTGCCTACGCCTTGGTGCCGTAACACTATCCTCCCCCTATTTAAAGTTTCCTACCATATGACTTCCATATGCAAGACGTGGGTGCCAGCACGTACAATATAAACGAGCAACATCAGATGAGATACGGTATGATAAACCATGCTACCGTGAGACTCTTCCAACGGCAGGAATAGCACCGAGGAGATTTCGCAGGTGGCTGTGCAACACCTCGGAAGGAAACAATCCAGTAGCACTCAATAACGCCAAAATAGCGTGTGTGAGACAAAACGAGTCTGGATGTTTAACCCTAACGCGCCAAACCCTATGGTAGCATCCAATCCAAACTCACTGGGAACAAGCGTCCTCTGACACACAGTCCAGTCCACTAATACCGTAGCTAGCATATTCGCAGCTTCGACCGTTGAATTGAGCTCTTCTCCTCTCTCTCTCACCCCTCGGCTTCCTCCCCTTCCAATCCAAAAGGTGTGTTGTGAGTCTGTGCTTTGAATCCAACTCGTACGGGACTGCAACACGCCCAGGAGCTGGGACTTCAATGGGTTTCCGTCCATCCAGGCATGCAAACAGTGCAGCAGCAGAGCACCGTCACTCCCCCCCTTTGCTCGGGTGTGCTTGCAAGCCTGATCCAAACTCAACACCTACCAGCAGCATCAGCCCATGAGCTTAGACTTCCCTGGGTTTCCAACCCATCCAGGCGTGCAAACAGTGCAGCAGCAGCAGATCCGTCACCCAGGCACACTTTCACCTATTTCTTGAAGCGCCTCAACATAAAGTCAACGCCGACCAGCGGCATCAGCCCAGGAACTGGGATTTCCCTGAGGTTCTGTCCCATCCAGGCGCGCAAACAACGCAGCAGCAGACCCGTCACCCAGTCGCACCGTCACCCCCTTGTTCTTCCGCCCCTTGCCCTTGCCCCGCCCCGCTCCCCCCGCGCCACCCCCTTCCCCTGCTCCCCCGCCTGCTTCCGCTGCGCTGGTTGCAATGCTGGTGGTGCTGCTGATGCGGCGAGGGGGAGTGGGTTGAGGAGGTGTAGGTGCTGCGGATGAAGGGAGAGGGGATGGTGCAGAGGGAGCGGTGGGGGGGAGAGAGCCGCAGACAGAGCAGCGGACGGATTTAGCAGAGTTGATCAGCGTACACACACTGCATGACCACTCCCCACCGCCTCCCACCGCTCCCGCTCCCCCTCGTCCTCCCCCCCCTGCTGCTCCTCCTGCCCCTGATTGCTTTTGAAAGCGCGAGGGAGCTGGGGCGAGAGCAGGAAAAGCAGCGGAGGGAGCATAAGCAGCGGGTGGGACAACCATGGATGCAAGCTCAGGAGCAGACATCGATGCATGCAGGGAGTGAGAGTGAGAGAGCGATGCTGCTCGTGATCTGTATTCCTTCTTCCCTTCGTCTCCCATCCCTTGCATGCTCTCCTGCTCCTTTTCCTTCTCCTTCTGCTTCTGCTTCTCCTTCCCGGCACCCTTTCCCCCCTTCTCATGCTCCCTCCCTTCCCTTCCTCCGCCCCCACCACCCCTCGCCCCCCTCCCACCCACATCCCCCTCTCCTTTCCCTCCCCCGCCCCCTCCGCTCCCGCGCCCAGCATCCGCTTTTAGCAACGACGCGCTTTGCAACGAGGCTTGAGCGGAATGAGACGCACTAGAGGCATTTGAAGCACTTGCACTTGCAGCCCCCCAGTTGCGGCCTGCCTGGCAGCATGCACCTTCTGAAGCTCCTCTCTCTTGGGCACATCCGGACAAAGCATCGCCAGCCGCGGCACCAGATGGGACAAACCAAGCCGGCACACATGCGCGTAGTACACCACAGTCAGCATCTCTCCTGCCCGCCATTTACTGGACTTATCCTTGAAATCTTCGAACCCAGCGCTGCCGTTGCCCGCGCCGCCCAGCCCAGATTTGATATCCTCTATCAGGGCCTTGTTTGCTGCACGAAGCGCTTCTTTTTCCTCACTGGATATGTCCCCGACTCGTTGCTTCAGCCGGCTTTCCTTGCTGCTCTGCTGCTGCTGCGGCTGCGGCTGCTGCTGCTGGGAGGGAGTTTTCTCGTCCTGCTGCTGCTTCTTCTCCTCGTATTCCTCTTCCCAGTTATCCTTCACCACTCTCTCCTCCCCTAGCTTTGGAAACGCGCCTGGCTGTAGCACTGAACCTCCTCCCCCACCCCCTCTGCTCGTCTTCCCTCTGCCAAATCCCCCTCCCCCTCCTCCCCCTCCCCCCCCCCCTCCTCCTCCTCCTCCTCCCCCTCCACTACCACTACTGCCACTACTACCACCTATCCCCCTACCCCCCCCATCACCCCATCCCCCTCCGCCTCTCCCCCCCGCAGCTCCCCCCCCAAGCACTGGCCATTCCGGCCCCCCACCCCCTGCCTGCCCCCCGCCTCCCCCACCCACAGGCTGGGGGGGAGCAAGCGGACCTGCAGTTCTCAGAACCGCAATCAACCCCCCAAGACCGCCTTTGACCTTCCCTCCCTTCCCACCTTTACCGCTGCCGCTGCTGCTGCTGCTGCTGCTGTTCCCTCGCGCCGGTCCCCAGGAATCGGACGGAGCAGAAGGAGCAGCAGCAGAGGTGGCCGAGGCAGAGGCAGAGGCAGAAGGCAAGGGAGGGAAGAGAACGTCCTGTGTGATACCCCCCCCACCGCCTGCTGCTCCTAGTGCTCCTAGTGCTCCTAGTGATCCTAGTGCTCCTCCTGCTACCACTGCTGCTGCTGTGTTGCGCTGGGTCTTTACTCGATACACAGCCACTGACATGCCTTCAGTTAACGGGCCATTGGCGCTTGTACCGCTGCCTCCGGTCGTTCCTGTGCTGCTGGTGGTGGTGGTGGTGGTGGTGGCTGCTGCAGCAGCAGGAGGGGCAGGAGCAGAGGAGGCAGAGAGAGAGGGGAAAGCCTCTGGGGCCAGGAGCGGGGGGGAAGTGAGAGGGAGCTGATGCAGGGGCGGAGGATGAAGAGGAGGAGGGTAGTGGTGGGGATAGGGCGGAGGCGGACGGGGAGGAGTTAGCAGCAGTACCACCACTAGGCCCCCCTCCTCTTCTCCGTGACTGCTGCTGCTGCTGCTTGTGCTGAGAAGACCCTTCCCCCTCCCGACCTCCAGCAGCAGTAGAAGCAGCAGACTCTCCTGTTCCTGCTATAGCAACTGATTCCCTTAAAGCCCGTTCCAACTGAGCCGACTCTATACTTGCTGCCAGCACTGCTGCTTCACTCACACCAGCCCCATTCCCCCCCCCATCCCCCCCATCCCGCCCCCGAACCCCCCTCCGCGCCCTCCCCCTCGTCCCCCTCCCCCGCCCTCGTACCCCTGTCGCCCCCCCCTGCCTCTCCCCCTCCCACCCTCCGCGCGTAATGAGGGGAAGTTGAAAAACTGGGAGGGGGGGAATCTGTAGCAGCAAAAGAGAGGGGAGGGGGGTGGGGGGTGCAGGCGAGATGGAGTGGGGGAAAAACAGTGGGCCGGCAACAGGGGGTAAAATTGTGGAGGGAACAAGGGAGAGGGTTCGGATGTAGAGAGGGGAAGATGGGAGGGAGACGAAAGAATAGCGGAAGGCTGGAATGGCAGCATCTAATCCAATGGTCAGGAATGGCAGCATCTAATCCAATGGTCAGGAATGGCAGCATCTAATCCAATGGTCAGGAATGGCAGCATCTAATCCAATGGTCAGGAATGGCAGCATCTAATCCAATGGTCAGGAATGGCAGCATCTAATCCAATGGTCAGGAATGGCAGCATCTAATCCAATGGTCAGGAATGGCATCAGCATGTAACACGTCCCCGATCCGTCCCTGGTCATTCTCATTCCATCCCAATCCCCCCCACTTCCCAATCCTTCCCCCACCTCTTCCCCCATCCACGCACCTGCAGTGCCCTGTTGCGCTCGGCGCGCTTCATGTTGCCTGCATGCTGCTGCGCAATGTGTTGCTGTGGGTAGGTAAGACGAGAGGGGAGGGAGGGAGGGGAGGCAGGGCTATTGAGACCTCTATAAGTCGGCACGCTTCATATGGCCTGAATGTTGCCGCACACTGTGTTGCTGTGTGAAGGAAATACGGCAGAGGGGGAGAAAGGGGGGGAAGAAGGGGGGGAGAAGAGGGGGAAGAAGGGGGGGAAGGAAGTAGGGAGGGAGACGACGGTAAGGTTATATTTTTTCCAAGCACTCCCTGTCCTCACACACGAAGTGGTCCCAAACTCAGCAACAAGCTATGTGATGTGAAAGTCACCTTTGAGATTCCTCAACAGTGACAACAGTAAGGTAACTTCCGTTCCAAGCACTTCCCGCATGCCACCAACTCTGCCATCTACAGTGGCCCTGCCACCACCCAGGGATACGCCCTAAGAAGCAGCATACTGGATGAGGCTTTCGGGTATGGATCAGCGAACCGAATAGTTTAGTGACATACATTTCTTTATCAGTGACCAACAAATACTGTACTGTTCTTCTTAGCCTGTCATATTATATTCCCGCCCTACATACATTGTCTCGGATCAGGCACCACATTGCATGTAGAGTGGTTTATGGTTCAATGTGATTCTTTGCTTCTAGTCATACTATGTACTATCCCTTACACCTCTGTTGATTCGTAAACTAGGTATCTCACTACTTTTGTCATGGCATGGCTTGTATGTGACAACCCACCAAACATGTGTATTTCTATATATTTTTCCAATGCTGACTAGAACATTGGTGTTGGGCACATACCTTTTAGTACCGGTACCTGCCTACGCCTTGGTGCCGTAACACTATCCTCCCCCTATTTAAAGTTTCCTACCATATGACTTCCATATGCAAGACGTGGGTGCCAGCACGTACAATATAAACGAGCAACATCAGATGAGATACGGTATGATAAACCATGCTACCGTGAGACTCTTCCAACGGCAGGAATAGCACCGAGGAGATTTCGCAGGTGGCTGTGCAACACCTCGGAAGGAAACAATCCAGTAGCACTCAATAACGCCAAAATAGCGTGTGTGAGACAAAACGAGTCTGGATGTTTAACCCTAACGCGCCAAACCCTATGGTAGCATCCAATCCAAACTCACTGGGAACAAGCGTCCTCTGACACACAGTCCAGTCCACTAATACCGTAGCTAGCATATTCGCAGCTTCGACCGTTGAATTGAGCTCTTCTCCTCTCTCTCTCACCCCTCGGCTTCCTCCCCTTCCAATCCAAAAGGTGTGTTGTGAGTCTGTGCTTTGAATCCAACTCGTACGGGACTGCAACACGCCCAGGAGCTGGGACTTCAATGGGTTTCCGTCCCATCCAGGCATGCAAACAGTGCAGCAGCAGAGCACCGTCACTCCCCCCCTTTGCTCGGGTGTGCTTGCAAGCCTGATCCAAACTCAACACCTACCAGCAGCATCAGCCCATGAGCTTAGACTTCCCTGGGTTTCCAACCCATCCAGGCGTGCAAACAGTGCAGCAGCAGCAGATCCGTCACCCAGGCACACTTTCACCTATTTCTTGAAGCGCCTCAACATAAAGTCAACGCCGACCAGCGGCATCAGCCCAGGAACTGGGATTTCCCTGAGGTTCTGTCCCATCCAGGCGCGCAAACAACGCAGCAGCAGACCCGTCACCCAGTCGCACCGTCACCCCCTTGTTCTTCCGCCCCTTGCCCTTGCCCCGCCCCGCTCCCCCCGCGCCACCCCCCTTCCCCTGCTCCCCCGCCTGCTTCCGCTGCGCTGGTTGCAATGCTGGTGGTGCTGCTGATGCGGCGAGGGGGAGTGGGTTGAGGAGGTGTAGGTGCTGCGGATGAAGGGAGAGGGGATGGTGCAGAGGGAGCGGTGGGGGGGAGAGAGCCGCAGACAGAGCAGCGGACGGATTTAGCAGAGTTGATCAGCGTACACACACTGCATGACCACTCCCCACCGCCTCCCACCGCTCCCGCTCCCCCTCGTCCTCCCCCCCCTGCTGCTCCTCCTGCCCCTGATTGCTTTTGAAAGCGCGAGGGAGCTGGGGCGAGAGCAGGAAAAGCAGCGGAGGGAGCATAAGCAGCGGGTGGGACAACCATGGATGCAAGCTCAGGAGCAGACATCGATGCATGCAGGGAGTGAGAGTGAGAGAGCGATGCTGCTCGTGATCTGTATTCCTTCTTCCCTTCGTCTCCCATCCCTTGCATGCTCTCCTGCTCCTTTTCCTTCTCCTTCTGCTTCTGCTTCTCCTTCCCGGCACCCTTTCCCCCCTTCTCATGCTCCCTCCCTTCCCTTCCTCCGCCCCCACCACCCCTCGCCCCCCTCCCACCCACATCCCCCTCTCCTTTCCCTCCCCCGCCCCCTCCGCTCCCGCGCCCAGCATCCGCTTTTAGCAACGACGCGCTTTGCAACGAGGCTTGAGCGGAATGAGACGCACTAGAGGCATTTGAAGCACTTGCACTTGCAGCCCCCCCAGTTGCGGCCTGCCTGGCAGCATGCACCTTCTGAAGCTCCTCTCTCTTGGGCACATCCGGACAAAGCATCGCCAGCCGCGGCACCAGATGGGACAAACCAAGCCGGCACACATGCGCGTAGTACACCACAGTCAGCATCTCTCCTGCCCGCCATTTACTGGACTTATCCTTGAAATCTTCGAACCCAGCGCTGCCGTTGCCCGCGCCGCCCAGCCCAGATTTGATATCCTCTATCAGGGCCTTGTTTGCTGCACGAAGCGCTTCTTTTTCCTCACTGGATATGTCCCCGACTCGTTGCTTCAGCCGGCTTTCCTTGCTGCTCTGCTGCTGCTGCGGCTGCGGCTGCTGCTGCTGGGAGGGAGTTTTCTCGTCCTGCTGCTGCTTCTTCTCCTCGTATTCCTCTTCCCAGTTATCCTTCACCACTCTCTCCTCCCCTAGCTTTGGAAACGCGCCTGGCTGTAGCACTGAACCTCCTCCCCCACCCCCTCTGCTCGTCTTCCCTCTGCCAAATCCCCCTCCCCCTCCTCCCCCTCCCCCCCCCCCCTCCTCCTCCTCCTCCTCCCCCTCCACTACCACTACTGCCACTACTACCACCTATCCCCCTACCCCCCCCATCACCCCATCCCCCTCCGCCTCTCCCCCCCGCAGCTCCCCCCCCAAGCACTGGCCATTCCGGCCCCCCACCCCCTGCCTGCCCCCCGCCTCCCCCACCCACAGGCTGGGGGGGAGCAAGCGGACCTGCAGTTCTCAGAACCGCAATCAACCCCCCAAGACCGCCTTTGACCTTCCCTCCCTTCCCACCTTTACCGCTGCCGCTGCTGCTGCTGCTGCTGCTGCTGTTCCCTCGCGCCGGTCCCCAGGAATCGGACGGAGCAGAAGGAGCAGCAGCAGAGGTGGCCGAGGCAGAGGCAGAGGCAGAAGGCAAGGGAGGGAAGAGAACGTCCTGTGTGATACCCCCCCCACCGCCTGCTGCTCCTAGTGCTCCTAGTGCTCCTAGTGATCCTAGTGCTCCTCCTGCTACCACTGCTGCTGCTGTGTTGCGCTGGGTCTTTACTCGATACACAGCCACTGACATGCCTTCAGTTAACGGGCCATTGGCGCTTGTACCGCTGCCTCCGGTCGTTCCTGTGCTGCTGGTGGTGGTGGTGGTGGTGGTGGCTGCTGCAGCAGCAGGAGGGGCAGGAGCAGAGGAGGCAGAGAGAGAGGGGAAAGCCTCTGGGGCCAGGAGCGGGGGGAAGTGAGAGGGAGCTGATGCAGGGGCGGAGGATGAAGAGGAGGAGGGTAGTGGTGGGGATAGGGCGGAGGCGGACGGGGAGGAGTTAGCAGCAGTACCACCACTAGGCCCCCCTCCTCTTCTCCGTGACTGCTGCTGCTGCTGCTTGTGCTGAGAAGACCCTTCCCCCTCCCGACCTCCAGCAGCAGTAGAAGCAGCAGACTCTCCTGTTCCTGCTATAGCAACTGATTCCCTTAAAGCCCGTTCCAACTGAGCCGACTCTATACTTGCTGCCAGCACTGCTGCTTCACTCACACCAGCCCCCATTCCCCCCCCCATCCCCCCCATCCCGCCCCCGAACCCCCCTCCGCGCCCTCCCCCTCGTCCCCCTCCCCCGCCCTCGTACCCCTGTCGCCCCCCCCTGCCTCTCCCCCTCCCACCCTCCGCGCGTAATGAGGGGAAGTTGAAAAACTGGGAGGGGGGAATCTGTAGCAGCAAAAGAGAGGGGAGGGGGGGTGGGGGGGTGCAGGCGAGATGGAGTGGGGGAAAAACAGTGGGCCGGCAACAGGGGGTAAAATTGTGGAGGGAACAAGGGAGAGGGTTCGGATGTAGAGAGGGGAAGATGGGAGGGAGACGAAAGAATAGCGGAAGGCTGGAATGGCAGCATCTAATCCAATGGTCAGGAATGGCAGCATCTAATCCAATGGTCAGGAATGGCAGCATCTAATCCAATGGTCAGGAATGGCAGCATCTAATCCAATGGTCAGGAATGGCAGCATCTAATCCAATGGTCAGGAATGGCAGCATCTAATCCAATGGTCAGGAATGGCAGCATCTAATCCAATGGTCAGGAATGGCAGCATCTAATCCAATGGTCAGGAATGGCAGCATCTAATCCAATGGTCAGGAATGGCATCAGCATGTAACACGTCCCCGATCCGTCCCTGGTCATTCTCATTCCATCCCAATCCCCCCCCACTTCCCAATCCTTCCCCCACCTCTTCCCCCATCCACGCACCTGCAGTGCCCTGTTGCGCTCGGCGCGCTTCATGTTGCCTGCATGCTGCTGCGCAATGTGTTGCTGTGGGTAGGTAAGACGAGAGGGGAGGGAGGGAGGGGAGGCAGGGCTATTGAGACCTCTATAAGTCGGCACGCTTCATATGGCCTGAATGTTGCCGCACACTGTGTTGCTGTGTGAAGGAAATATGGCAGAGGGGGAGAAAGGGGGGGAAGAAGGGGGGGAGAAGAGGGGGAAGAAGGGGGGGAAGGAAGTAGGGAGGGAGACGACGGTAAGGTTATATTTTTTCCAAGCACTCCCTGTCCTCACACACGAAGTGGTCCCAAACTCAGCAACAAGCTATGTGATGTGAAAGTCACCTTTGAGATTCCTCAACAGTGACAACAGTAAGGTAACTTCCGTTCCAAGCACTTCCCGCATGCCACCAACTCTGCCATCTACAGTGGCCCTGCCACCACCCAGGGATACGCCCTAAGAAGCAGCATACTGGATGAGGCTTTCGGGTATGGATCAGCGAACCGAATAGTTTAGTGACATACATTTCTTTATCAGTGACCAACAAATACTGTACTGTTCTTCTTAGCCTGTCATATTATATTCCCGCCCTACATACATTGTCTCGGATCAGGCACCACATTGCATGTAGAGTGGTTTATGGTTCAATGTGATTCTTTGCTTCTAGTCATACTATGTACTATCCCTTACACCTCTGTTGATTCGTAAACTAGGTATCTCACTACTTTTGTCATGGCATGGCTTGTATGTGACAACCCACCAAACATGTGTATTTCTATATATTTTTCCAATGCTGACTAGAACATTGGTGTTGGGCACATACCTTTTAGTACCGGTACCTGCCTACGCCTTGGTGCCGTAACACTATCCTCCCCCTATTTAAAGTTTCCTACCATATGACTTCCATATGCAAGACGTGGGTGCCAGCACGTACAATATAAACGAGCAACATCAGATGAGATACGGTATGATAAACCATGCTACCGTGAGACTCTTCCAACGGCAGGAATAGCACCGAGGAGATTTCGCAGGTGGCTGTGCAACACCTCGGAAGGAAACAATCCAGTAGCACTCAATAACGCCAAAATAGCGTGTGTGAGACAAAACGAGTCTGGATGTTTAACCCTAACGCGCCAAACCCTATGGTAGCATCCAATCCAAACTCACTGGGAACAAGCGTCCTCTGACACACAGTCCAGTCCACTAATACCGTAGCTAGCATATTCGCAGCTTCGACCGTTGAATTGAGCTCTTCTCCTCTCTCTCTCACCCCTCGGCTTCCTCCCCTTCCAATCCAAAAGGTGTGTTGTGAGTCTGTGCTTTGAATCCAACTCGTACGGGACTGCAACACGCCCAGGAGCTGGGACTTCAATGGGTTTCCGTCCCATCCAGGCATGCAAACAGTGCAGCAGCAGAGCACCGTCACTCCCCCCCTTTGCTCGGGTGTGCTTGCAAGCCTGATCCAAACTCAACACCTACCAGCAGCATCAGCCCATGAGCTTAGACTTCCCTGGGTTTCCAACCCATCCAGGCGTGCAAACAGTGCAGCAGCAGCAGATCCGTCACCCAGGCACACTTTCACCTATTTCTTGAAGCGCCTCAACATAAAGTCAACGCCGACCAGCGGCATCAGCCCAGGAACTGGGATTTCCCTGAGGTTCTGTCCCATCCAGGCGCGCAAACAACGCAGCAGCAGACCCGTCACCCAGTCGCACCGTCACCCCCTTGTTCTTCCGCCCCTTGCCCTTGCCCCGCCCCGCTCCCCCCGCGCCACCCCCTTCCCCTGCTCCCCCGCCTGCTTCCGCTGCGCTGGTTGCAATGCTGGTGGTGCTGCTGATGCGGCGAGGGGGAGTGGGTTGAGGAGGTGTAGGTGCTGCGGATGAAGGGAGAGGGGATGGTGCAGAGGGAGCGGTGGGGGGGAGAGAGCCGCAGACAGAGCAGCGGACGGATTTAGCAGAGTTGATCAGCGTACACACACTGCATGACCACTCCCCACCCGCCTCCCACCGCTCCCGCTCCCCCTCGTCCTCCCCCCCCTGCTGCTCCTCCTGCCCCTGATTGCTTTTGAAAGCGCGAGGGAGCTGGGGCGAGAGCAGGAAAAGCAGCGGAGGGAGCATAAGCAGCGGGTGGGACAACCATGGATGCAAGCTCAGGAGCAGACATCGATGCATGCAGGGAGTGAGAGTGAGAGAGCGATGCTGCTCGTGATCTGTATTCCTTCTTCCCTTCGTCTCCCATCCCTTGCATGCTCTCCTGCTCCTTTTCCTTCTCCTTCTGCTTCTGCTTCTCCTTCCCGGCACCCTTTCCCCCCTTCTCATGCTCCCTCCCTTCCCTTCCTCCGCCCCCACCACCCCTCGCCCCCCTCCCACCCACATCCCCCTCTCCTTTCCCTCCCCCGCCCCCTCCGCTCCCGCGCCCAGCATCCGCTTTTAGCAACGACGCGCTTTGCAACGAGGCTTGAGCGGAATGAGACGCACTAGAGGCATTTGAAGCACTTGCACTTGCAGCCCCCCCAGTTGCGGCCTGCCTGGCAGCATGCACCTTCTGAAGCTCCTCTCTCTTGGGCACATCCGGACAAAGCATCGCCAGCCGCGGCACCAGATGGGACAAACCAAGCCGGCACACATGCGCGTAGTACACCACAGTCAGCATCTCTCCTGCCCGCCATTTACTGGACTTATCCTTGAAATCTTCGAACCCAGCGCTGCCGTTGCCCGCGCCGCCCAGCCCAGATTTGATATCCTCTATCAGGGCCTTGTTTGCTGCACGAAGCGCTTCTTTTTCCTCACTGGATATGTCCCCGACTCGTTGCTTCAGCCGGCTTTCCTTGCTGCTCTGCTGCTGCTGCGGCTGCGGCTGCTGCTGCTGGGAGGGAGTTTTCTCGTCCTGCTGCTGCTTCTTCTCCTCGTATTCCTCTTCCCAGTTATCCTTCACCACTCTCTCCTCCCCTAGCTTTGGAAACGCGCCTGGCTGTAGCACTGAACCTCCTCCCCCACCCCCTCTGCTCGTCTTCCCTCTGCCAAATCCCCCTCCCCCTCCTCCCCCTCCCCCCCCCCCCTCCTCCTCCTCCTCCTCCCCCTCCACTACCACTACTGCCACTACTACCACCTATCCCCCTACCCCCCCCATCACCCCATCCCCCTCCGCCTCTCCCCCCCGCAGCTCCCCCCCCAAGCACTGGCCATTCCGGCCCCCCACCCCCTGCCTGCCCCCCGCCTCCCCCACCCACAGGCTGGGGGGGAGCAAGCGGACCTGCAGTTCTCAGAACCGCAATCAACCCCCCAAGACCGCCTTTGACCTTCCCTCCCTTCCCACCTTTACCGCTGCCGCTGCTGCTGCTGCTGCTGCTGTTCCCTCGCGCCGGTCCCCAGGAATCGGACGGAGCAGAAGGAGCAGCAGCAGAGGTGGCCGAGGCAGAGGCAGAGGCAGAAGGCAAGGGAGGGAAGAGAACGTCCTGTGTGATACCCCCCCCACCGCCTGCTGCTCCTAGTGCTCCTAGTGCTCCTAGTGATCCTAGTGCTCCTCCTGCTACCACTGCTGCTGCTGTGTTGCGCTGGGTCTTTACTCGATACACAGCCACTGACATGCCTTCAGTTAACGGGCCATTGGCGCTTGTACCGCTGCCTCCGGTCGTTCCTGTGCTGCTGGTGGTGGTGGTGGTGGTGGTGGCTGCTGCAGCAGCAGGAGGGGCAGGAGCAGAGGAGGCAGAGAGAGAGGGGAAAGCCTCTGGGGCCAGGAGCGGGGGGAAGTGAGAGGGAGCTGATGCAGGGGCGGAGGATGAAGAGGAGGAGGGTAGTGGTGGGGATAGGGCGGAGGCGGACGGGGAGGAGTTAGCAGCAGTACCACCACTAGGCCCCCCTCCTCTTCTCCGTGACTGCTGCTGCTGCTGCTTGTGCTGAGAAGACCCTTCCCCCTCCCGACCTCCAGCAGCAGTAGAAGCAGCAGACTCTCCTGTTCCTGCTATAGCAACTGATTCCCTTAAAGCCCGTTCCAACTGAGCCGACTCTATACTTGCTGCCAGCACTGCTGCTTCACTCACACCAGCCCCCATTCCCCCCCCCATCCCCCCCATCCCGCCCCCGAACCCCCCTCCGCGCCCTCCCCCTCGTCCCCCTCCCCCGCCCTCGTACCCCTGTCGCCCCCCCCTGCCTCTCCCCCTCCCACCCTCCGCGCGTAATGAGGGGAAGTTGAAAAACTGGGAGGGGGGAATCTGTAGCAGCAAAAGAGAGGGGAGGGGGGTGGGGGGTGCAGGCGAGATGGAGTGGGGGAAAAACAGTGGGCCGGCAACAGGGGGTAAAATTGTGGAGGGAACAAGGGAGAGGGTTCGGATGTAGAGAGGGGAAGATGGGAGGGAGACGAAAGAATAGCGGAAGGCTGGAATGGCAGCATCTAATCCAATGGTCAGGAATGGCAGCATCTAATCCAATGGTCAGGAATGGCAGCATCTAATCCAATGGTCAGGAATGGCAGCATCTAATCCAATGGTCAGGAATGGCAGCATCTAATCCAATGGTCAGGAATGGCAGCATCTAATCCAATGGTCAGGAATGGCAGCATCTAATCCAATGGTCAGGAATGGCAGCATCTAATCCAATGGTCAGGAATGGCAGCATCTAATCCAATGGTCAGGAATGGCATCAGCATGTAACACGTCCCCGATCCGTCCCTGGTCATTCTCATTCCATCCCAATCCCCCCCCACTTCCCAATCCTTCCCCCACCTCTTCCCCCATCCACGCACCTGCAGTGCCCTGTTGCGCTCGGCGCGCTTCATGTTGCCTGCATGCTGCTGCGCAATGTGTTGCTGTGGGTAGGTAAGACGAGAGGGGAGGGAGGGAGGGGAGGCAGGGCTATTGAGACCTCTATAAGTCGGCACGCTTCATATGGCCTGAATGTTGCCGCACACTGTGTTGCTGTGTGAAGGAAATACGGCAGAGGGGGAGAAAGGGGGGGAAGAAGGGGGGGAGAAGAGGGGGAAGAAGGGGGGGAAGGAAGTAGGGAGGGAGACGACGGTAAGGTTATATTTTTTCCAAGCACTCCCTGTCCTCACACACGAAGTGGTCCCAAACTCAGCAACAAGCTATGTGATGTGAAAGTCACCTTTGAGATTCCTCAACAGTGACAACAGTAAGGTAACTTCCGTTCCAAGCACTTCCCGCATGCCACCAACTCTGCCATCTACAGTGGCCCTGCCACCACCCAGGGATACGCCCTAAGAAGCAGCATACTGGATGAGGCTTTCGGGTATGGATCAGCGAACCGAATAGTTTAGTGACATACATTTCTTTATCAGTGACCAACAAATACTGTACTGTTCTTCTTAGCCTGTCATATTATATTCCCGCCCTACATACATTGTCTCGGATCAGGCACCACATTGCATGTAGAGTGGTTTATGGTTCAATGTGATTCTTTGCTTCTAGTCATACTATGTACTATCCCTTACACCTCTGTTGATTCGTAAACTAGGTATCTCACTACTTTTGTCATGGCATGGCTTGTATGTGACAACCCACCAAACATGTGTATTTCTATATATTTTTCCAATGCTGACTAGAACATTGGTGTTGGGCACATACCTTTTAGTACCGGTACCTGCCTACGCCTTGGTGCCGTAACACTATCCTCCCCCTATTTAAAGTTTCCTACCATATGACTTCCATATGCAAGACGTGGGTGCCAGCACGTACAATATAAACGAGCAACATCAGATGAGATACGGTATGATAAACCATGCTACCGTGAGACTCTTCCAACGGCAGGAATAGCACCGAGGAGATTTCGCAGGTGGCTGTGCAACACCTCGGAAGGAAACAATCCAGTAGCACTCAATAACGCCAAAATAGCGTGTGTGAGACAAAACGAGTCTGGATGTTTAACCCTAACGCGCCAAACCCTATGGTAGCATCCAATCCAAACTCACTGGGAACAAGCGTCCTCTGACACACAGTCCAGTCCACTAATACCGTAGCTAGCATATTCGCAGCTTCGACCGTTGAATTGAGCTCTTCTCCTCTCTCTCTCACCCCTCGGCTTCCTCCCCTTCCAATCCAAAAGGTGTGTTGTGAGTCTGTGCTTTGAATCCAACTCGTACGGGACTGCAACACGCCCAGGAGCTGGGACTTCAATGGGTTTCCGTCCCATCCAGGCATGCAAACAGTGCAGCAGCAGAGCACCGTCACTCCCCCCCCTTTGCTCGGGTGTGCTTGCAAGCCTGATCCAAACTCAACACCTACCAGCAGCATCAGCCCATGAGCTTAGACTTCCCTGGGTTTCCAACCCATCCAGGCGTGCAAACAGTGCAGCAGCAGCAGATCCGTCACCCAGGCACACTTTCACCTATTTCTTGAAGCGCCTCAACATAAAGTCAACGCCGACCAGCGGCATCAGCCCAGGAACTGGGATTTCCCTGAGGTTCTGTCCCATCCAGGCGCGCAAACAACGCAGCAGCAGACCCGTCACCCAGTCGCACCGTCACCCCCTTGTTCTTCCGCCCCTTGCCCTTGCCCCGCCCCGCTCCCCCCGCGCCACCCCCTTCCCCTGCTCCCCCGCCTGCTTCCGCTGCGCTGGTTGCAATGCTGGTGGTGCTGCTGATGCGGCGAGGGGGAGTGGGTTGAGGAGGTGTAGGTGCTGCGGATGAAGGGAGAGGGGATGGTGCAGAGGGAGCGGTGGGGGGGAGAGAGCCGCAGACAGAGCAGCGGACGGATTTAGCAGAGTTGATCAGCGTACACACACTGCATGACCACTCCCCACCGCCTCCCACCGCTCCCGCTCCCCCTCGTCCTCCCCCCCCTGCTGCTCCTCCTGCCCCTGATTGCTTTTGAAAGCGCGAGGGAGCTGGGGCGAGAGCAGGAAAAGCAGCGGAGGGAGCATAAGCAGCGGGTGGGACAACCATGGATGCAAGCTCAGGAGCAGACATCGATGCATGCAGGGAGTGAGAGTGAGAGAGCGATGCTGCTCGTGATCTGTATTCCTTCTTCCCTTCGTCTCCCATCCCTTGCATGCTCTCCTGCTCCTTTTCCTTCTCCTTCTGCTTCTGCTTCTCCTTCCCGGCACCCTTTCCCCCCTTCTCATGCTCCCTCCCTTCCCTTCCTCCGCCCCCACCACCCCTCGCCCCCCTCCCACCCACATCCCCCTCTCCTTTCCCTCCCCCGCCCCCTCCGCTCCCGCGCCCAGCATCCGCTTTTAGCAACGACGCGCTTTGCAACGAGGCTTGAGCGGAATGAGACGCACTAGAGGCATTTGAAGCACTTGCACTTGCAGCCCCCCCAGTTGCGGCCTGCCTGGCAGCATGCACCTTCTGAAGCTCCTCTCTCTTGGGCACATCCGGACAAAGCATCGCCAGCCGCGGCACCAGATGGGACAAACCAAGCCGGCACACATGCGCGTAGTACACCACAGTCAGCATCTCTCCTGCCCGCCATTTACTGGACTTATCCTTGAAATCTTCGAACCCAGCGCTGCCGTTGCCCGCGCCGCCCAGCCCAGATTTGATATCCTCTATCAGGGCCTTGTTTGCTGCACGAAGCGCTTCTTTTTCCTCACTGGATATGTCCCCGACTCGTTGCTTCAGCCGGCTTTCCTTGCTGCTCTGCTGCTGCTGCGGCTGCGGCTGCTGCTGCTGGGAGGGAGTTTTCTCGTCCTGCTGCTGCTTCTTCTCCTCGTATTCCTCTTCCCAGTTATCCTTCACCACTCTCTCCTCCCCTAGCTTTGGAAACGCGCCTGGCTGTAGCACTGAACCTCCTCCCCCACCCCCTCTGCTCGTCTTCCCTCTGCCAAATCCCCCTCCCCCTCCTCCCCCTCCCCCCCCCCCTCCTCCTCCTCCTCCTCCCCCTCCACTACCACTACTGCCACTACTACCACCTATCCCCCTACCCCCCCCATCACCCCATCCCCCTCCGCCTCTCCCCCCCGCAGCTCCCCCCCCAAGCACTGGCCATTCCGGCCCCCCACCCCCTGCCTGCCCCCCGCCTCCCCCACCCACAGGCTGGGGGGGAGCAAGCGGACCTGCAGTTCTCAGAACCGCAATCAACCCCCCAAGACCGCCTTTGACCTTCCCTCCCTTCCCACCTTTACCGCTGCCGCTGCTGCTGCTGCTGCTGCTGTTCCCTCGCGCCGGTCCCCAGGAATCGGACGGAGCAGAAGGAGCAGCAGCAGAGGTGGCCGAGGCAGAGGCAGAGGCAGAAGGCAAGGGAGGGAAGAGAACGTCCTGTGTGATACCCCCCCCACCGCCTGCTGCTCCTAGTGCTCCTAGTGCTCCTAGTGATCCTAGTGCTCCTCCTGCTACCACTGCTGCTGCTGTGTTGCGCTGGGTCTTTACTCGATACACAGCCACTGACATGCCTTCAGTTAACGGGCCATTGGCGCTTGTACCGCTGCCTCCGGTCGTTCCTGTGCTGCTGGTGGTGGTGGTGGTGGTGGTGGCTGCTGCAGCAGCAGGAGGGGCAGGAGCAGAGGAGGCAGAGAGAGAGGGGAAAGCCTCTGGGGCCAGGAGCGGGGGGAAGTGAGAGGGAGCTGATGCAGGGGCGGAGGATGAAGAGGAGGAGGGTAGTGGTGGGGATAGGGCGGAGGCGGACGGGGAGGAGTTAGCAGCAGTACCACCACTAGGCCCCCCTCCTCTTCTCCGTGACTGCTGCTGCTGCTGCTTGTGCTGAGAAGACCCTTCCCCCTCCCGACCTCCAGCAGCAGTAGAAGCAGCAGACTCTCCTGTTCCTGCTATAGCAACTGATTCCCTTAAAGCCCGTTCCAACTGAGCCGACTCTATACTTGCTGCCAGCACTGCTGCTTCACTCACACCAGCCCCCATTCCCCCCCCCATCCCCCCCATCCCGCCCCCGAACCCCCCTCCGCGCCCTCCCCCTCGTCCCCCTCCCCCGCCCTCGTACCCCTGTCGCCCCCCCCTGCCTCTCCCCCTCCCACCCTCCGCGCGTAATGAGGGGAAGTTGAAAAACTGGGAGGGGGGAATCTGTAGCAGCAAAAGAGAGGGGAGGGGGGTGGGGGGTGCAGGCGAGATGGAGTGGGGGAAAAACAGTGGGCCGGCAACAGGGGGTAAAATTGTGGAGGGAACAAGGGAGAGGGTTCGGATGTAGAGAGGGGAAGATGGGAGGGAGACGAAAGAATAGCGGAAGGCTGGAATGGCAGCATCTAATCCAATGGTCAGGAATGGCAGCATCTAATCCAATGGTCAGGAATGGCAGCATCTAATCCAATGGTCAGGAATGGCAGCATCTAATCCAATGGTCAGGAATGGCAGCATCTAATCCAATGGTCAGGAATGGCAGCATCTAATCCAATGGTCAGGAATGGCAGCATCTAATCCAATGGTCAGGAATGGCAGCATCTAATCCAATGGTCAGGAATGGCAGCATCTAATCCAATGGTCAGGAATGGCAGCATCTAATCCAATGGTCAGGAATGGCAGCATCTAATCCAATGGTCAGGAATGGCAGCATCTAATCCAATGGTCAGGAATGGCAGCATCTAATCCAATGGTCAGGAATGGCAGCATCTAATCCAATGGTCAGGAATGGCATCAGCATGTAACACGTCCCCGATCCGTCCCTGGTCATTCTCATTCCATCCCAATCCCCCCCCACTTCCCAATCCTTCCCCCACCTCTTCCCCCATCCACGCACCTGCAGTGCCCTGTTGCGCTCGGCGCGCTTCATGTTGCCTGCATGCTGCTGCGCAATGTGTTGCTGTGGGTAGGTAAGACGAGAGGGGAGGGAGGGAGGGGAGGCAGGGCTATTGAGACCTCTATAAGTCGGCACGCTTCATATGGCCTGAATGTTGCCGCACACTGTGTTGCTGTGTGAAGGAAATACGGCAGAGGGGGAGAAAGGGGGGGAAGAAGGGGGGGAGAAGAGGGGGAAGAAGGGGGGGAAGGAAGTAGGGAGGGAGACGACGGTAAGGTTATATTTTTTCCAAGCACTCCCTGTCCTCACACACGAAGTGGTCCCAAACTCAGCAACAAGCTATGTGATGTGAAAGTCACCTTTGAGATTCCTCAACAGTGACAACAGTAAGGTAACTTCCGTTCCAAGCACTTCCCGCATGCCACCAACTCTGCCATCTACAGTGGCCCTGCCACCACCCAGGGATACGCCCTAAGAAGCAGCATACTGGATGAGGCTTTCGGGTATGGATCAGCGAACCGAATAGTTTAGTGACATACATTTCTTTATCAGTGACCAACAAATACTGTACTGTTCTTCTTAGCCTGTCATATTATATTCCCGCCCTACATACATTGTCTCGGATCAGGCACCACATTGCATGTAGAGTGGTTTATGGTTCAATGTGATTCTTTGCTTCTAGTCATACTATGTACTATCCCTTACACCTCTGTTGATTCGTAAACTAGGTATCTCACTACTTTTGTCATGGCATGGCTTGTATGTGACAACCCACCAAACATGTGTATTTCTATATATTTTTCCAATGCTGACTAGAACATTGGTGTTGGGCACATACCTTTTAGTACCGGTACCTGCCTACGCCTTGGTGCCGTAACACTATCCTCCCCCTATTTAAAGTTTCCTACCATATGACTTCCATATGCAAGACGTGGGTGCCAGCACGTACAATATAAACGAGCAACATCAGATGAGATACGGTATGATAAACCATGCTACCGTGAGACTCTTCCAACGGCAGGAATAGCACCGAGGAGATTTCGCAGGTGGCTGTGCAACACCTCGGAAGGAAACAATCCAGTAGCACTCAATAACGCCAAAATAGCGTGTGTGAGACAAAACGAGTCTGGATGTTTAACCCTAACGCGCCAAACCCTATGGTAGCATCCAATCCAAACTCACTGGGAACAAGCGTCCTCTGACACACAGTCCAGTCCACTAATACCGTAGCTAGCATATTCGCAGCTTCGACCGTTGAATTGAGCTCTTCTCCTCTCTCTCTCACCCCTCGGCTTCCTCCCCTTCCAATCCAAAAGGTGTGTTGTGAGTCTGTGCTTTGAATCCAACTCGTACGGGACTGCAACACGCCCAGGAGCTGGGACTTCAATGGGTTTCCGTCCCATCCAGGCATGCAAACAGTGCAGCAGCAGAGCACCGTCACTCCCCCCCTTTGCTCGGGTGTGCTTGCAAGCCTGATCCAAACTCAACACCTACCAGCAGCATCAGCCCATGAGCTTAGACTTCCCTGGGTTTCCAACCCATCCAGGCGTGCAAACAGTGCAGCAGCAGCAGATCCGTCACCCAGGCACACTTTCACCTATTTCTTGAAGCGCCTCAACATAAAGTCAACGCCGACCAGCGGCATCAGCCCAGGAACTGGGATTTCCCTGAGGTTCTGTCCCATCCAGGCGCGCAAACAACGCAGCAGCAGACCCGTCACCCAGTCGCACCGTCACCCCCTTGTTCTTCCGCCCCTTGCCCTTGCCCCGCCCCGCTCCCCCCGCGCCACCCCCTTCCCCTGCTCCCCCGCCTGCTTTCCGCTGCGCTGGTTGCAATGCTGGTGGTGCTGCTGATGCGGCGAGGGGGAGTGGGTTGAGGAGGTGTAGGTGCTGCGGATGAAGGGAGAGGGGATGGTGCAGAGGGAGCGGTGGGGGGGAGAGAGCCGCAGACAGAGCAGCGGACGGATTTAGCAGAGTTGATCAGCGTACACACACTGCATGACCACTCCCCACCGCCTCCCACCGCTCCCGCTCCCCCTCGTCCTCCCCCCCCTGCTGCTCCTCCTGCCCCTGATTGCTTTTGAAAGCGCGAGGGAGCTGGGGCGAGAGCAGGAAAAGCAGCGGAGGGAGCATAAGCAGCGGGTGGGACAACCATGGATGCAAGCTCAGGAGCAGACATCGATGCATGCAGGGAGTGAGAGTGAGAGAGCGATGCTGCTCGTGATCTGTATTCCTTCTTCCCTTCGTCTCCCATCCCTTGCATGCTCTCCTGCTCCTTTTCCTTCTCCTTCTGCTTCTGCTTCTCCTTCCCGGCACCCTTTCCCCCCTTCTCATGCTCCCTCCCTTCCCTTCCTCCGCCCCCACCACCCCTCGCCCCCCTCCCACCCACATCCCCCTCTCCTTTCCCTCCCCCGCCCCCTCCGCTCCCGCGCCCAGCATCCGCTTTTAGCAACGACGCGCTTTGCAACGAGGCTTGAGCGGAATGAGACGCACTAGAGGCATTTGAAGCACTTGCACTTGCAGCCCCCCCAGTTGCGGCCTGCCTGGCAGCATGCACCTTCTGAAGCTCCTCTCTCTTGGGCACATCCGGACAAAGCATCGCCAGCCGCGGCACCAGATGGGACAAACCAAGCCGGCACACATGCGCGTAGTACACCACAGTCAGCATCTCTCCTGCCCGCCATTTACTGGACTTATCCTTGAAATCTTCGAACCCAGCGCTGCCGTTGCCCGCGCCGCCCAGCCCAGATTTGATATCCTCTATCAGGGCCTTGTTTGCTGCACGAAGCGCTTCTTTTTCCTCACTGGATATGTCCCCGACTCGTTGCTTCAGCCGGCTTTCCTTGCTGCTCTGCTGCTGCTGCGGCTGCGGCTGCTGCTGCTGGGAGGGAGTTTTCTCGTCCTGCTGCTGCTTCTTCTCCTCGTATTCCTCTTCCCAGTTATCCTTCACCACTCTCTCCTCCCCTAGCTTTGGAAACGCGCCTGGCTGTAGCACTGAACCTCCTCCCCCACCCCCTCTGCTCGTCTTCCCTCTGCCAAATCCCCCTCCCCCTCCTCCCCCTCCCCCCCCCCCCCTCCTCCTCCTCCTCCTCCCCCTCCACTACCACTACTGCCACTACTACCACCTATCCCCCTACCCCCCCCATCACCCCATCCCCCTCCGCCTCTCCCCCCCGCAGCTCCCCCCCCAAGCACTGGCCATTCCGGCCCCCCACCCCCTGCCTGCCCCCCGCCTCCCCCACCCACAGGCTGGGGGGGAGCAAGCGGACCTGCAGTTCTCAGAACCGCAATCAACCCCCCAAGACCGCCTTTGACCTTCCCTCCCTTCCCACCTTTACCGCTGCCGCTGCTGCTGCTGCTGCTGCTGTTCCCTCGCGCCGGTCCCCAGGAATCGGACGGAGCAGAAGGAGCAGCAGCAGAGGTGGCCGAGGCAGAGGCAGAGGCAGAAGGCAAGGGAGGGAAGAGAACGTCCTGTGTGATACCCCCCCCACCGCCTGCTGCTCCTAGTGCTCCTAGTGCTCCTAGTGATCCTAGTGCTCCTCCTGCTACCACTGCTGCTGCTGTGTTGCGCTGGGTCTTTACTCGATACACAGCCACTGACATGCCTTCAGTTAACGGGCCATTGGCGCTTGTACCGCTGCCTCCGGTCGTTCCTGTGCTGCTGGTGGTGGTGGTGGTGGTGGTGGCTGCTGCAGCAGCAGGAGGGGCAGGAGCAGAGGAGGCAGAGAGAGAGGGGAAAGCCTCTGGGGCCAGGAGCGGGGGGAAGTGAGAGGGAGCTGATGCAGGGGCGGAGGATGAAGAGGAGGAGGGTAGTGGTGGGGATAGGGCGGAGGCGGACGGGGAGGAGTTAGCAGCAGTACCACCACTAGGCCCCCCTCCTCTTCTCCGTGACTGCTGCTGCTGCTGCTTGTGCTGAGAAGACCCTTCCCCCTCCCGACCTCCAGCAGCAGTAGAAGCAGCAGACTCTCCTGTTCCTGCTATAGCAACTGATTCCCTTAAAGCCCGTTCCAACTGAGCCGACTCTATACTTGCTGCCAGCACTGCTGCTTCACTCACACCAGCCCCCATTCCCCCCCCCCATCCCCCCCATCCCGCCCCCGAACCCCCCTCCGCGCCCTCCCCCTCGTCCCCCTCCCCCGCCCTCGTACCCCTGTCGCCCCCCCCTGCCTCTCCCCCTCCCACCCTCCGCGCGTAATGAGGGGAAGTTGAAAAACTGGGAGGGGGGAATCTGTAGCAGCAAAAGAGAGGGGAGGGGGGTGGGGGGTGCAGGCGAGATGGAGTGGGGGAAAAACAGTGGGCCGGCAACAGGGGGTAAAATTGTGGAGGGAACAAGGGAGAGGGTTCGGATGTAGAGAGGGGAAGATGGGAGGGAGACGAAAGAATAGCGGAAGGCTGGAATGGCAGCATCTAATCCAATGGTCAGGAATGGCAGCATCTAATCCAATGGTCAGGAATGGCAGCATCTAATCCAATGGTCAGGAATGGCAGCATCTAATCCAATGGTCAGGAATGGCAGCATCTAATCCAATGGTCAGGAATGGCAGCATCTAATCCAATGGTCAGGAATGGCAGCATCTAATCCAATGGTCAGGAATGGCAGCATCTAATCCAATGGTCAGGAATGGCAGCATCTAATCCAATGGTCAGGAATGGCAGCATCTAATCCAATGGTCAGGAATGGCAGCATCTAATCCAATGGTCAGGAATGGCAGCATCTAATCCAATGGTCAGGAATGGCAGCATCTAATCCAATGGTCAGGAATGGCAGCATCTAATCCAATGGTCAGGAATGGCATCAGCATGTAACACGTCCCCGATCCGTCCCTGGTCATTCTCATTCCATCCCAATCCCCCCCCACTTCCCAATCCTTCCCCCACCTCTTCCCCCATCCACGCACCTGCAGTGCCCTGTTGCGCTCGGCGCGCTTCATGTTGCCTGCATGCTGCTGCGCAATGTGTTGCTGTGGGTAGGTAAGACGAGAGGGGAGGGAGGGAGGGGAGGCAGGGCTATTGAGACCTCTATAAGTCGGCACGCTTCATATGGCCTGAATGTTGCCGCACACTGTGTTGCTGTGTGAAGGAAATACGGCAGAGGGGGAGAAAGGGGGGGAAGAAGGGGGGGAGAAGAGGGGGAAGAAGGGGGGGAAGGAAGTAGGGAGGGAGACGACGGTAAGGTTATATTTTTTCCAAGCACTCCCTGTCCTCACACACGAAGTGGTCCCAAACTCAGCAACAAGCTATGTGATGTGAAAGTCACCTTTGAGATTCCTCAACAGTGACAACAGTAAGGTAACTTCCGTTCCAAGCACTTCCGGTCCTCGCAAACGTGTTGTCCCTAACTCGGCAACGAGTTTTGGGACGTTTCATAACAGGAAACGACAGTAAGGTAACCTCTTTTCCAAGCACTCCCTGTCCTCACCTCACACAAGAAGACCGCTTCTAACTCGGCAACGATTTTTTTGACACATCTTACAACAGTTTTGGGACGTCTCAACCCCTCATTTCACCCCTCAACGTCTCAACCCCTGCCCCTCACAAGCCATGCGCACGCACTTTCTGTACCAGCAGCCTCGCACCTTGAGCTCCATCACACCCTCTCCCACGCCCCTGTACCAGCAGCCTCGCACCTTGAGCTCCATCACACCCTCTCCCACGCCCCTGTACCAGCAGCCTCGCACCTTGAGCTCCATCACACCCTCTCCCACGCCCCTGTACCAGCAGCCTCGCACCTTGAGCTCCATCACACCCTCTCCCACGCCCCTGTACCAGCAGCCTCGCACCTTGAGCTCCATCTCCGATGCAAATACCACAAACGTCTCCTCCAGACACTCCCTGCCTGCCCTTCACAAGCCATACCATGAGTGAGCATCCTCTGTGCCAGGCCAGCAGCACCCACTCCCCGCACGCACCTTGAGCTCCATCACACCCTCTCCCACGCCCCTGTACCAGCAGCCTCGCACCTTGAGCTCCATCTCCGATGCAAATACCACAAACTTCTTCTCCAGACACTCCCTGTCCTCACACCCCAAAGTGCGTGTGTTTGTCCGTGTGTGCATCTACAGATTCTACACACACCTTCTGCTCCCGCTCTGTGCCCGCACCCCCTCCCCTCTCTCACCTTTAGCTCCATCTCCGATGCAAACACCACAAACTTCTTCTCCAGACACTCCCTGTCCTCACACCCCAAAGTGCGTGTGTTTGTCCGTGTGTGCATCTACAGATTCTACACACACCTTCTGCTCCCGCTCTGTGCCCGCACCCCCTCCCCTCTCTCACCTTTAGCTCCATCTCCGATGCAAATACCACAAACTTCTTCTCCAGACACTCCCTGTCCTCGCACACGTGGTGGTCCGCGCGGAAGTGGTTCTGTGCAGGGAGGATGGAGCGGGGAAATGGGGAAAATGGAGGGTGATGAGCTATGGGTATGGGCAGAAGAGTGATTCTTCCAGGCACTCCCTGTCCTCGCACACGTGGTGGTCCGCGCGAAAATGGTTCTGCGCAGTTGGAGAGGGGGACGGGGGGACGGGGGGACGGGGGGACGGGGGGAGAGGGGGAACGCGGGGACGAGTGTGACCCGGGATGTGTGCTATGGGCGGAAAAGTGCTTTCTCCAGGCACTCCCTGCCCTCGCACACGTGGTGGTCTGCCCGGAAGTGGTTCTGTGCAGGGGGGAGAGGGGGAGAGGGGGGACGGGGGAACGGGGGGACGAGTGTGACCTGGGATGTGTGCTATGGGCGGAAAAGTGCTTTCTCCAGGCACTCCCTGCCCTCGCACACGTGGTGGTCTGCGCAAAAGTGGTTCTGCGGTAAGGGAGAGGGGGGAGATGGAGGGGGGAATGGGAGATGAGCAAAGACGGAAATGTGCGAAGGCGGGGAGGGGAGACGAGCGTAGAGAGGGAAGGGAGAAGAGCGGGGAGCGAAATGAATTAACAGCGCAACGACAAACGAAAGTAACAAGTGGTTACGTTCACTCTGGAAAATAACTGCGCTGAGGTCCGAAGTCTCGAAGTCACTTTGATAGGAATGACAACTGGAAGTAAGGGCGACTGGAAGAGGGCGGGGGCGAGGGCGGGGGCGGGGGCGGGGACGGGGACAGGGGCGAGGGTAGGGGCACGGGTAGGAGCGGGGCCGGGGAGGGTGGGAGTGAGGAGGGTGGGGGGGAGGGGCGGGTAAGCTGGGGAAGGGGAGGAAGTCGGATGTAGCAGTAGCAGTAGCGTAGACAGGTCGTTACAAGGAGAGCAGTGGATGATTCTTACCTCGAGATGATCATAGGAGCGGAAATACTCGTACTTGCCAGGGTTGTTGCTGCATGGGCGAGGGAACGCAGGTGGGGGTGGGGGTGGGGGTGGAAGTGGAGGGTCGATACACATGCACACGGACACACAAGGTCACTTATCATAATCTCATGGCATGCGTGCGAGCAACCGCAACGCTCCCGTACAAGTGCAGGACGCATGGGGCTAGTAAACGTTACGCTACGCACACCTTCGCCCCCTTTCCCCAAGCACTCCCACCCACCCCACTCGCCCCCACTCAACTCATCGCCTCTCGCGCCCGCATCTCCTCCCATCCCCTCCCATCCCATCCCATCCCTTCCCATCCCTTCCCATCTTCCTCCCTCCCCCTCCCTCCGTTCTCACCGCTGGCAGATGTGGCACGTGAAGTGCTCCGTGGACATGTGATGGAACAGCTCGTTGTCGCCGTAGAAGCGCCGCGCGCAGAAGTCGCAGCGCGGGTGCCCCTTGAACCCTCCGCGCGCCTCCTCGCTGCTGCCGTCCACCTCGGGATCTCCGCCCGCCTCGTGCCGCTCCACCTGCTGCCGCGTATACAGGCGCTGCTCCGATAGGAACACCTGGGGGAGGGGGAAGGGAGGGGGAAGGGAGGGGGAGGGGAGGGGGGAAAGGAGGGAGAAGGGAGGGGGAGGGAGGGTGAAGGGAGGTGGAAGGGATGGGGACGGAAGGGCTTTTGAGGCGCCTCCAAATTCGCGTCGCTCCATCTGCTGCCGCGTGTGCAGGCGCTGCTCGGATAGGAACACCTGGGGGGAAGATCGCGGAGCGGGGGAGCCGGGGAGCGGGGGGGTCGGGGGGGCGGGGGAGTAGCTAGGCCGAGCGACCTGTAGCTCCATCCACCTGCTGCCGCGTGTACAGTCGGTGCTCGGATAGAAAGACATGAGGAGGGGGTGCGGGAGCGGGGAAAATGGATGTATTGGCAAGGGAGATATGAGGAAAAGGAGGCAGCGAACGTGGGAACGAGCGACGGGAGAGAGAAAGCCGAGAGGAGATGAGTGGTTGGAGGAGGGAGATAAGGGGGAAGAGGGCGGGGTGGGGTGGGAGAGTGGCGGAAACGGGCAGGCGGGAGGCGGGGGCGAGTGCGGGGGAATGGGGGAGGGATGGCGCCAGAAGTAGGGAACCCAAAGGGCAGACCACACGTATTGCCTCCCCCCACAAGACCAGTCTCCACCAATCCCCTAACGCTAAATCCCTCCCCTTACTCCCACCACCTCAAACGCCCCCGACCCCCTCATTCCAATGCAACCCTCGTCCCATCACCAACTTATCCCCCGTTCTCCCCTCTCCCCCTTCCCCTCCCGCTTTACTCCCCCTTCCCACTTCCCCGTTCCCCCTGCCCTTCCGCACCTTGCGCCCTTCCAGGCAAAGCTCGCACATCCTAACGGCGTGCGCGCGCCCCAGATGGTCCTTCAGCGCGCTCAAGCTGCGGAACGCCAGCCCCGGCGGCGCCGCCCCCGTCCCCGCGAACGGCGGATTCGCTCCGCCCGCGGCGCCGGCGGCGGCGGCGGAGCCGGAGGCGGCGGCCGGCGGGGATTTGGTGCAGATGGAGCAGGTGAGGCGCGTCATTGCACGCATTGTCTTGAAGTGCGACTCGTCGTCGAAGTAAGCGCCCATGGCGCTGTCGTACCAGTACTCGCCTGCCCCGAGTCGCCCGGGCGTGGCGACGAGCGACGGCAGCGCTGCAAAATCGAACGACGTTCGCGTATAGTCGCCCAGGGCCTGCGACGAGATGAGGCAAGCGCGAAAAACGGGAAACAAGGTTGGTTCACAGGAACAGAGGGAGAAGGGAAGTGCGTGGATTGAATAGAGTAGGAAGGCACGGAAGTGAGTTTAACGGACCTTTTCATAGTGAGGAGAACGTGTTCGATGCTGACGATTAACGAACAGGTGTAAAGAGAGGCTATGGACAAACCAGCGGAGAAAAACAAGGAAAAGAACATCGCGGCCGGGGAAAGCCGCGAGGGGCAGAGAAACGGCGATCGGATCGGATCGCATCAGGTCGGAACGAATCGGATCCGACCGACCTTAGTGACGACGACGGCGAGCGAGGACTGCTTGCAGATGCAGCAGCGCTGATCGTTCATTACGACTCGCAGGCGCGCGAAGCACATGGAGCACACGTCGCGATGCCCGCACGGGCCTATCGCGACCCACTCCAACGGCTCCGCACACACCGCGCAACAGTCCTCCATGATCGCGGCTCGGCGAGCGCGTTGCGAAGATCGGAAGCGGACAGTCGAGCGAGAGGCGTGAGGCGGTCTGATCGGCCGATCCGATTCGGCTAGGGTCGAGGACAGGGAATGAGAAGTAAGGACGACGTAACGAAGCGAGGACCAGATAGGGATGTGAGGAAGAGTTAACGGTGAATTCTTAGGGGGATCCGTGGATATGAGAGCAATCAAAGAGGTTTTGGCGAGGTTGTGGGAAAGGATATCCGTCCAATCGTCTATATTGCGGCGAAGGAATTTGTGGTGGAGGGGGGGGAGGAGAAACCGAGGTGAAGGATGACTTCGAGGTGGTATCGGGAATTCCGATCATCGTAGAACGGTGTGTACACCGCGATACAGTTTCTCTAGGTTCGAGCTGTGATGGAATGTACCGATCAAGCGTCGCACTTGAGTCGCACTTAGCGGTGACGGAGAAGTACTGGCACTTACTGTCCTATTCTAGGAGGGACGTGTACTTTTCAAAATATAAAAGCGGGAGGCGGAAGAGATACAACGGACGTGGATTTGTTTTGTGCTCTCTTGCTACCACGCATAGTGATGAGCACCAACTTTTTGAGCCTGCCCAGATTGCGACTGTACGACGAATCTTGCCAGCAGGGCGGAAGAGGGTGTTCGCGCGACCGGGGAGCTGGACGCAATGGCAACACGCAACATCGCCCAACCACAAATGCTGCAGTGAATCCGTTACTGCAAATCTCGAAGCAGTAGATTTGCGCTATACATGAAATTTCCAACGATAGAATCACTAACAAACACCGCAGCCTGGCTACACATAATCCACGATAATTATTATACAGTATGCTGCTCGCTGGATACCACCTCCCCAGCCAAAGCTGTGCAAACCTTACTAATGGTCAGATTCAGAGCCACTCCATATCGCAGCGCTAAGCGCGCAGAGTTACCGACCTCTTAGCACGCTTCCCGCGTGGTTGCCTGCAGTGGGATTTGGGATCAGCGCGTTGTCGCGCGGGGCGGAATGGGTGGCGCCAGCAGGGGAGAACGCGGAGCTGCGTCCGCGGATTGCGGAACTGGCAGCAGCGCATGCAGGAGCGATAACGGCACCCGCGGACGCGCAGCGTGGCGGACCGCGGCGTGGTTCGCAGCGCACGTGTGCGCAGCGCTGGTCGTGCGCGCGGGGTTGGCGCAAATGGGACTCGGTCGATGGCTGGAGACGCGGCCCGAAGTGGTCTCTACTATTAACTCCCGCACCGCGTGTGAGAATAAGAACAATGAGCGGAACGAAGGCGAACGGTTTGGGGCCACTAGGGTGCTGAGACTATTAGAGGATCGAGGCTTCTAGGGTAGGGGGTACAGACGAGCGGGATGCATCCACAGGAGAGCGGGCGAAGGAGGAAAAGGAGAAGTGGAATTGGGTTGGGGAGGGGGAGGGGGGAGGGGGAGGGGGAGAGCAGAGAGAGGGCAAAAGGGGTGAATGGAAGCGGGCAGGGAGGGCGAACTGAGAAAGACAGGTGGGCGGATTTGAGTAGCAGGAGCGCTGAGTGAAGTCGGGGGAGGGAGAGAGAGGGAGTTTTGAGGCGTCTCAAAACACATTTGAGTAGCAGGATAGGAGACGGCTGAGTGAAGTCGGGGGAGGGAGAGAGAGGGAGTTTTGAGGCGTCTCAAAACACATTTGAGTAGCAGGAGAGGAGACGGCTGAGTGAAGTCGGAGGAGGAGAGAGAGAGAGGGAGAGGGAGGGGGAGAAGTGTGAGGCAGTGCCGGCCGTTCACTGCAGGAGTTCAGTTCGGTTCTGCATGGTGCTTTCAGTAGTTGACTGTTTTGTCTTCAAACGAATGTGGATACGCTTGTATCGAGTCCACATGGGGTTACCAGTGTTCTCAATGTAGTCTGTATTTCGCATACGCCAGTCCTCTGCGTCACTGAAGTGTATTTGGGGCGCCTCAAAATAGTGTTCTGCATTTCACATCACATACGCCAGTCCTCTCCTCTGCGTCACTTAATCACATCTGCAAGAATCTTGCACCCGGGATTTGCCACTGCAACGCATGCCCTGTCCTTCCCATGCAGTGCTGGAAGCTCATTGGCTCATGGACCACGGCCTCTCACCCTACTCCGGTATGCCATGCCACGTCGTCATGCCACGTCCCCATGCCACGTCCCCATGCCACGTCCCCATGCCACGTCCCCATGCCGCGTCTGCATGCCACGCCCCCATGCCACGTCACCATGCCACGTCACCATGCCACGTCTGCGTTCCACATCCCACCGCCCGCGTCCCACCATCTTTGCGTAAATACTGCATGCACTTTCTGTCTTTGCCTGTCCCCCAACATTCCGCTTTGCCCCACACTCACCCTCACCATCCCTCTTCCCACTTTTCTTTCTGCATCTTTCCTTACACCCCCTTCCACCCTCTCTTCTCTCCACTCTCTCCTCTTCCCTCTCCCCTCTCCTCTGCACCACAGGTCCTCACTTCCAAGCTTCTCCCCTCCTGCTGCTCCTGCCTCCCTTCCTTCTCTCGCCAATCAACTTGTACGCAACGCTCGCCATCCCCTTTCGCCTTCCTCGCCACTTTTGAGTCGACTCAAATGTCACCTCGTGCATGACGAACCTTTCGGCTTCTTAATTGCATCATCCGCACAGCACAGCACAGCACAGCACAGCACAGCACAGCACAGCACAGCACAGCACAGCACAGCACAACACCGCACCGCACAGCACAGCACCGCACAGCACAGCACAGCACAGCACAGCACCGGCTCGCTCTTCACAACTAAAATGTCACCACCCCATGCGTCTTGCGGCGCGCTCCCTGTTTGCTTTGCATCTCCTTTCGTGGTTCCGCCCCCCCCCCCCCCCCCCCCCCCCCCCCCCCCCCCCCCCCCCCCCCCCCCCCCCCCCCCCCCCCCCCCCCCCCCCCCCCCCCCCCACCCTCTATCTCTCGTGAACCGACTCTGTCACAATATCACTTCCTCTCCGCTCTCCTCTCCCCCACTCCGCCCTCCTCTCCCCCACTCCGCCCTCCTCTCCCCCACTCATCCCTCCTCTCCCCCACTCCGCCCCCCCCCCCCCCCAACTCCTCCCTCCTCTCCCCCACTCCGCCCCTCCCCCCCCCAACTCGTCTTCAGCACGCTCCTCCTAGCCATATCAGACATCGTCACAGCTGCCCTCCTCCTCCTCTCCGGATCCCTCCTCCATCCCTCCTCTCCCTCCACCTCTTCTCCCTCCACTATCTCTCCCTCATGCCACTCTCCGCCTGCTGCCGTCTCTCTCCCTCCGCCCTTGGGCCTGGGAGCTTGGAGCGCTCTGCTGCTGCTGTGGAACCCTCTCTCTGCTGCCGCTGCCATTGCTGGCGCTGCCTCCTCGCTTCTCTCGCTGCCGATTGCGCTCGCACTCGCTTCTGCTGCTGCGGGTATGTGTGTATGTTTGCGTGCTGCCATACTGCCATGCCGCAACCTGTACTGAAGCTGTTCGTTCCTATTCACGGACTTTTGAGAGTTCTCAAAAGTGCCAAACCAATGCCCGCTCCCCCCACTCTCTCCCGTCCCCCCCTTCTGTCTCAACCGTCCCTCTTCCCGCCACCACTCTCCAGTCTTCCTACTCTCTTTCCTCTTCTTTCTGATGGGCAGCCAATCCGCCTTTGGCAGCCAATCCGCCTCTGGCAGCCATGTTCAATTTGGGAGTCACTGTTGAGAATTCTCAAAAGTGGATCCATCTTTGGCGGCCATATGCTTGGCTCAATCCATAATCCTCTTTTGAGACGTCTCAAAAATCCATAATCCTCTTTCTATCCATCGCCCTCTCACTCACGCCTCTTCTCCCACGCCTCCCTCCGCTCCGCCTCCCACGCTTCTCTTCCCCTCGTCTTCCCAATGGGTATGTTTTTTGAGAATTCTCAAACAAACATACGCCTCCCACGCTTCTCTTCCCCTCGGCTTCCCAATGGGGCAGGCAACCCACCTCTGGCAGCCATGGGTATGGCTCTATCCATGGCCCTCTCACTCGCTCAGCCATGGGCATAATATAACTCTATCCATGGCCCTCTCACTCACTCTCTCAGGCCAACTGTTTCCCCTCTCTTCCCATGTCTCAACATGCAGGCAACCCGCCTCTGGCAGCCATGGGTATAATATAACTCTATGCATGGCCCTCTCACTCACTCTCTCAGGCCAACTGTTTCCCCTCTCTTCCCTGTTAACGTTTTTCCTGTCTCAATATGCAGGCAATCCACCTCTGGCGGCCATGGGTATGGCTCTATGCATGGCCCTCTCGCCCTCATCAACCGTGCTGCTAGTGCCTGTACGTATGCCAACTTTCCCCTCCCATGCCAATCATTTGCCCCTCATTTGTTTGTCCCTCACGTGCCCCCCACATGCCCCCCACATGCCCCCCACATGCCCCTCATGTGCCCCCCATATGCCCCTCACATGCCCCCCACATGCTCCTCGCATGCCCTGCCCTTCCTCCACGCCCATTTTTGCAGGTACTACTGTTGCTGCTTAACAGACTCCCCTCCCAATCAGCCGCCTCTCCCCACGCACCACCTGCTATGCTAACAGCACCAGTAGTGTCAGCATCAACAGCAACAAAAGAAGCAGCAGCAGAAACAAAAACAGCAGCCGTAGCAGCAGCTACCACCCGTTCCCCTTCGCGCCCCTCTCCCCAGCGCCTCCACCTCCTCCTCCCCTTCCTCCTGCTCCTCGCCCTCTGGTTACTCACACTCCTTGCCGCCTCTCACCTGTTGCTGCTCCCATATAGAGGCCTGCTGCCTGCTTTCTCACAGTAATTCTCCTCACCCACTCCTTTCGCCCCTACCTTCACCCTGACTCCTTACCCCTCTCCCTCTCTTTCTCCCATGCTTGTCACTCTCTATCTGCTAAGCATGCCTGGGGCCTCCCGTGCCTGTGCAAGCCTTCTCCACTCCCTTTCAAGCAGTGCAAAGCACGCCTGCCTGCCTTCACTTCACATCTCACCAAGAGAATCCCGCCGTCACAGAATAAAATGTCACGACTTTTGAGTCGACTCAAAAGTAATCCTGTCATGCTACACATCTTAACAAATACTCATGCCACGCATTCCCTTTCCTTCTCCCCGTCCCCCCGTCCCCCCATCCCCCCCATCCCTGCAGTGTCTATCCGTTCGCTCTGCAGCTCTCAGACCTCACGCCTAATCTCGGCCTGCGCTGGTTAGTTTGTGACTGCCCCCCTCTTGTTGCCTGCGATCGCGCTTCCGCTCCGTCTGTTCGCTCCTTGTCCCACCTGTCTCACAGTTGGGAAACCGTCACAAACCGTCTCAGCAGAATTTGTTTGTTTTGGAAGAGTTCTCGAAGAGTCACAAACCGTCTCAGCAAATATAACAAACCGTCCCCTGCTCCCCCACCTCCCCTCCCCTCCCGTTCAGGTATTTCTTTGCAGAGGCCTTTGCCTACATCCGCCCCTTCTACTCCTTTGTCTTCTCCGCTACGCTGCTCCTCGTGCTGCCTCCCCTCGCCCTGCGCCTCCACCGCCGCCCCTTCTTCCTCGCCTTTGCACTGCTCCTGTCTGCCCACATCGTTGCTCCCTACCCCACTGTAGGGCCGCTTCACATGGTGTCACATGGCACCCCACCCCGTGCACCCCACCCCTACCACATTGTATGGGTGCATCGCAAGCAGCCATGCAGCGCACGGCACCACATGGCACCACATGGCATCGCATGGCACCACATGGCATCGCATGGCACCACATGGCATCTCGTGAAACCACATGGCACTCCAGCGAATGCGGCATGTGCTTTTAGACTGCTCATGACTAGAAGCATTGCATTTCTTCTCTGCTCACCTCAGTGCAGCACATAACCTCCATACCTGCGTCTACCCCACTCAACCCCTGCTTCCCTTGCTCCAGGCCTTTTCCTTATAGCATGTGTATTATTGCAAGTCAAGCCTTGCTCCCCCGTTCTCTCCCATTATTTCCCTCTCCCTCCCCTCTCTCCCCACTCTCCCACCTCTCCCACCGCTCCCTGCCTCCTCCCCACCCTTCCTCTCCTTTTTCTACTCACCCCTCTCCACCCCTCTCCACCCCTCTCCACCCCCCTCCACCCCCCTCCACCCCTCTCCACCCCTCTCCACCCCTCTACTTCCCCCTTGTATTCACCAGGTAGGAGAGTCGGGTTTCATCCTGGCGTTGCTGCCCCTGTTCCTCCCTCAGCTATCAGGTTCCGTCCCCTCCTCCTCTCATGTCTTCCTCCTGTCCCCTTCTCCTCTCCCTTATTCCGCTTCTCTCCCCTCCTCCTCCCCTCTCCTCCTGTCATTTTCCTCGTCCCATTCCATTCCCCCATTCCTCCTATCCGCCCATTCCCCTCTGCCTCATCTCCATCCCTGCACGTTCGTGCCTTGCGTGCACGAGTAGCTTTTGAGAATTCTCAAAAGTGATGCCCCTCTGCCTCATCTCCATCCCTGCATGTTCCGTGCCTTGCATTGCATGCACGAGTAGCCTCCAAGCTTGCTTGCTCCTCCTTGCATACAGATACAGTCAGCCACGTTCGAACCAACCCTTTGGTACCGTTCGTTTCCTCCCTTTCATGCTCTGTGTCCTTTGCCTCTCAGCAACCCCTCACTCAGCAACCCCTCACTCAGCAACCCCTCACTCAGGAACCCCTCACTCAGCAACCCCTCACTCAGCAACCCCTCACTCAGCAACCCCTCACTCAGCAACCCCTCACTCAGCAACCCCTCACTCAGCAACCCCTCACCTCAGCAACCCCTCACTCAGCAACCCCTCACTTCACTCAGCAACCCTCACTCAGCAACCCCTCACTCAGCAACCCCTCACTCAGCAACCCCTCACTCAGCAACCCCTCACTCAGCAACCCCTCACTCAGCAACCCCCTCACTCAGCAACCCCTCACTCAGCAACCCTCACTCAGCAACCCCTCACTCAGCAACCCCTCACTCAGCAACCCCTCACTCAGCAACCCTCACTCAGCAACCCCTCACTCAGCAACCCCTCACTCAGCAACCCCTCACTCAGCAACCCTCACTCAGCAACCCCCTCACTCAGCAACCCCTCACTCAGCAACCCTCACTCAGCAAGCAACCCCTCACTCAGCAACCCCTCACTCAGCAACCCCTCACTCAGCAATCCCTCACTCAGCAATCCCTCACTCAGCAACCCCTCACTCAGCAACCCCTCACTCAGCAACCCCTCACTCAGCAACCCCTCACTCAGCAACCCCTCACTCAGCAACCCCTCACTCAGCAACCCCTCACTCAGCAACCCCTCACTCAGCAACCCCTCACTCAGCAACCCCTCACTCAGCAATCCCTCACTCAGCAATCCCTCACTCAGCAACCCCTCACTCAGCAACCCCTCACTCAGCAACCCCTCACTCAGCAACCCCTCACTCAGCAACCCCTCACTCAGCAACCCCTCACTCAGCAACCCCTCACTCAGCAACCCCTCACTCAGCAACCCCTCACTCAGCAACCCCTCACTCAGCAACCCCTCACTCAGCAACCCCTCACTCAGCAACCCCTCACTCAGCAACCCCTCACTCAGCAACCCCTCACTCAGCAACCCCTCACTCAGCAACCCCTCACTCAGCAATCCCTCACTCAGCAATCCCTCACTCAGCAACCCCTCACTCAGCAACCCCTCACTCAGCAACCCCTCACTCAGCAACCCCTCACTCAGCAACCCCTCACTCAGCAACCCCTCACTCAGCAACCCCTCACTCAGCAACCCCTCACTCAGCAACCCCTCACTCAGCAACCCCTCACTCAGCAACCCCTCACTCAGCAACCCCTCACTCAGCAATCCCTCACTCAGCAATCCCTCACTCAGCAACCCCTCACTCAGCAACCCCTCACTCAGCAACCCCTCACTCAGCAACCCCTCACTCAGCAACCCCTCACTCAGCAACCCCTCACTCAGCAACCCCTCACTCAGCAACCCCTCACTCAGCAACCCCTCACTCAGCAACCCCTCACTCAGCAATCCCTCACTCAGCAATCCCTCACTCAGCAAACCCCTCACTCAGCAACCCCTCACTCAGCAACCCCTCACTCAGCAACCCCTCACTCAGCAACCCCTCACTCAGCAACCCCTCACTCAGCAACCCCTCACTCAGCAACCCCTCACTCAGCAACCCCCTCACTCAGCAACCCCTCACTCAGCAACCCCTCACTCAGCAACCCCTCACTCAGCAACCCCTCACTCAGCAACCCCTCACTCAGCAACCCCTCACTCAGCAACCCCCTCACTCAGCAACCCCATCACTCAGCAACCCCTCACTCAGCAACCCCTCACTCAGCAACCCCTCACTCAGCAACCCCTCACTCAGCAACCCCTCACTCAGCAACCCCTCACTCAGCAACCCCTCACTCAGCAACCCCTCACTCAGCAACCCCTCACTCAGCAACCCCGCTTCCCTCACTCAGCAACCCCTCACTCAGCAATCCCTCACTCAGCAACCCCTCACTCAGCAACCCCTCACTCAGCAACCCCTCACTCAGCAACCCCTCACTCAGCAACCCCTCACTCAGCAACCCCTCACTCAGCAACCCCTCACTCAGCAACCCCTCACTCAGCAACCCCTCACTCAGCAACCCCTCACTCCCCTCACTCAGCAATCCCTCACTCAGCAACCCCTCACTCAGCAACCCCTCACTCAGCAACCCTCCACTCAGCAAACCCCTCACTCAGCAACCCCTCACTCAGCAACCCCCTCACTCAGCAACCCCTCACTCAGCAACCCCTCACTCAGCAACCCCCTCACTCAGCAACCCCCTCACTCAGCAACCCCTCACTCAGCAATCCCTCACTCAGCAACCCCTCACTCAGCAACCCCTCACTCAGCAAACCCCTCACTCAGCAACCCCTCAATCAGCAAACCTCACTCAGCAACCCCTCACTCAGCAACCCCTCACTCAGCAACCCCTCACTCAGCAACCCCTCACTCAGCAACCCCTCCACTCAGCAACCCCTCACTCAGCAACCCCTCACTCAGCAACCCCTCATCAGCAACCCCTCACTCAGGCAACCCCTCACTCAGCAAACCCCTCACTCAGCAACCCCTCACTCAGCAACCCCTCACTCAGCAATCCCCTCACTCAGCAACCCCTCACTCAGCAACCCCCTCACTCAGCAACCCCTCACTCAGCAACCCCTCACTCAGCAACCCCCTCACTCCCAGGCAACCCCTCACTCAGCAACCCCTCCACTCAGCAAACCCCTCACTCAGCAACCCCTCACTCAGCAACCCCTCACTCAGCAACCCCTCACTCAGCAACCCCTCACTCAGCAACCCCTCACTCAGCAACCCCTCACTCAGCAACCCCTCACTCAGCAACCCCTCACTCAGCAACCCCCTCACTCAGCAACCCCTCACTCAGCAACCCCTCACTCAGCAACCCCTCACGTTCAGCACTCCCTCACTCAGCAATCCCTCACTCAGCAACCCCTCACTCAGCAACCCCTCACTCAGCAACCCCTCACTCAGCAACCCCCTCACTCAGCAACCCCTCACTCAGCAACCCTCACGCATAACCCCTCACTCAGCAACCCTCACTCAGCAACCCCCTCACTCAGCAACCCTCACTCAGCAACCCCTCACTCAGCAACCCTCACTCAGCAACCCCTCACTCAGCAAACCCCTCACTCAGCAACCCCTCACTCAGCAACCCCCTCACTCAGCAACCCCTCACTCAGCAACCCTCACTCAGCAAACCCCTCACTCAGCAACCCCTCACTCAGCAACCCCTCACTCAGCAACCCCCTCACTCAGCAACCCATCACTCAGCAAACCCTCACTCAGCAATCCCTCACTCAGCAATCCCTCACTCAGCAACCCCTCACTCAGCAACCCCTCACTCAGCAACCCCTCACTCAGCAACCCCTCACTCAGCAACCCCTCACTCAGCAACCCCTCACTCAGCAACCCCTCACTCAGCAACCCCTCACTCAGCAACCCCTCACTCAGCAACCCCTCACTCAGCAACCCCTCACTCAGCAACCCCTCACTCAGCAACCCCTCACTCAGCAAACCTCACTCAGCACTCAGCAACCCCTCACTCAGCAACCCCTCACTCAGCAACCCCTCACTCAGCAACCCCTCACTCAGCAACCCCTCACTCAGCAACCCCTCACTCAGCAACCCCTCACTCAGCAACCCCTCACTCAGCAATCCCTCACTCAGCAATCCCTCACTCAGCAACCCCTCACTCAGCAACCCCTCACTCAGCAACCCCTCACTCAGCAACCCCTCACTCAGCAACCCCTCACTCAGCAACCCCTCACTCAGCAACCCCTCACTCAGCAACCCCTCACTCAGCAAACCCCTCCACTCAGCAACCCCTCACTCAGCAAACCCACTCACTCACGCAACCCCTCACTCAGCAACCCCTCACTCAGCAACCCCCTCACTCAGCAACCCCTTCACTCAGCAACCCTCACTTCAGCAATCCCCTCATCAGCAACCCCTCACTCAGCAACCCCTCACTCAGCAACCCCTCACTCAGCAATCCCCTCACTCAGCAACCCCCTCACTCAGCAACCCCTCACTCAGCAACCCCTCACTCAGCAACCCCTCACTCAGCAACCCCTCACTCAGGCAACCCCTCACTCAGCAACCCCTCACTCAGCAACCCCTCACTCAGCAACCCCTCACTCAGCAACCCCTCACTCAGCAAACCCCCTCACTCAGCAACCCCTCACTCAGCAACCCCTCACTCAGCAACCCCTCACTCAGCAACCCCTCACTCAGCAACCCCTCACTCAGCAACCCCTCACTCAGCAACCCCTCACTCAGCAACCCCTCACTCAGCAACCCCTCACTCAGCAACCCCTCACTCAGCAACCCCTCACTCAGCAAACCCCTCACTCAGCAATCCCTCACTCAGCAAACCCCTCATCAGCAACCCCTCACCTCAAGCAACCCCTCACTCAGCAACCCCTCACTCAACCCCTCACTCAGCAACCCCTCACTCAGCAACCCCTCACTCAGCAACCCCTCACTCAGCAACCCCTCACTCAGCAACTCCCTCACTCAGCAACCCCTCACTCAGCAACCCCTCACTCAGCAACCCCTCACTCAGCAACCCCTCACTCAGCAACCCCTCACTCAGCAACCCCTCACTCAGCAACCCCTCACTCAGCAACCCCTCACTCAGCAACCCCTCACTCAGCAACCCCTCACTCAGCAACCCCCTCACTCAGCAACCCCTCACCTCAGCAATCCCCTCACTCAGCAACCCCTCACTCAGCAACCCCTCACTCAGCAATCCCTCACTCAGCAATCCCTCACTCAGCAAAAAAAAAAGGGGGGCAGGCCCCCACTCAGCAACCCCTCACTCAGCAACCCCTCACTCAGCAACCCCTCACTCAGCAACCCCTCACTCAGCAACCCCTCACTCAGTCAACCCCTCACTCAGCAATCCCCTCACTCAGCAACCCCTCACTCAGCAACCCCTCACTCAGCAACTCCCTCACTCAGCAATCCTCACTCAGCAACCCCTCACTCAGCATACCCCTCACTCAGCAACCCCTCACTCAGCAACCCCTCACTCAGCAAACCCTCACTCAGCAACGCCTCACTCAGCAACCCTCACTCAGCAACCCTCACTCAGCAACCCCTCACTCAGCAACCCTCACTCAGCAATCCCTCACTCAGCAATCCCTCACTCAGCAACCCCTCACTCAGCAACCCCTCACTCAGCAACCCCTCACTCAGCAACCCCTCACTCAGCACCAGCAAACCTCACTCAGCAACCCCCTCACTCAGCAACCCCTCACTCAGCAACCTCACTCAGCAAACCCCTCACTCAGCAACCCCTCACTCAGCAACCCCCTCACTCAGCAACCCTCACTCAGCAACCCCTCACTCAGCAACCCTCACTCAGCAACCCCTCACTCAGCAACCCCTCACTCAGCAACCCCTCACTCAGCAACTCCCCTCACTCAGCAATACCCCTCACTCAGCAACCCCTCACTCAGCAACCCTCACTCAAGCAATCCCTCACTCAGCAACCCCTCACTCAGCAACCCCTCACTCAGCAACCCCTCACTCAGCAACCCCTCCTTTGCCTACTCAGCAACCCCTCACTCAGCAACCCCTCACTCAGCAACCCCTCACTCAGGCAACCCCTCACTCAGCAAACCCTCACTCAGCAACCCCTCACTCAGCAACCCCTCACTCAGCAACCCTCACTCAGCAACCCCTCACTCAGCAACCCCTCACATCAGCAACCCTCACTCAGCAACCCCTCACTCAGCAACCCTCACTCAGCAACCCCCTCACTCAGCAACCCTCACTCAGCAACCCTCACTCAGCAACCCCTCACTCAGCAACCCCTCACTCAGCAACCCCTCACTCAGCAACCCCTCACTCAGCAACCCCTCACTCAGCAACCCCTCACTCAGCACCCCTCACTCAGCAACCCCTCACTCAGCAATCCCCTCACTCAGCAATCCCCTCACTCAGCAACCCCTCACTCAGCAACCCCTCACTCAGCAAACCCCCTCACTCAGCAACCCCTCACTCAGCAACCCCTCACTCAGCAACCCCTCACTCAGCAACCCCTCACTCAGGCAAATCCCTCACTCAGCAAACCCCTCACTCAGCAACCCCTCACTCAGCAACCCTCAGCTCACTCAGCAACCCCTCACTCAGCAACCCCTCACTCAGCAACCCCTCACTCAGCAACCCCTCACTCGCAACCCTTTTCTCCACTCAGCAACCCCTCACTCAGCAACCCTCACTCAGCAACCCCTCACTCAGCAACCCCTCACTCAGCAACCCCTCACTCAGCAATCCCTCACTCAGCAATCCCTCACTCAGCAACCCTCACTCAGCAACCCCTCACTCAGCAACCCCCTCACTCAGCAACCCCTCACTCAGCAACCCCTCACTCAGCAACCCCTCACTCAGCAACCCCTCACTCAGCAAACCCCTCACTCAGCAACCCCTCACTCAGCAACCCCTCACTCAGCAACCCCTCACTCAGCAACCCCTCACTCAGCAACCCCTCACTCAGCAACCCCTCACTCAGCAAACCCCTCACTCAGCAACCCCTCACTCAGCCAACCCCTCACTCAGCAACCCCTCACTCAGCAACCCCTCACTCAGCAACCCCTCACTCAGCAACCCCTCACTCAGCAATCCCCTCACTCAGCAACCCCTCACTCAGCAACCCTCACTCAGCAACCGCCTCACTCAGCAACCCCTCACTCAGCAACCCCTCACATCAGCAACCCCTCACTCAGCAACCCCTCACTCAGCAACCCCTCACTCAGCAACCCCTCACTCAGCAAGCCCTCACTCAGCAACCCCTCACTCAGCAACCCCCTCACTCAGCAACCCCTCACTCAGCAACCCCTCACTCAGCAACCCCTCACTCAGCAACCCCTCACTTCAGCAACCCTCACTCAGCAACCCTCCCAGCAATCCCTCACTCAGCAATCCCTCACTCAGCAATCCCCTCACTCAGCAATCCCTCACTCAGCAATCCCTCACTCAGCAACCCCTCACTCAGCAACCCCACTCACACCCCTCACTCAGCAACCCCTCACTCAGCAACCCCTCACTCAGCAATCCCCTCACTCAGCAATCCCTCACTCAGCAACCCCTCACTCAGCAACCCCTCACTCAGCAACCCCTCACTCAGCAACCCCTCACTCAGCAACCCCTCACTCAGCAACCCCTCACTCAGCAACCCCTCACTCAGCAACCCCTCACTCAGCAATCCCTCACTCAGCAATCCCTCACTCAGCAATCCCTCACTCAGCAATCCCTCACTCAGCAATCCCTCACTCAGCAATCCCTCACTCAGCAACCCTCACTCAGCAATCCCTCACTCAGCAATCCCTCACTCAGCAATCCCTCACTCAGCAACCCCTCACTCAGCAATCCCTCACTCAGCAATCCCTCACTCAGCAATCCCTCACTCAGCAACCCCTCACTCAGCAATCCCTCACTCAGCAATCCCTCACTCAGCAACCCCTCACTCAGCAATCCCTCACTCAGCAATCCTTCACTCAGCAATCCCTCACTCAGCAACCCCTCACTCAGCAATCCCTCACTCAGCAATCCCTCACTCAGCAACCCCTCACTCAGCAATCCCTCACTCAGCAACCCCTCACTCAGCAACCCCTCACTCAGCAACCCCTCACTCAGCAACCCCTCACTCAGCAACCCCTCACTCAGCAACCCCTCACTCAGCAACCCCTCACTCAGCAACCCCTCACTCAGCAATCCCTCACTCAGCAATCCCTCACTCAGCAATCCCTCACTCAGCAATCCCCTCACTCAGCAATCCCTCACTCAGCAACCCCTCACTCAGCAACCCCTCACTCAGCAACCCCTCACTCAGCAACCCTCACTCAGCAACCCCTCACTCAGCAATCCCTCACTCAGCAATCCCTCACTCAGCAATCCCTCACTCAGCAATCCCTCACTCAGCAACCCCTCACTCAGCAACCCCTCACTCAGCAACCCCTCACTCAGCAACCCCTCACTCAGCAACCCCTCACTCAGCAACCCCTCACTCAGCAACCCCTCACTCAGCAACCCCTCACTCAGCAACCCCTCACTCAGCAATCCCTCACTCAGCAATCCCTCACTCAGCAATCCCTCACTCAGCAATCCCTCACTCAGCAATCCCTCACTCAGCAATCCTCACTCAGCAATCCCTCACTCAGCAATCCCTCACTCACACCCTCACTCAGCAACCCCTCACTCAGCAACCCCTCACTCAGCAATCCCTCACTCAGCAATCCCTCACTCAGCAATCCTCACTCAGCAATCCCTCACTCAGCAATCCCTCACTCAGCAATCCCTCACTCAGCAATCCCTCACTCAGCAATCCCTCACTCAGCAACCCCTCACTCAGCAATCCCTCACTCAGCAATCCCTCACTCAGCAATCCCTCACTCAGCAACCCCTCACTCAGCAATCCCTCACTCAGCAATCCCTCACTCAGCAACCCCTCACTCAGCAATCCCTCACTCAGCAACCCCTCACTCAGCAACCCCTCACTCAGCAACCCCTCACTCAGCAACCCCTCACTCAGCAACCCCTCACTCAGCAACCCCTCACTCAGCAACCCCTCACTCAGCAACCCCTCACTCAGCAATCCCTCACTCAGCAATCCCTCACTCAGCAATCCCTCACTCAGCAATCCCTCACTCAGCAATCCCTCACTCAGCAATCCCTCACTCAGCAACCCCTCACTCAGCAACCCCTCACTCAGCAACCCCTCACTCAGCAATCCCTCACTCAGCAACCCCTCACTCAGCAATCCCTCACTCAGCAATCCCTCACTCAGCAATCCCTCACTCAGCAATCCCTCACTCAGCAATCCCTCACTCAGCAATCCCTCACTCAGCAATCCCCTCACTCAGCAATCCCTCACTCAGCAATCCCTCACTCAGCAATCCCCTCACTCAGCAATCCCTCACTCAGCAATCCCTCACTCAGCAATCCCTCACTCAGCAATCCCCTCACTCAGCAATCCCTCACTCAGCAATCCCTCACTCAGCAATCCCTCACTCAGCAATCCCCTCACTCAGCAATCCCTCACTCAGCAATCCCTCACTCAGCAACCCCTCACTCAGCAATCCCTCACTCAGCAATCCCTCACTCAGCAATCCCCTCACTCAGCAATCCCTCACTCAGCAATCCCTCACTCAGCAACCCCTCACTCAGCAACCCCTCACTCAGCAACCCCTCACTCAGCAACCCCTCACTCAGCAACCCCTCACTCAGCAACCCCTCACTCAGCAACCCCTCACTCAGCAACCCCTCACTCAGCAACCCCTCACTCAGCAACCCCTCACTCAGCAACCCCTCACTCAGCAACCCCTCACTCAGCAACCCCTCACTCAGCAACCCCTCACTCAGCAACCCCTCACTCAGCAACCCCTCACTCAGCAACCCCTCACTCAGCAACCCCTCACTCAGCAATCCCTCACTCAGCAATCCCTCACTCAGCAACCCCTCACTCAGCAACCCCTCACTCAGCAACCCCTCACTCAGCAACCCCTCACTCAGCAACCCCTCACTCAGCAACCCCTCACTCAGCAACCCCTCACTCAGCAACCCCTCACTCAGCAACCCCTCACTCAGCAATCCCCTCACTCAGCAATCCCTCACTCAGCAACTCCCTCACTCAGCAAACCCCTCACTCAGCAACCCCTCACTCAGCAACCCCTCACTCAGCAACCCTCACTCAGCAACCCCTCACTCAGCAACCCCTCACTCAGCAACCCCTCACTCAGCAACCCCTCACTCAGCAACCCCTCACTCAGCAACCCCTCACTCAGCAATCCCTCACTCAGCAATCCCCTCACTCAGCAATCCCTCACTCAGCAATCCCTCACTCAGCAATCCCTCACTCAGCAATCCCTCACTCAGCAATCCCCTCACTCAGCAATCCCTCACTCAGCAACCCCTCACTCAGCAATCCCTCACTCAGCAATCCCTCACTCAGCAATCCCTCACTCAGCAACCCCTCACTCAGCAATCCCTCACTCAGCAATCCCTCACTCAGCAATCCCTCACTCAGCAACCCCTCACTCAGCAATCCCTCACTCAGCAATCCCTCACTCAGCAACCCCTCACTCAGCAATCCCTCACTCAGCAATCCCTCACTCAGCAATCCCTCACTCAGCAAACCCCTCACTCAGCAATCCCTCACTCAGCAATCCCCTCACTCAGCAACCCCTCACTCAGCAACCCCTCACTCAGCAATCCCTCACTCAGCAATCCCTCACTCAGCAATCCCTCACTCAGCAATCCCTCACTCAGCAATCCCTCACTCAGCAATCCCTCACTCAGCAACCCCTCACTCAGCAATCCCTCACTCAGCAATCCCTCACTCAGCAATCCCTCACTCAGCAACCCCTCACTCAGCAATCCCTCACTCAGCAATCCCTCACTCAGCAATCCCTCACTCAGCAACCCCTCACTCAGCAATCCCTCACTCAGCAATCCCTCACTCAGCAACCCCTCACTCAGCAACCCCTCACTCAGCAACCCCTCACTCAGCAACCCCTCACTCAGCAACCCCTCACTCAGCAACCCCTCACTCAGCAACCCCTCACTCAGCAACCCTCACTCAGCAACCCCTCACTCAGCAACCCCTCACTCAGCAATCCCTCACTCAGCAATCCCTCACTCAGCAATCCCTCACTCAGCAATCCCTCACTCAGCAATCCCTCACTCAGCAATCCCTCACTCAGCAATCCCTCACTCAGCAATCCCTCACTCAGCAATCCCTCACTCAGCAACCCCTCACTCAGCAACCCCTCACTCAGCAATCCCTCACTCAGCAATCCCTCACTCAGCAATCCCTCACTCAGCAATCCCTCACTCAGCAATCCCTCACTCAGCAATCCCTCACTCAGCAATCCCTCACTCAGCAATCCCTCACTCAGCAACCCCTCACTCAGCAATCCCTCACTCAGCAATCCCTCACTCAGCAATCCCTCACTCAGCAACCCCTCACTCAGCAATCCCTCACTCAGCAATCCCTCACTCAGCAACCCCTCACTCAGCAATCCCTCACTCAGCAACCCCTCACTCAGCAACCCCTCACTCAGCAACCCCTCACTCAGCAACCCCTCACTCAGCAACCCCTCACTCAGCAACCCCTCACTCAGCAACCCCTCACTCAGCAACCCCTCACTCAGCAATCCCTCACTCAGCAATCCCTCACTCAGCAATCCCTCACTCAGCAATCCCTCACTCAGCAATCCCTCACTCAGCAATCCCTCACTCAGCAACCCCTCACTCAGCAACCCCTCACTCAGCAACCCCTCACTCAGCAACCCCTCACTCAGCAATCCCTCACTCAGCAACCCCTCACTCAGCAATCCCTCACTCAGCAATCCCTCACTCAGCAATCCCTCACTCAGCAACCCCTCACTCAGCAATCCCTCACTCAGCAATCCCTCACTCAGCAACCCCTCACTCAGCAATCCCTCACTCAGCAATCCCTCACTCAGCAACCCCTCACTCAGCAATCCCTCACTCAGCAATCCCTCACTCAGCAATCCCTCACTCAGCAACCCCTCACTCAGCAATCCCTCACTCAGCAATCCCCTCACTCAGCAACCCCTCACTCAGCAATCCCTCACTCAGCAATCCCTCACTCAGCAATCCCTCACTCAGCAACCCCTCACTCAGCAATCCCTCACTCAGCAATCCCTCACTCAGCAATCCCTCACTCAGCAATCCCTCACTCAGCAATCCCTCACTCGCAATCCCCTCACTCAGCAACCCCTCACTCAGCAACCCCTCACTCCGCAAACCCCTCACTCAGCAACCCCTCACTCAGCAACCCCCTCACTCAGCAACCCCTCACTCAGCAACCCCTCACTCAGCAACCCCTCACTCAGCAACCCCTCACTCAGCAATCCCTCACTCAGCAATCCCTCACTCAGCAATCCCTCACTCAGCAATCCCTCACTCAGCAATCCCTCACTCAGCAATCCCTCACTCAGCAATCCCTCACTCAGCAATCCCTCACTCAGCAACCCCTCACTCAGCAATCCCTCACTCAGCAATCCCTCACTCAGCAACCCCTCACTCAGCAATCCCTCACTCAGCAATCCCTCACTCAGCAATCCCTCACTCAGCAAACCCTCACTCAGCAATCCCTCACTCAGCAATCCCTCACTCAGCAACCCCTCACTCAGCAACCCCTCACTCAGCAACCCTCACTCAGCAACCCCTCACTCAGCAACCCCTCACTCAGCAATCCCTCACTCAGCAATCCCTCACTCAGCAATCCCTCACTCAGCAATCCCTCACTCAGCAATCCCTCACTCAGCAATCCCTCACTCAGCAATCCCTCACTCAGCAATCCCTCACTCAGCAATCCCTCACTCAGCAACCCTCACTCAGCAATCCCTCACTCAGCAACCCCTCACTCAGCAATCCCTCACTCAGCAACCCCTCACTCAGCAACCCTCACTCAGCAACCCCTCACTCAGCAACCCCTCACTCAGCAACCCCTCACTCAGCAACCCCTCACTCAGCAACCCCTCACTCAGCAATCCCTCACTCAGCAATCCCTCACTCAGCAATCCCTCACTCAGCAATCCCTCACTCAGCAATCCCTCACTCAGCAATCCCTCACTCAGCAATCCCTCACTCAGCAACCCCTCACTCAGCAATCCCTCACTCAGCAACCCCTCACTCAGCAATCCCTCACTCAGCAACCCCTCACTCAGCAATCCCTCACTCAGCAATCCCTCACTCAGCAATCCCCTCACTCAGCAATCCCTCACTCAGCAATCCCCTCACTCAGCAATCCCTCACTCAGCAATCCCTCACTCAGCAATCCCTCACTCAGCAATCCCTCACTCAGCAATCCCTCACTCAGCAATCCCTCACTCAGCAACCCCTCACTCAGCAATCCCTCACTCAGCAATCCCTCACTCAGCAATCCCTCACTCAGCAATCCCTCACTCAGCAATCCCTCACTCAGCAATCCCTCACTCAGCAACCCCTCACTCAGCAATCCCTCACTCAGCAATCCCCTCACTCAGCAATCCCTCACTCAGCAATCCCTCACTCAGCAATCCCTCACTCAGCAATCCCTCACTCAGCAATCCCCTCACTCAGCAATCCCTCACTCAGCAATCCCTCACTCAGCAATCCCTCACTCAGCAATCCCTCACTCAGCAATCCCTCACTCAGCAATCCCTCACTCAGCAATCCCTCACTCAGCAATCCCTCACTCAGCAATCCCTCACTCAGCAATCCCTCACTCAGCAATCCCTCACTCAGCAATCCCTCACTCAGCAATCCCTCACTCAGCAATCCCTCACTCAGCAACCCCTCACTCAGCAATCCCTCACTCAGCAATCCCTCACTCAGCAATCCCCTCACTCAGCAATCCCTCACTCAGCAATCCCTCACTCAGCAATCCCTCACTCAGCAATCCCCTCACTCAGCAATCCCTCACTCAGCAATCCCTCACTCAGCAATCCCTCACTCAGCAATCCCTCACTCAGCAATCCCTCACTCAGCAATCCCTCACTCAGCAATCCCTCACTCAGCAACCCCTCACTCAGCAATCCCTCACTCAGCAATCCCTCACTCAGCAATCCCTCACTCAGCAATCCCTCACTCAGCAATCCCTCACTCAGCAATCCCCTCACTCAGCAATCCCTCACTCAGCAATCCCTCACTCAGCAATCCCTCACTCAGCAATCCCTCACTCAGCAATCCCTCACTCAGCAATCCCTCACTCAGCAATCCCTCACTCAGCAATCCCTCACTCAGCAACCCCCTCACTCAGCAATCCCTCACTCAGCAATCCCTCACTCAGCAATCCCTTCACTCAGCAATCCCTCACTCAGCAATCCCTCACTCAGCAATCCCTCACTCAGCAATCCCTCACTCAGCAACCCTCACTCAGCAATCCCTCACTCAGCAATCCCCTCACTCAGCAATCCCTCACTCAGCAATCCCTCACTCAGCATCCCCTCACTCAGCAATCCCTCACTCAGCAACCCCTCACTCAGCAATCCCTCACTCAGCAATCCTCACTCAGCAATCCCTCACTCAGCAATCCCTCACTCAGCAACCCCCTCACTCAGCAATCCCTTCCACTCACGCCAATCCCTCACTCAGCAATCCCTCACTCAGCAATCCCTCACTCAGCAATCCCTCCCACTCAGCAATCCCTCACTTCAGCAACCCCTCACTCAGCAATCCCTCACTCAGCAATCCCTCACTCAGCAATCCCTCACTTCAGCAACCCTCACTCAGCAATCCCTCACTCAGCAATCCCTCACCTTCAGCAATCCCTCACTCAGCAACCCCCTCACTCAGCAATCCCTCCACTCAGCAATCCCTCACTCAGCAATCCCTCACTCAGCAATCCCTCACTCAGCAATCCCCTCACTCAGCAATCCCCTCACTCAGCAATCCCTCACTCAGCAATCCCCTCACTCAGCAATCCCTCACTCAGCAATCCCTCACTCAAGCAATCCCTCACTCAGCAATCCCTCACTCAGCAATCCCTCACTCAGCAATCCCTCACTCAGCAATCCCTCACTCAGCAATCCCTCACTCAGCAATCCCTCACTCAGCAATCCCTCACTCAGCAACCCCTCACTCAGCAATCCCTCACTCAGCAATCCCTCACTCAGCAACCCCTCACTCAGCAATCCCTCACTCAGCAATCCCTCACTCAGCAACCCCTCACTCAGCAATCCCTCACTCAGCAATCCCTCACTCAGCAATCCCTCACTCAGCAATCCCCTCACTCAGCAATCCCTCACTCAGCAATCCCTCACTCAGCAATCCCTCACTCAGCAATCCCTCACTCAGCAATCCCTCACTCAGCAATCCCTCACTCACTCAGCAATCCCTCACTCAGCAATCCCTCACTCAGCAATCCCCTCACTCAGCAATCCCTCACTCAGCAATCCCTCACTCAGCAACCCCTCACTCAGCAATCCCTCACTCAGCAATCCCTCACTCAGCAACCCCTCACTCAGCAATCCCTCACTCAGCAATCCCTCACTCAGCAATCCCTCACTCAGCAATCCCTCACTCAGCAATCCCTCACTCAGCAATCCCCTCACTCAGCAATCCCTCACTCAGCAATCCCCTCACTCAGCAATCCCTCACTCAGCAATCCCCTCACTCAGCAACCCCTCACTCAGCAATCCCTCACTCAGCAACCCCTCACTCAGCAATCCCTCACTCAGCAATCCCTCACTCAGCAATCCCTCACTCAGCAATCCCTCACTCAGCAATCCCTCACTCAGCAATCCCTCACTCAGCAATCCCTCACTCAGCAACCCCTCACTCAGCAATCCCTCACTCAGCAATCCTCACTCAGCAATCCCTCACTCAGCAATCCCTCACTCAGCAATCCCTCACTCAGCAATCCCTCACTCAGCAATCCCTCACTCAGCAATCCCTCACTCAGCAATCCCTCACTCAGCAATCCCTCACTCAGCAATCCCTCACTCAGCAATCCCTCCTCAGCAATCCCTCACTCAGCAATCCCTCACTCAGCAATCCCTCACTCAGCAAATCCATCACTCAGCAATCCCTCACTCAGCAATCCCTCACTCAGCAATCCCCCACTCAGCAATCCCTCACTCAGCAATCCCTCACTCAGCAATCCCCTCACTCAGCAATCCCTCACTCAGCAATCCCTCACTCAGCAATCCCTCACTCAGCAATCCCTCACTCAGCAATCCTCACTCAGCAATCCCTCACTCAGCAATCCCTCACTCAGCAATCCCTCACTCAGCAATCCCTCACTCAGCAATCCCTCACTCAGCAATCCCTCACTCAGCAATCCCTCACTCAGCAATCCCTCACTCAGCAATCCCTCACTCAGCAATCCCTCACTCAGCAATCCCTCACTCAGCAATCCCTCACTCAGCAATCCCTCACTCAGCAATCCCTCACTCAGCAATCCCTCACTCAGCAATCCCTCACTCAGCAATCCCTCACTCAGCAATCCCTCACTCAGCAATCCCTCACTCAGCAATCCCTCACTCAGCAATCCCTCACTCAGCAATCCCTCACTCAGCAATCCCTCACTCAGCAATCCCTCACTCAGCAATCCCTCACTCAGCAATCCCTCACTCAGCAATCCCTCACTCAGCAATCCCTCACTCAGCAATCCTCACTCAGCAATCCCTCACTCAGCAATCCCTCACTCAGCAATCCCTCACTCAGCAATCCCTCACTCAGCAATCCCTCACTCAGCAATCCCTCACTCAGCAATCCCTCACTCAGCAATCCCTCACTCAGCAATCCCTCACTCAGCAATCCCTCACTCAGCAATCCCTCACTCAGCAATCCCTCACTCAGCAATCCCTCACTCAGCAATCCCTCACTCAGCAATCCCTCACTCAGCAACCCCTCACTCAGCAATCCCTCACTCAGCAATCCCTCACTCAGCAATCCCTCACTCAGCAATCCCTCACTCAGCAATCCCTCACTCAGCAATCCCTCACTCAGCAATCCCTCACTCAGCAATCCCTCACTCAGCAACCCCTCACTCAGCAATCCCTCACTCAGCAATCCCTCACTCAGCAACCCCTCACTCAGCAATCCCTCACTCAGCAATCCCTCACTCAGCAATCCCCTCACTCAGCAATCCCTCACTCAGCAATCCCTCACTCAGCAACTCCCTCACTCAGCAATCCCTCACTCAGCAATCCCCTCACTCAGCAATCCCTCACTCAGCAACCCCTCACTCAGCAATCCCTCACTCAGCAACCCCTCACTCAGCAATCCCTCACTCAGCAACCCCTCACTCAGCAATCCCTCACTCAGCAATCCCTCACTCAGCAATCCCTCACTCAGCAATCCCTCACTCAGCAATCCCTCACTCAGCAATCCCTCACTCAGCAATCCCTCACTCAGCAATCCCTCACTCAGCAATCCCTCACTCAGCAATCCCTCACTCAGCAATCCCTCACTCAGCAATCCCTCACTCAGCAATCCCTCACTCAGCAATCCCTCACTCAGCAATCCCTCACTCAGCAATCCCTCACTCAGCAATCCCTCACTCAGCAATCCCCTCACTCAGCAACCCCTCACTCAGCAATCCCTCACTCAGCAATCCCTCACTCAGCAACCCCTCACTCAGCAATCCCTCACTCAGCAACCCCTCACTCAGCAATCCCTCACTCAGCAATCCCTCACTCAGCAACCCCTCACTCAGCAATCCCTCACTCAGCAACCCCTCACTCAGCAATCCCTCACTCAGCAACCCCTCACTCAGCAATCCCTCACTCAGCAATCCCTCACTCAGCAACCCCTCACTCAGCAATCCCTCACTCAGCAACCCCTCACTCAGCAATCCCTCACTCAGCAACCCCTCACTCAGCAATCCCTCTCCCCTGTGCAACCATGCTCTCAAGCTCCCATGCACCCGTACACTGCAACCCTCCTCCCTCTCCCTCCCACCTCCTGTTTGCAGCAATGCGCTTTGTGTTTGTGATCTTATTGGGCTACCTCCTGGTGCACACCAGGGGGCTTCTTGAGGCGCCTCTGAAACCCTCTCCCTCCTGCCTCTCCCTCCCTCTTCCTCCCGGCACCTCATTGCAGCAATGCGCTTTGTGTTTGTGATCTTGCTGGGCTACCTCCTCGTGCACACCATGGGCCCCACCATGTGGGACCTCTGGATCCTCAAGGTGAGAAAAGGGGGCCAAGGAATAACCATCTCCCCACCACTAGTGGCGTTCCTTTCCCCATTTCCACCTCTCCTCCTCGTGCTCACCATGGGCCCCACCATGTGGGACCTCTGGATCCCCTCAAGGTGAGAAAAGGGGAAGACCCCCCCCTCTTCCCCCCCTTACCACCACTAGTGGCTTTTCCTTTCCTCCCCTCCACGGTCCATCTCTGCCCCTAGTGCACACCATGGGTCCCACCATGTGGGTCCTTTTGAGACGTCTCAAAAGCCATCTCTGCCCCTAGTGCACACCATGGGTCGCACCATGTGGGTCCTGTGAACTCTTGACGTTGCAGGTTGTGTTTGAGAATTCTAAAAAAACAACCTGCAGCACTTTGCGGGATCTGTGAATTCTCACGGTGACACATCCACAGCCCTCTGTCGGTGACTAGGTTGATTGAACAGAAGGGCAATCGGGCAAACAAGGGCACTAAACCCGCACCATTACTTGCTTTACTCCCCTCCTCCGGTCCTCCCAGTGCTCACCCTCCCAGTGCTCACCCTTCCAGTGCTCACCCTCCTTTTGCACGCTATGAAGCCCACCATATGGAAACTGTGGATTCTCTGCTCTTCTCTCCTCTCCCTCTCCTCTCCCTCTCCTCTCCCTCTGCTCTCCTCTCCTCTCCTTTCCTCCCCTCACCTCCCCTTTCCTGCCATCCCCTCCTCTTCCCCTCTTTCCTATCCTTTTCTATACTCTCTCTCCTCTCATCCCTTCTTCTCCTATTAGATGCAGAGTTATTAATGAAACCTTTTAAAGCACTTATTTCTGCGTGAACTCAGTGCCACAACATCATGCTAAAGTGCTAGGATAATCTTTCCAATGCCATCTTTGTGGCTTGCGTTTTTCACCCATGTGCCATCTTTGCGTGCAGAGCATTGGTAACGCCAACTTCTTCTTTGCTGTGGTCCTCATTTTTGCTGCTATTCAAGTAAGTTTAATTGCTGCTTGTTCACATGCAATAACAGTTGCTACGTGCTGAGGGTAAGTTGTAATTTTTTGCTGGATTCATGACTTGGGGGCTTGGTCTTTTTTTTTTTTTCAGACGAAATAAAAGCCTTCGTCTGATGGTTCAGACGAAAAATAATTGCTAGTCTAAAAAATCAGATGAAATAAAAAAAGTAGGTCTGATTTTCAGACCATCAGACCGATTTGGTCTAATAACAAGAGCCCTGCTCGGGGGTGTGCAATGTTGGTGCTTTCGAGGACAGAATGTAGGCTAAACCTTTCCACATATCGCCAAATCTTTCCACATATTTTATCACCGTCACATGTTTGTGCCATCTGCAGGGACTGCTTCTGGTGGAATCAGTGCATACAGTGCTAATGCATGATCGTACGCTGAAGAAGCTTGATATGTCATCACAAATTATCAGCGTATCATGATATATTTGCAGTGCCAATGCGCGATCGTACGCTGAATAGCTTTACGTCGCATCACTTATGCTCAGCGTATGATGATATTTTCGTCATTCAATAATGATGGAAAGTATGCATTACTTTTTTCAAGATGGACGTTCTAGTTGGGAAACTGCGAACTGTAGTTCACTTTGTATTGCATTGCGTAATCGGTCTAATCGAAACAACCGAAAGCCTGCAAGTGGGCGGGGACATTTTTGCGCTGTAGATACTGATTTGTGTCGGGCTGTCGTCGAATGCCGTTGGCTATGCGTGGTTTGTTTGTTTGCCTCACTTCTGTCTCACGTGGAGGGCAAGGCAACACACATGAGGAGGGCGGTGGTTTGGTGGATGCTTGCTTGGCAACTCTCCCCAAGCTGTGGCGGAAAGCGGACAGTTCTTACATCGAAAACAGCATGCTCGATTCAAGTGGCTCATCCCACCATTCCACCTCACCTCTCCTCGCTCCCGCCCAGGCTTGCTGATTGGTTTGGGGCCAGCCGCAGTTCCGTCGTAGTACACCCTATGTACTGGTCCATAACTTTTGCGACTGGGTGGAAAGGGATTTTTGGGGAGGGGAGTGAGGGTGCGTGTAAATTGAGTGGTTTCAGAAGAATCTGGTATTGGATTCAGCCCAGAAGAGCCGAGACGTGTCTTTAAATAAAACCTGAGGGTGCTCGGACCTCATCCCAGAATTTGACGGTGTTTTTCCTTCAAACATCGTCCATGCTCTGTCCCAACCCAACCATTCCACAGACCTTCGTCTCCTGCTGCCATTTGTCGTGGAGGTCGTGTACTCGAACCCAAACCTTCTGTTCGGGAAGCCCGAGCCTTCACATACAGTACGTACAGAACACGTACATTTTACAGAATGATGAGCAGCTACAGTAGTACATTGTACGTATTGTGTGTTCTAGAACTAGATCCATCCATCCATCTCCCCTGCACTTGGTCACAGGCTGAAGAATGTAGAGGCCCTCAAAATAGGGAAGGTTTAAAAATATACTCCCATCCGTCACAACACTCTGTCGGACCAATCACTTTGCAACCGAGATCCAAATATTTCCAGAACTTTGCAGACTCTCACTCTAGTTCTATACTTCGTCATGCTTTTCATTACCGAAAAACTTGGCACGGGTGCTGGTAATTCGAGATTTTCCTCATTTGCAGGGGATTTCATTAGCTAGGCTCACACTGCTCAACCGCTCGGATATTGTGAAATGCCCAAGATCAAAAGGAGAGGCTCAGCGCACGGTGCACTGGCCCAGCGTGTCAACCACTGGTGGTGGCATTCCCGTGGTGTGCGGCGTTCCGCCGCACGATCCGTTACACCATGTGTTGAGTTCGGTTAGGCGTGCCAAACAGTGTAACGCTTTTTCCAACTTCACGTGTCCTCGCGCTTTCCACCTCATTGCTCATCCCCTCCTAACAAAATTCCGCCTCAGACACGCTCGAACCGCATCCTGGTGGTTCACATGCTGTTGACGGATCCCTCCCTTTTCGTCGTTTCGCACGGGTCGCCATCAATGCCTGTCGGTACGCGTCGCGCAACGGCGGATCCGATTTACGCATCTCCCATCGACGAAGCATATTCTCCACGCACTCTTCCCACCTCCTGGTCCCCTTCCCTATTTCTAGCCCCTTTCCCCCAACTTCCTTTCTAGTTGGACTTAGCATGTTCTTTACGTCTGTGCCTTTCAGTTACTCGTCGTTTCCACTTTACGCGGCGTTCGACAAAGTATGCAGCATTCTGAACGAGAAAACCAGACCAGATCCTCTCCGACCAACAAACAACACGCTGAGCGGTTCTAGCTTCCAACGCGGATCTCTCATCTCTCCTGGCGTTTTCGACGATTAAACTCCACCTGAGCTTTTTCTTCAAGCACCATCGTTCTCCCGCTTTCTTGTGCCTTAGCAGAAATATAGCTCCAGAATCGCATTTCCCTTCCGAACGAGGTGGGATCAGCAAAGCAACGGAGCGTGATGAGCACGGCCACTCTAGCCGCATTGCACGCCAGCACTACCTCCATGTCTTCAGCGCCTAGTACCGCCAGCAGCAGCAGCCGCTCGCTGCGGCTTAAGATCTGTGGCGACATTATCGCGGAGGAGTTACCTTGGGTGTCTCGGGACTGCCACCATTCGCACCCACCTTCCAGCAACAACCCATCAGCTGTAAATTCTTCCGCCGAGCCGCCGTCGCGGGCTGCGCGATTCGAAAACGACGGTCGCGACGACGAAATATTCGACGACGATTCGTCGCACGAGGGTGGTAGCAATGGCGAAGCCCATGCGACGCCGCCAGAAGCGGGCGACGGCGTGTCGCGCGACAGCAGTAAGGCCGTCAGGCGGAGTCTAGCAGAAGTCGAGATGCGCGCATTGGAAGGCAAATTAAAGCTTCTCGACGTGCAACGGGAGCTAAGCTCTCTCCACTGCCAGCGCTTTATTCACGTTCTCGAATCGACTCTCCACGCCAGCAGAAGCGCCCCTACTACCCCATTCCCGACGAATTCTCCATTCCCTACTCCCAGCCATTCCCGGCCGAGCAATAAACCGTCCGCTGGTTCGGATCCTCTCTTCGGGGGCGCCGCGGGCGGCGCGGCTCCAACCCTTGGAGTCTGTAACAGCCTGCCTTGGGACTATTACGCCGCGGGCGGCGGCGCGGCGGCGGGCAGCAGCCATGATCAGGACCTTCAACGGTCGCTTCCGACGCGCTCCGTCTCCCTGTCCCTGTCTCTCGCGCGCTCGCGCTCGACGCCCGCGTCGCTTCACAACAGGATGGATTCGCCGCGCGTCAGGAGGGCTGCGACGGCCGCGACTCCGCGAAGCAGCAGGCGGCATCGCGCTGCCGCCGCCGCCGCAGTTGGGTTCTGATCCGCCGCATTATCATCATACTCGTGCCATATGACCATGGTGATGATGACGACGAAGAAGACGACATTCGTGATTGCTCGAGTGTATCCGTTACAAACGGCGGCCGAGCTGGGATCATTCAATGATCCCAGCTCATTGAGAGAGCAGCACAGCAGCGCATTGAGAGAGCAGCGAAGCAGTGTGGCTATACTGTTCTGTGGGGGTGTCATCACAGCCTCACAGCTGCTTGACTCAGCAACAGGCTGCGGCTGACGTGGCATCCAGGTGATCTTATCTGAAGTGGCTCACTTCACAATCACACTATCCATGGCGGTTGCGGCTGTGGCCTTTGGATGCTGTTCAATAGGTGATTCTACTACGGTAGCTGATCTGGCAATCATACGAAGAGTTTCAAAAGTCAGGTCGCTGAGGATGCTGCACATGCACATCCAGTGATACGCTGCTCTCTGCTACTAATAAGGGAGCGGGTTTAGTACCTTGCTGCTCCGCCCTAGTTCCCTGTACCATGGCCATTTCATCTGTTCTCCCCTCCATTCTCATGGTACCGTATTACCGTAGGTGGAATTCTTCTCCCACATAGTATGTAGCATGTACAGTGTGGATGTCAGCTCGCTGCCAATAGCTTTGTACACAATGAAATAACATTCTTTCGGATGACACTGTACTGTAGCTCAGATGAATGGTATAGTTTTAGAGGATCTAATGTTGCACTCATGGTGTACTAGTTACGCTATGCACTCTCTACCCCTTTCTGCCAGGGGCGTTTAGCTTGTAACATTAGCACCTATAACAAGAATTGACAATGCAAGTCCCAAGTTAGAATGCACCGTATACTACTGTACTACGTACGTATAAACACCACACTCAACCCCCTATGAACACCACACTGCCACCTGCCACCACCTATCCCCCC